CAACTGCACGACGTATACAACTACATATGTATGTATCTATGCCAACATGTTGCAGGCATGTGCAGTATGTGAATGCCAGTCCGTATGCATGCACAGCTGTGTATGCGTGCATGATCGTGCGTCGCTAGGCAGGTATGCATGGATGTATGCAAGCATGCATGTACTTGTGTCTGCAAGTATGTAGATGTCTAGGTGCAAACGCCTGCAGGCATGTTGGCAGATGCAGCTTTGTAGCTGTGCAATGTGCATGCATGTAGGGGTGTAGCTGTGGAGGAATGTAGGCCTGCAGGGACGTTCACGTGTGGGTATTTAATGAGAACAAAGACGGAATGACGGCATGTGGTACGTAGAAATGTCGGTTCCTAAGTATGTACACCTGTATGCATCTATGTATCCATGTATGTATGCAGGCCTGCATGAATGTTTCTAACACATACAGTAGGAATGTCTGCAAGTCCGCATGTATGCATGTAGGAAGGATGTATGCAAGTGCGTCTGATTGTCTGTGTGTGAGATGTATGCACATATGTATGCAGGCATGTATGCAGGCGTGGATGAATGTACGCATCAATCAATGTATGCAGGTATATATCAACGTAGCAATGTTGTGATGCATGCATGTACGCCTCCATGTATATGATTACTGTATATGTGTACAATATACGCTACATATGCATATGATAGTGTATATATATATAGATATACATATTCATATGATATATATATATATATATATAACTTTCTCACCAACAACATGGGGAAGTACTGAATGCAGTTCATCAATATATAGCATGCAGATCTTTGCAGTTGTCATGGTCAGTGATATCGGTCGAAACAGGCCAACTTCCAGAAAGCCAAGAACCACATAGTGCTTTGTTTGTATGGTGAAATCGTGAACTCCAGAAACCCATCACCAAAAGATTCTTGCATATATTATATATATTATTTATGTTAGCTGTTCCCAGGAACTTGCGCCGAGTCCATTTTTGGCTGCGGACCAGGGGGGAATCGAATGGGGGGGGGAAAAATGTAAAAAAAGTTGATTCAGTGAAGTTTTCTAAACTAATATCATAGCAGTATAACAAATCAAAATTTATTCATTAAAAAAAAACATAACAGTCCAAAAAGTCAGTTTGAATATTGTGATTGCTTCATTTTTCCCAACAATATAAAAACCTAATTACCTCATTCAATTTTTCAAAATCATAGCAGTCAAAGCATACTTACCTGGAGCCGATGAGGCCGATGGAGCCGCTGGAGCAGCTGGAGCCTATCAGGCCGATGGAGCCGCTGGAGCTGCTGGAGCCGATCAAGTCGATGGAGCCGATGAGGCCGATGGAGCCGCTGGAGCCGATGAGGCCGATGGAGCCAATGAGGCTGCTGGGGCCGATCAGGCCGATGGGGCCGATGAGGCCGATGGAGCCGATGAGGCCGATGGAGCCGATGAAGCCGATGGAGCCGATGAGGCTGCTGGGGCCGATCAGGCCGATGGGGCCGATGAGGCCGATGGAGCCGATGAGGCCGATGGAGCCGATGAGGCCGATGGAGCCGATGAAGCCGATGGAGCCGATGAGGCTGGAAATAAATCCTATGCAGTATTGCCAGTATAAAGGGAGTTGCAGGTTACAGCTATCGAGACACCTTACCCATTCCACCCTGCTTACATGCACAAGAAGTGGTGCCGCAAAATCGACGCCAACCGTCAATGGCACGGCCCCCCCCCTAAGTACAGATTCAATACTCTCAGCTCTCAATTTGGGGGAAAGGGCCAGCAGCCTTCCCCAATACTAAACTAGTACTAAAGTACATAGAACTCAGGTAGCCTAGGCTACCTTTCATGATATGATATAGGATGATATAGGTAATGATAATGAATCCCTGTTAATAAGGGGTTAATAGCAATATTGGGAAGGTATGCATAGTTCTACAATAGTTAGTGATCGGGAAGGGATGAAATAGAACTAGTGATAGTAATGTTGTTCGATATGGTTAGTATCGTAATAAGAATGAGAATAATGATCATGATGGGTGCTTCAAAGGTAGAATATAATGATGATAATGGCGATAATCGTGAAAATGGTAGTGGTATACTAATGATAGAAAATTATAATGATCAGTAATGAATTCATAGTATAGTCATGATGAGAATAATGATGATGATAATTATAATAACTTTAATGACAATGATAAACAGCAATTAATACGTGTTTGACATTTGCATAATTATTATGACCGTTGCGATGATCCAATTTCCCAACGGATTTAACAACAATATACAACAATGAGGTAATACACATAAACAATATATCATCATCGTCAGGTAGAATCATAATGAAAAGCAACTCCTATGCGCATGATTATGTTGTCAAAACTGGTCCAAGTTGGCGTCACAAGCAATAAATGAAACGGTGCATTTTCAGAAGCCAAGCAGGGATAAGTGGTTCTTGAGTCGATCGTTTCCGGTAAAGAAACAGATCCAACTCCACTATTTGACAAACTGCCTAAACTCGGGAGTTACCTCCGTCGTCTTTGGCATATTGGCTATCCGCTCCTGGCCATGGGGAGATGCACACGAAATGGGTGAAAGGTTCTGGCCATAGCTATGGACAATGGCCAATTTATAGATGAGTTGCCTATTTAACATGGTGATTTTCATGATTTTCTATAGCTATGTCAGATTGCCAGAGGGTATATGTTATCTTTCTTCAACCTGTAAGAATATGGGTTAGTCTGAAAATGGGCTATTCTCATCATTTTCCCTATGAAAATGATCGATACTGGAAGTCTCCAGCCACAGTCCTCCTTTTTTTCCGTCGCCACCCTCAGGTGAAAACCGCGGGTGAAATTTTACCGTAACCCATAAGCCCCAAAAAGATATAAAAGCAGCTCATCATCTTTTTGGGGATTACTAGATTACTAGATTTTAACGCGTGTTCTTACATTTTCTTGCTTGGGATGTAAGGAGCCTGCCACTCTGGGGGATTGGGGGATGCTGGGTCTGGACCCTTCCCCATCTCTTGTCCCTCGAAAACTCCCGGTGAACATCACCTAAACTGCTGCAATTCTTGCTTCCAACACATCAAGACCGGATCCTTGAAACACGACACCAAGAATATAATAATGTCGTGTCATAATGTGATAAACCGTGGCTGCCATAAACCTACCAAACTTGGGGATGGTAAACATAGCACCCATAAAATTGGTGATGACTTGGGATCGATTACGGCATCAGGGAGCACATTAATAATGTTTTTATATAAATATATCATATATGTATATATATATATATTTATTATTATTATTATTGATATTGTTATTATTATTATTGTTATTATTATTATTATTATATTCTTATTATATTATTATTATTACTATTATTATTATTACTATTATTATTATGATTATTATGATTATTATTATATATATATATTATATTATATATTATATATTATATAATATATATATATGATATAAATGTATAGAATAGTATATAATCATCCACCCAATAATTATGATATAAGAATGTCATCACTGGACAAAGTTCTGACCTGGTCATTTCCAGCCACTTTTGACCCCCAGGTTGCGGACGGTCTCATGTGGCGTGAGGTTGGGGCTAATGGTGCAGCATCTTCGAGGGAAAGGAACTGTTATGTGGTTCCTATCTTGTTCAGTGGGCTGCTAGGGCTAGCTGACTGATTTTTTTCTGATACTTGAGTCTGGGATATGGCGAAGTCGATTGCGATGGCTTTGAAGTCATGCTGTACGTGAGTTTCTTGCTGTCAACTGGCAGGGTAACAGGCTAAAATATGCTACTGTAAATGGCCTTTGCAACTACTCCTGGCTCACGTCCAATTCGACCCAGGTTGAGTCAGGTGTTTGGAGGGTCCGGTCCATCTCAGCTTGTTGACTCCAAAAAAAAGCTGCAGATGCTTCAAGATCCACCATCATGAAACCGTGAACATGGCAGGTTCCCAACGCACTGTATTCACAAATTGTTCCGAACATGGACATGATCGTCATTCATCAATTTTTTTGGGTTTGTCTGAGAATTAGGAACCCTAAATCCAGGCACCGGCCACGCAGCCCCTGTCCTTGCCGGAGGCCTTCGGTGGTAACCGAAGGTTATTTAAAGGCTTACGCCTGACAGCCGGGCGCCGGCCAAGCAATCTTGGCACCATGTTGGCCCTATGTTGGGCCTATGTTGGCCTATGTTGGGCCTATGTTGGCCCATGTTGAGCCATCTTGGGAGCTATGTTGGGGCCATGTTTGGGCCATCTATGTTGAAACGATCTTAAGATGCCAATTTGTCCGCCCTGCGCCCCCTCCTGGAGCCCAAAACCACGTGAAAACCGAGGTTTTCTAACATCGCCAAGATGGATAATCCCTTGCCGCCGAAGGGCCCGAAACACCGTAAAAAACGATGTTTTTGACGTGGGCTTCAGTCGACCGGGAGTGCGTCGGAGGTGGGTCGGCGGCAGGGGCGGGAGCGCACATCCGGGCGCTGGCCACTAAGCCCGTGTCCTTGCCGGAGGCCTTCGCTAGTCACCGAAGGTTATACAGTAGGCGCTGCGACCCCTACCTCCGACGCACCCCCATCCCACTCCCGGTCGGCTGAAGCCTACGTAATTTACGTTGTTTTTTGCTTGCAGTGTCAAAAAAAAACGTTTTTTACGGTGTTTCGGGCCCTTCGGCGGCAAGGGATTATCCATCCTGGCGATGCTAGAAAACCTCGGTTTTCACGTGGTTTTGCGCTCCAGGAGGGGGCCCGGGGCGGACAAATTGGCATCTTAAGATCGTTTCAACATAGATGGCCCAAACATGGCCCCAACATAGCTTGGGCCAACATAGGCCCAACATAGGCAGGCCAACATAGGCCCAACATAGGGCCAACATGGTGCCAAGATTGCTTGGCCGGCGCCCGGCTGTCAGATGTATGTAAGCCTTCAAATCAATGAAACCTAAAACAGCCATCATGTTCCTATATTTTCCCAGCTTGAGAACGGCCATTTGGGGCGATGATTCCCCTAATTTTCAGATGTGCGTGTTTTCTTACCTGGCATGCCACTTGTGGGTAAGGGCACAATGCAAAATCCAATGCTTTTGCTACAGCGTCGCTGGTGCCTCCAGCCATAAAGACTTGCATCAAATTACATATATCAATTTAAAATTATCTCAATGTACCGCCCATCATCGCCAGATGGACCTCCGGATATCTTTGATCCAGGCCATGTTTCGTCATCTTTTCGACAGGAGCTCATCGCTCTCCTCGTTCTGTAGCATCGTCCGATACCAACCAATCACTTGGCTGAAGCCGGCATAACGTCGACCTATGTCTGCGGATGAGAATTGAAGGATTTTGCATCAGTTCAAAATGGCACTGCACAGAAAGAAGATGCACAGGACATCTGTCGCCTACTACCTTTCCCGTCCCAACGTGAAATATCCCAATTGCCTGCAAACTGCAAAAGAGTATCATCTTTTCACTACACTTTCAGAGAGTTTAAGATATCTGTAGATATCTCCACATCGCATATCAGACCGCTCCATCCCAGGTCGCACTGACCGCGCCTTGGGTAGGCCTTGCCAACTTGCAGGCAGGGTCTGAGTCTTTGGCACACGCAGCACCATGCGGCAAGGCGACTGCTTCACTCCACGAATTTGGACTTCATAGGCCAAGGGGATACTGCCATTGAGAGCCAACCTGAGACTTGTTAATATTTTCCGAAATGGGGTAGTGTGTGTATATTATATATATACACACATAGATACATATACATATATATATATAACCGTATTATACATATATCCATTATATTACATATTTTCTATATATATATATACACATACATCTATACATACATATATACATGATACACTGGACTCGCAAAATGTCTGTTTTGTGTGTGTATGAAAAACATCGATTTTGGTGTCAAGAATGTTTGACCCATACGCCATCTCACACTTTGAAGTCTGGTCACCAAACCAGTCAATGCTGTTCGATTGGAACAGTTGGCCCTGAGAGACACAAATCCAAGTGAACAGGTAGGTGGTTGCCATCCAACCTATCTCTTAGGCTGGCCTAGTCATCCATAACCGTCCAAGTCAACATAGTGAAATAGTGAAACCAGCAACCACAGCTCTGCGTGAATTAAAGGGGGGTGTCTCATAATTTGTTGGAACCCAATTCGGCCCATGGTTTCAAACGTCGCATTAATATCCCCCAACATGTTGAGTATGATAAACTGATGACATAAAGCCTATGCCATCCCATCGTTTCAAATCTTAGATGTTCCCTTTCATTATCTATCATCATGTTCAAACATGTGCAATTTATACCACAAACATCCATATAGACATCTATAAATAACTCGTATATATATATATATATACATACATATATAGGTAGTATATGTAGAACATCTCATCCACTGGGAGGGACATCGCCATCCTGGCCTTTGCACGGCTTTCCTGGCCAAGTCGCAGCGGCGCATCCGGATCCGACTCTGGGTCCGAGGCCGAGGCGCTTTCGTAGTCCGCGTCCGTCAGCTTGGCGACGGCCTTGGCGGAGCTCTCAATGGCCATGCCGATCTCCGCCAGCACCTAGCGAGGACGGCTGCGACACGGTGAAGGGGAAAGCAACGAAAATGATGGGAGGGATGGGAGGTTATGGTGATTTCATGGGATATTGATGGATGTTGATGGATGTTGATGGTCAGTGCTGACTTCAGCAACAAAAATGGTGGGATCTAATTGGATTTAACAATCAAGAACGGGGATTATCCCGGAATAAAAGATGGTAGAAGGCAGTGTCAATCCCGGATGAATGTTAACTCTGGTTGATTAATTCGGAGGTGATCCCCAAATAGTATCAAATAGAGATGTCATCTGCTACGAAAATGGTAACCCCCCATGATCAACAGCCCAAGGTGGGCAACGGCTCTAAAATGCCAGGAAACATATGCAAATGTTTAGCCTTGCCCCTGGGGTCATGCCTGTGGGTCCTTTGAACTGCTCCCTGACATGATCACTCAGCTCCATTGCCATCCTGCCTGGTAGAATTCGGTCAGCTTTCCTTTCTCACGCAGCTGCGTGGCAAAGTTGGTGCCCGTGCTGAGAAAGCTACAACGGCGATCCGTCATGAACTGATTGGTGATGTCCAGGGCCATGTCAGAGTCAGGGTCTGGGACTCCGATTTCATTTGGTGTCACTCCCAGGTTTTCCACATCTGTCTCATAGTCATCTAGAGACAGGAGCATCTTTGGAATCATCATGTCCTGGGTTGTGGCTCTTGCAATTCCAACCCGCCCAAAAAGCACCCAACCTTCAAGTATGCGACTAGCAATGCAGGAGTACACAATAGTACACATGGATTTGTCTGAAAATACGGTCCCCTTAAATCCATTGGTCTATCATTGCTATGTTCCCTATCAAATCTATCAAAATGGCAATGTCTTGTTCTGACCAACCAAAAAGGTCCCTTTGGGATCCCAAATGGGCGATACATCCCCACCATCACCCCCAACAAAGTGATCTATGATATCTATGCCATGGCTCCATTTTGTAGTAGCCGCAAGGGAAAAAAACGCTGTCGGCACTGGGCAGCTCCATCAAGACTCTGGAGAGGTCTGCATTCCAATTGTCCAAATCTTCTTTGGTCAAGTCGCAGAAATCCAGGGCGCGAAAGTTCTCATAGTTGTCCTAGGGCATCTAAAGAAAGGTGATACCTTTCTAGTCTCATAAGGTTCTTAAACTTGAAGTCCTGACAAGAAGGGCCAACGAAGTCCAAACAGCTTTGACTTTCCAATACTCTAATACTCCGAGCAAATGGCTGTACTTCTGAAACTGGAGATCAGCAATTTTTGGGGAGATTAGCGTTGCTAACCATTATCTATGGTTGAGGTCGAATACTGTACCCTCCAGTATTCTAACATAGCTATGGAAAATCACCATGTTTGCATATGTTTGATACAGGTAGGTAAATCAGGTAAAACATCGAACTAAATGGTCCATGTTCGATAGCAAACTGTAAAAGTTACCAGAGGTTATGTCCCATTCATATCCCCACCCCTTGTTGGTTCACTGCCTATCACCATTCAAAATCCCCCAGTGAGTGAGTCCCCCCGTTGTTTTTGTTCACCCATCGTCCGGCTTCATCACCAGAAGTTTGATCTTGTCGTACTTGGCTCCGGTGGCCACTTGACTGGTGGGCAAATAACCTGAGGCCTTCACGATCCATTCACTCTCGTCAGGCACACCTGGCGGCCATGAAAAATCATTGGCTTGATGATCCGGAGATCGCGCTTCCGGTTTGAGTTATGTTGTTGTTCAAATCATTTAAATACCCAATATTGGCCCTATATATATATATATATCATTATATATTATTATATTTTATGGACAAACCCATCGCATCGTGTTTTTGAAGCGCCTAAGTCGAAGCGCCATCGCGTCATGTTTCATCTTCCACCCTACTGGATCCGCAGATTTCTAGATCCCATTGGATTCCATTGGATCCCCCCGGGAATCCCACCTGCTTGCACGGCATGCAAGAAAACCAACTCATCCTTGGTACTTTCGCGTAAGCCTTGGATCAAGGGCCCCTGCGCGGGGACGTGCTTCCGCATCTCATTGGCCCAGTCCACGGTGTCCCAAATGCACATGACAAAGAGCCAGTAGACCTGACTTGCTGAAACCTAATATCCATGAAAATGTGCTTTATATCCATCATAGTCATAGTCTAGTACTTGAATCATTACCACAAATCCATCTGAAGTCTGACTTGATGTGAGTTTCATCTCAGCAATTGGGATGCAAGCAGCAAAAAATAAAAATAAACAATGCGTGATGTGACCAACAAAGATCTGAGTAAACAATCTAAGTTTGGGATTGAAAATGCGGATTCAAACATCAAACGTGTGGAATGTGGATGTAACCAACAATTTTGGGGTTGCACTCGGCCAAAATGGGAACTTACTTTGGATTGAGGGTTCAACAAACGATCGAAGGATTGAATATGATTGAATCTAGTCAACAAAATATGTGGAGTATTGTGGAGTTAACATGAGTTAACCATCAAAATATCGGAATTTAAGATGATTTAAGCACCAAATCTTCGCAGCCACAGAGGTGGCCAACTTTTTTTTACCAAGATACAGCATGGCAGAAAAAGATTCGGAATGCCTCCAACGCCAAGAGTGCCAGAATCACCAAACTCGCCGTGCTGTAGGGACCAACGCCTGACAACCGAGGCCCAATTCTGAAGTTGGATGGGTGTTATATATGTGTAAGATTAAAAAATGACCTTAGTTCAAAGTTTGTTGTGAGGTTTTAACATGGTTGGATGGTTAAAGTTGGTTAACGTTGAATCTGCTGCTTTCTGGGTCTTCGGCTGTGGATTTTTCATGATTTTTCACCACATCATGGCGCCTGGTTGCAGCCACACGCTCAGGGCATTGAAGTACATCTGGCAGGCCCCGAATTCGCCCACATCAAATTCAGCCCTCCACTTCAAAGCACCCAAGGTGTTGGGATTTCTCGTCTTGCTTTTGCCCAAGAAGGGAGCTGCAACGATCAGCAACACTGCACCTAGGTAGATACATACTATATGATATATTAATCTTGCTGGGGAAGGACAAAAAAACACCTATATAATCTATTCGAAGCTGAACCCGTTCAACAACTCAGCAAGCTGGTGTGGACCGCTGTGGCTTTGTTTTGACATGTGAGTCTCTGTCTGTCTGTGTGTGTCAGTCTGTCTGCCTGCCTGGATGTCTTCGTGCCTGCCTGCCTGGCTGCCTGTCTGTCTGTCTGTCTGTGCATCCTTGATGTGTGTTGGTGCTTGCGTCCCTTCCGGTTTCAGAAACTGCATGGCTCAAAATTCCCCGAAAAGAGATAGTTAATCAGTTAAAAACGTACTCAAAATGAGAAGTTCATCTAGGGTCCCTTCGCCCAAATCATAAGCATCTGTCCCAGGAACACAGAATCCGCATGATGATCGACACCATTCGCGCATTTTGCAGCCATCCATCCTTTTCGACGCGGGGAACAAAGCCCGGACCGTTCACCAGCTCAATAATGGCTACTGGAAGCTCGATTATCACCACAGGACCCAAGAAGGCGGCAAAGCCCAAGAAATGGAGAATCACCTGGAACGCTGCGTATGCCAGATCAATATGTTTCCGTTTTAGATACATCTGTATTTTTAGTATTTTTGAAATCCAGATGTTTGTCATTTGAATATGTAAATCACAAAAACAGTCAAGTCATATCTTTCCGGGCAATGAAGCATTTTTGCAGAACAGACTTCAGCACCACGAAGTGAAGTGACGAGGATTCCACCAAGGCACCCAGTTGAGCTGGTACAAGAGCTCAATGTTTGAGACTTTCTTCCCTTCCCTGATCTCTCGATTTCCAGCACCTGCTCCACTTACCACAGGGGTTTGGAGGACCATCAATAAACCGAAGGGCGTCATCAAACCGCGAGCTGCGTGAAAGATGAAGCCCCACATATCTTCACCTGCGGAGCTGCAATCACAGAAATCTGCAGAATCTGGGTGGAAGTGGGTCACGATGAGCCATTGATGCTATTGGCTAGATCGGTTTCTCAAGGTCAAGATGCCTATGGTTCATCCTATTTCTACATGGACTTCCCACCGGACCAAGTAATCCAAGTGCAAGTTCCATCAGTCTGAAAGCCCTCCAGTTTCATAGCCCCTAGGCCTCCACAGCGCATCATAATTCCACCGATGGCCATCCTTGGAAACCCGTTGTCAAGCCCTGAAGCGTGTGCAAATGTGAGTGACACATGTTGTGCTTAACTGAATTTGAAGCTATGAATTGGCAAAAACACAAGGGGTGGAAGAAAATCCTGAATAAAAAAAACAACACTGCAGCTGAATCATCAAGAAACAGCAAATGATGTTCTCATGTGTTTTTTTGATGCCACGTGAATCGGGGGTAAACTCCTTAGAGCTGGACGGACCCAAACATCATGTCGTTGGTCTTATACTCCCGCGTCCATCTGGGTTCTGAAAGTAGTGTACCCAGTGCCCAAAAACACTAGGTTTATCGGTTTTATCACCATGTTCTCCATGAAAGTAGCATTTTGGGGGGACAGGGTCGGACAGAGCATATCAGTATATCCCAATGTTACATCCCACGGCCAAACAAGTGCCATGCTCAAACGTTGCATTCCCATGGCAATAGGATGGATGACCATACACCATAGATCATCTTGTTGGTTATATTCATACACATATATATATATATACACCATTGTATATCCCACGATATTCCCATGACGTTTGGTTAACTCCCATGTATATTCCCCTTATATCATATCCATTACACCTCAATGTTCTAAGTATTTTAACATTGTTTTTCGAAAAGAAAAGTTAAGTTGTATCCATCTTACATCTCCAGATTGTATTACCATATCCGATAGTCCATGAATTTATTTCCCATGGGGGGAAATCATCTGCCATGGAACATGATGGTGCTGGGCAGCACTATGGCCTTCACCATTTGACCCTCGGAGGTGGCCTCGTCGCCAAAGGTCTGCGAGATCGTTTCGGGATGTGTCCTGCGATCTGCGATTTCCAGGGTCCAAGAAGGGGAGCTGGATCTGGAGGAAATGATGGATGAAATACCATCAGAAATGGGGATGATGATGGATGATGAACATAAAATATCATGACATGGTGTAAATATTGAAGTGAACAGAAGGGTACCAGGGCGAATTGACACCATGAGGATTTTTTTCAGCATGATGATGGCACTACCACAGTAATCACCAAGCCAGATACAACGGAATCAATGATGGACGATGCTGAAAGTCCTCATCAAAGTGGAGTAGTCCACTTTCTCTGTCTTGTTGTACCTGGATGGCTGGATCAAGGCTGCAATGGCTACATCGTCTATCCAGAGGTCTTACCGCATTTTTCCTTCCATCAGGGATTGCAATTTAGCCATATTTAGCCAACGTATCTGACCAAAGTGTAATGATTCACCAAGCTGAAAAGTTCAGTCATGTGAGGATTCCAGAGGGTCTAGTTGCTTGTCTTTGAAAGCCTTGAAGTAGACATGGCGGTTTGCAGGAGACGAGTACCAGACGTCAATGGAGGCCACAAAAGCTGCATGGCACATCCTGGCTGCAAAGAACACCACCACTGCCCCAACGCATTGCACCATCAGCTGCGGCTCAATCGCCATTGCTGGATCACCGAAAATATACAAAACCCTTTTCCCAAAGATCGAGCCTTAAAGCCTACACAGGCCAAACATCGTTGGATTGACTATGGTACATAGTATCATACGACTATATAATTAGGATGATAAAGGGATGCATACGATGTGCATGGATGTGCACCATGATGCAATCTGCAAGCACTTGCAGACTGAGGACTGCATGTGGCGCTCAATACAATTTTGAGGGGGTGCTTTCGCATATGCGAAGCACTGTGGCAGGACAATTGCACCGCAATGTTGACTTGCACTGGCACAACTATGGGGGAGATGCGCATCTCGGAAAGAAGACCCATGTCTTGTTGGTCGCAAACACTACTCCAGGAGTCTTATGGGATCTTCAGCATCACAGAAATCTGATGGAAACGCTTGAAACGGCGGCTCGAAATATGACGAAAGCGTCGCCTTGCACCAGAAGGATGTGTTTTTATCTTTGACATTCCAATGGCCCCGAGGATTTTGCCAGACCAGAAATCCCATCTAAAAATGGAGGTTTATAGCTGGGGAAATCATCAATGGTGGATCCAGCCAGGGAAAATCATCCATCAATGGTGGATAAAAACCATCGGTAAATCCTTCTTTACAGCCGAAGCCGTGGGACTGCAGCTACTGCGTTGAGTTTTAACATCGGCTGGATCCATCTTTTCCCAACATGTTCATGTTTGCTGGTGTGTTGTTTCAAATCCAAATGCTCTTTGGTCAAAAACACAGGTTTTCTGGATGAGTCAGAAATGTTGATGTTTTTAAAAAGCCATCGTCTGGTCAACACCCCATAGCCACCAAAATTGCCCATGTCCAAAAATATGTCCAAAATATGTCCCACATATTTGTGATAAATGGTGATAAAAAGCTGCAAATTTCATAGATTCGTAATTTTTGAACCAAGGAAATCATTGCTTTGTTGACTTATGATTTTAACATCACCGACATCACCCCCCCTTTTTGTCATGGAACTATGTTTGTACCAACCGCATCCCCCCATCCCCCGCGTTTCTTTGTGCTGTCGAAAGGGCGTTGCTCCGAACGCATCTCCGCGAGCGCTTTTTTGGGGTCCTTCGCGATGATGGCCTTAGGGTGAATCCGCGGCTCGGACTGAAAGAACATGGAATTGATGAAGTGTATCTGTATATCTCTGTATAATATGTATAGTATGTGAACCTATATATATTATAATATAATATGATATAATATAATACAATATAATACAATATAATATAATATAATATAATACAATATAATACAATATAATATAATATAATATAATATAATATAATATATATTATTATACGTGGTATAAGTATTGTATACATATATATATATACACACAGAAGTATTAGGTACGAATTACAAGTATGTATTTGTTATGCATTACATGATATACTATGATGTCCTTTTACAATATATATATATATACATATATACTATATATATACATATGTGTTTTGCATGTGGTCCTCCAAAGAATAGAATAATGATTAAATCAACGTCACGCCTTCACGTGTGGGAATTATCTTTTCTATGTTTGGGAAAACTTCTGACAGAATGTACAAGTACGATCGATGATGTGACTATCCAACTTGGGTTCTGTAGTTTATCGTGGACCGGCGTGGACCGTGTACAGGATGGCTCTGGAGAGGCAGCATCGATTCACCCAGGTTCTGGAATCACCAAGGGTCCAACCATGTCAGCATGAGGTCGACCTGGTGATTCAAAATGTGCAGAACTTCAACAGAAAAGAGTGGAAGTCACACTTTGGTTCGATATACGACTTCCCTGCAAAATGAACATATGCATATATATATATATGAAAATTTATGTAAATACATGTAAATACTCTACCTTTTGCCCATCTGACATGACCCTGGTGCTTTGTCTTGCTCAGCAGTTGCGCCTGATTCCAGTTGCGCCATTACGAACCGTTGCCTAAAAAGCGAAACCGGATCTCCTGAAAGACAGAGCAGTAAAGGGGTCAACTTGGAGGGAGTCCTTGGAGCTAGTGTGCAACAAGCTTCACATTCAGCAAAATGTTCATCCCCAACTGGGATAATGAAAAACTATGAAAAACTGGGCTAAGGTCCAAATAACTTGATAACTTGATCACTTGATAACTTTGCGTCACCCAGATTGCCGCAATGCGGGGGAAACCTTCGAAGCCACCAACAACAGGCCGCGCGTAAATTGTCCTGATGGTTCCTCGCCCGTTGCTTGGGTCTAGCACAAGGCACATGGTCTTGCTCTTGGCTATCCTGGCTACAGTACGCAACCTTCATGCATCATCAAGCACCTTCGTGAGTGCCAAAGCAGACTAAAAAACTCGGTTTTCTGATGATCAAGTATGGCAAAAGTCACATGTTGCGTCTGACAAATTCTGAGGTTAACATCAGTCACGGAGGATGAGGACAAGGATGAAGATAGGAGGAAGAGCATGATAAGGATGATGAGAATGATGAGGACGATGACGGTCCGATGACGAATCTGGATTCACCCAAATAAAAACACTTGCAATGGTTCCCTTTCGGAAATCAAAAACATGGCAGATGAGATTTGTCCATTTCAATGGGTCGTGCCATAGGACCATGAGATATATCATGACATGAATCATGACTCATGCCATGAAAAAAAACATGGCATCAATGGCCATGAACCCCCATGACCCCACCCATAAATCCACAAGAAATGCCCATGTTTTCCCGTGTTTGAAAACGGGGCCTCTCTGGGCCGCTTTTCTGGAAGATCCGCCGGACGGCGGTCCTGCGGATCCCAATGGTCCATGGTCCCCTGAAAATGGAGATATTCCCTCTATTTTGTTGCTTGTTCCCACCCATATTATCCATATTGTGCAAAGGAACTTCCCATGTTTGGCTGGTTTTTTCTTAACAAACACGAATGTGTAGAATTATTTTGGTAAATATTTGCCAGATACTCTGATTGATCATTTGAACAGTATTCGTCATTGGGGATCATCATCCCAAATATAGTTGGAACTCAAACATATGTGAAACCACCAGTCAGTCATCTTTCATGACACTTAGCTGAACATCTTGATTCTTCATAGAACAACATCTACGCAATTGATTACCAGATCATCACTGGCTATTGTGGTAAACCCAAAGCCATGAAGCATCCCAAAATCATTTACCACTTTGATGTATTTTTACAATCTCTAAGTTTGGCAGGTTCATTATTGGTTTTATCACCTTATATCCATTATTTGGTTCCATGATATCCGAATTCATAATCATGGCGATGTGCCCATTACATCCCATTACAAGCCATAATTCATGGCCAGGGGCCAGGGTCTCCAAGTAACCCACCCCATGGTATCCCCATGGTGAACTCCGCTCCAAGGCCCCAAACCCGACGACGTTTGGAGGACGACTTCACGCGTCGATGCCTGGGTGCCTCACCGGGAAAAGCCAAGCGGTTTTAGGAAAAAATGGTGAGTTCAATGGGGAGGTTGACCGGTAAGAAATGGCAATAAGCTGTTTTAATATGTTTTAATATGTTTTTGATATGGTTGTCCATGGGAAATGACCTGTTGATTGAGGATTTGAAGCCAGCACGACCTCGATCTGGACATCTGGATGCTAGTATGTGTTTACCAACATGTCTTAAACGAGACATAGGTCTATAAGGAATGAGGCCGAAACCAACCAACATGGGACACCCCATGTTCATGTTCCAAGCAGATCTACCAATGGGATGACATATCCCAAACTTGAAACCCTTAGGGTTGTCGAACAGTCCAACAGCCATCATGACTGCAGATGTCCCAAAAATGTGGTTGTCACATCAGCATCATCAGCTATTCAGAACTGCCTCGGATGAAGCGGGAGACTCCTTAGCGGACTCAGCTGGCGAAGGCTCCTGTGCAAGTTCACAGCTGTTTCATGCTGTTTCCAAGACAACTTTCACAACCTTGACATCATTCTTTTTGTGAATCACCATACAGATATATATATATATACGTACAGATGGTTCACATGCGGACTTCACCAAAAAATATGCAGGGCTTTCCTATACAGTAGCACCCTACATATGTTCGCATGGCCATGGCAGCTACCCAGCTACCCCACCTCAGTTGCACTAGGCCTCAGCGGCTCCCATCTGGTGAGGTTGGATCTCCATTTCACAAAATGGTTGAAAGGGTGCATTTGCGATCTACAAAATGTACATAGATAGTTTCAAAAAGTGCGTATAAATGTCTTTATGTGATGTATGTATATAATCATTATATAATTATATATGCACATGTTCATTTATCAAATTGAAGCATCATCTACATTGAACACCTTGAACCCACGGCGTACTGACCATCCGAAACTGAAGCTCAGGATATCGCTTCTCACTCGCAGCCTGCACATGCAGAAGGAGAGGTAATTATTTGTTGCCCATGAAACGCACTACCTTTCGAGCATTTGTTTATTTTATTGGTACAAGGGTCTCAGGGGTGGTGGCAGCTTGATTACATTCATTTGAATTCCGATTCTCCGTGACTCTTGTTCGCAACATTCTGGCCCACTGGCCAAATCGATTCAGGGATTCTTCACCTGCTAGCTGCCAACACCAGCAGGAAAACAGCACCTCCACATCACGATGTTCATGCTCCTGCGCAGAGGCACCCAGAAAAGCCTTTGGAGTGCGGCCTAAAGCCTCCCTGCCTCTGTGATCAAAACACGGAGACGAGAACATTTGATGACCTCCTTTTGGGGTTCATGTTGAAGGGTTTCATTCCACAGTCCATCGGGCATCATCTCGCCTGTCTGTAGATGGCTTCCAGCTGCTTTTCAGCTTCAATCTCCTCAAGCTGTTGAGAAAATATGCATCAGGGAACCATGGAATAATTGAATCTGATTGAACTCTCCAAATGTCTGGAAGCCAGGTGTCAACATCACCAACTCCCCAACCCCCCTATTAACCCATCCCCTTAACCATCCCCATCCCCGTCCTCCGCCGATTTGGCCGGTCGCGCCCGCACCTTGGGCCGGGCACTAGGCACCACCAGGTCCTCTGCCGGCGAGGCGGGCTCCGCGTCGGAGCCGACCATGGAGGTGGGTTCCAGTTCCAACTCGTCCTCCGACCTCGGCTTGAGATGGAAAAATTGGGAAACTGTTGGGACCCCTATATTTTTTGCTGTTAGTGAAGATTAGGACTAATAAATATCAATTTCAGTAGTACATCTGGGAAATTTTTGGCATGTTTTTCACAAATTATATCCAATTATTTCACAGATGTTTATTCCTGTTCATGCCATATATTCCAATTATTCCATAAATATATTCCATATATTCCCACAACATCCCACAACATTCCACAACATTCCATATATTATCCCACAACATCTCGGGCTCCGTGCTTCTCACTGGGCGGCTCCGTGGCATCGTCGCCATCGTCGCCATCGCCGTCCGCCGAGGGCGGCTCGGTCTCGTCGCCGTCCGAGGACCTCGGTTTCCGCCGAAGGCCTGGGGATTTTTTTGGTTTTGACCAAGGGAAGGAGACGAAAACAGCGGAAGAACATGCAACATGATGGTAATATGATGGTAATATGGTAATAATATGGTAATAATATGGTAATATGATGGAAAACAGCAACAAGAAGAAGAAGAAGAAGAGTAAATAAAATGTGATTTTTCCCACCAGGAGTTGTAGAAAATTGGGATCTTTGCCGACAGAAACGGGGATTTTGCCTGGCCAACAAACTTGGATTGACCCCATACTGTGCCACGACAATGAGGATCTAACAAAGCCTTAAATAGCAAAAATAGCAATATAGTATCTAGATTTGTTGGATAAGATCCATCAGCCACGGATCAGGAGTTATAGCAATACTTGGGCATCACTGATACCTGCAGTAGCAGTCTTCCTCTAAGAGTCCGGGAGTGTCATTGTGTCATTACTCTTCCAAGAGACCCTAGTTGGTAATTACGTCCCATGTCCCATGAGTTTGTCTGAGAATAAGTAGACCATCTATGCCCATTTTATGATCCAATGGATCATCATTTTCCCTATGAAATGGCCATTGGAAGGTATTCGCAATTTTAAGACAAACCCCCCATGCGTTGCAGAAACTCTCAGCTCAACCGGCTCAACCCCAGTCGTTGAGGTCCCTAGCTTTGACTTGTCTTGTCTTGCCCGCTGCTTTGGCCGAGCATTTGCAGCACCCTCACCGATAGGAGTGGAATCAGAGGATCAATTCTCCCAGCTGAAATGGGAATCTAAAAAATGTATAAAAATGTGACCATTGGGGACTTAGGAAGATCAGGATATTTCAGGGCTATTTCAGGGCTGCAATGGGCTGCTGGCCTCATCATCACTCAGAGCACAAAGTCTGTCGAGCTCCGTCTCCTCTTCCTTCCAACCACCACACCAGCCATGCTCGACATCAAATCCAACAATTTGTGCTGCTTGAAATGAAGCAACTATGTAAAGCTATGTAAGGGACTTCCAAATCGACCAGAATGTTTGATGCTTCACATGAGTGGCGGAGAAAATTACTTACTACTCGCAAAGGACATGGCCAAAGTGGGTGGTCCCCTATCGGTTGTGAAGGTTTTCACACAAATTTGAACATCCCAAGTCCACTCCCTACTAATACTATATACTTTAGTCTTGCGCGAAGTTTGTCGGTTACTCACATGATGATAAGCAAAATACCGGCAGAAGTTCCCGCATCTCAGGTTCTTGCAGAGGGAACAAGGTGAATCACTGCCTTATTTACTGCACGCGTAGCTTCTGGAACTCCAAAATGTAATGAATGAGTAGTCTGAAAAATGCTGTCCTGTTGGCTATCCCCCTTGGCAAATGTTGAGTCCGCCTTTGCTACAACAGCCCATCAGCATCCGTCAAAATCCACCCGCAATAATCAACGCCAGACACATACACAGGATCCTTGATATCACTGGATTGGTCTCAAGGAAAATCTACGGGAAACCTTGGTTTTCCATGGTTTTCCAGGATTTTCCCATGAAATATGAGTGTTTCTTGCAGAATTTGACTCAGAAAATCACACATTCTACATCAGTAGCTCCAAATCGCTCCCCCAAACCACTGCTTTTCGATTTTTCCATGACTTAAGTCACGTGTCCATAGTTTTTTCCATGACTTGTTATGTTTTCCCATGTTTTCCCATGGTTTTCCCAGGTTTTTCCCATGGCTGCCATACCGGCCCCCTGGCATCATGGGCTCCTGGGACATGCGCGGCCGCTGCGGCGGCTTGGCCATCGCTTTGGAACGGCCCGGGACGATCTTCGGCGCCGGGGCTCCGGCGAGAAGCCTCTTGGGACAAACAAAGATTGGTGGATCTTATGTGTACATATACATATACATATATATATATATATGTGTGTGTGTACTTAGTAGTGTATAAAGTATAAATATAATTAAATATATATATATACGTATTTGTGTGTGTGTGTTTGTGTGTGTGTGTCTGTGTCTGTGTGTGTGTGATCTATATGAATGTTATACCGACCGTCAAGATAACGCAATGATGCGTACTGATTCTACTAGAAATCGAAGACAATGATAATTGCAATAATCATAGTCATAGTAGTAATAATTAATAATAAAGAAAAGTGAGGAGTTCCAGGTTCATCAACAAAAAGACATTGAAATCAAGGACACCTTTTCCATCCAAGCCTATCCAGCTCTGTCTCATCATCCTCCAGTTCTGGGCTTGGTTCCTTTGCCTTCGCCTCAGGGCAACGTAGAGTTGACGTTGAGGTACCGTGGCCTGGTAAACATAGAAAAAGCTATTGAAAATGGCCATAGAAATAGTTGATTTACCCATGAAAAATGGTGATGTTGGTGATTTTCCCATAGTTATGTCAGTTTAGCAGAGGGTGGTGTCATGAATCATTCCTCTGTAATTTTCCAACACACTTTGGCGCTTCTCAAAAGGACCACGGTCAGAAAGCCTGGACCATCACTGAGCTTTGGACACGTTGCTTCGGCCTCGCAGTGGCAACTGCCTCGCCACAGGCAGCGTCACAGTGAGCTCCCGAGAAGTCACTCAAACTCTTCATAAAAGGCCTGAAATCACATTTATGTCATATGTCATTTGATTGATGTCATCATATGTCATCATATGTCATGATTTTGAACCATATGTCATATGTCATTTAAGTTGAACCATGGACCATACCACATCAATCCACATCACATATCATTTCCGCTCAATGTCAGCCGTCGCTTTTTGGGATTGCCGCCTTTGATAAAACCACCGCATGGTGGAAACTCCAACCCACCAGTGCCTGCGTGGCATCCTGGCTGTGTCACCATCGAGAAAACCCTTCCGGTACACATTGTGACCAATGGAAACTCCACTCAAATGGACATGTGAATGGGAAAATCGATTATGATCCATTTAGTGATTGATTTGGTGATTTATGATCCATTTATCCATATTGTATTGTTGGCTATCATCAATACGATTGGATACAAGTCATTGTCAATATGATTCATCTCTGTCCAGCATCGCCTCCTGCGCTGCCCATAAAGCGACATCTGCTGCCTGCGGTTTCCGGCTGCTTCCGTGGTTCGGTGGAGCCGCACCAGTCGGAGGTTTCCAAAGTCATAGGGGGGACCCCCACATCCAAGTCATAAGTACCCTCTGGTAAACTAACATAGCTATTGAAAATCACCATCTTCAATAGGTAAATCAACTATAAATGGGCAATTTTCAATAGCTATGTTAGTCATTACCAGAGGGTATCCATAAGTATCCATAGGTTTTGTCTTGAAACCTATGGTGAGTTGAGGATTTTCATCCATTTTCAGACACCCCCACATTGAAAAACAAACGAAACCAAGGGTCCCACCTGCCATCCACCAGGCTCAACCTTCTGGCGCTTCATCCTTCGCTCTTCCTGGCATCGTGGACCACTTTTCTTCCCCCGTTCATATTAAAGACCCCCCAAACGAAACCATGGTTTCGTAGGGAATGTCCACATTTTTGGGGGACCATTTATGGGCTGTCTATGGCTGTTTAATATTAGGGTGATGGGATTTCTCAACCTTCCAGAGCTCACTGCAGTTCGTCAATGACCCATGGCTTTCAAGCCATTTTTGGTCACCTCCTTCCGCTGCTTCTCTTCCTCTCGTGCTCGCCTAGAGGAGTGGATAGATCATGTGAAGGGTAATATTATATATATTATATATATATTATACAGTACATTATGTATAATATTGACCAGAATATATTATATGAGGCTTTCCATCAATGGGGGAACTCCCAAACCATCTACGACCAGTCTCTTTAAGATGCAGCCGAGGATCCTCTTGTCCTGCCAAGATGCCAAGTGAAAAATTCCATGAAAAAAGAATGAACAATGTAGACTCTATCTGCTAGAACATACTACAGCATTGGGTCATCTAAATATATCTAAAAATTAACCTCCCACTGTCCAACTAGCAATCCCAAGTTAAGTCTCCCCTTCAATGCCGGAATTCTGCAGGTAGTCTCTATATAGTTCAGTCCTCTCTGCGTTGCCTGACCTCTTCCCTGGGTCAAGCGGTTTCAGATCTGAAGATGTTTGGAACTCAGAAGAATTCGATGACATACTTGGAGGTGCGGCTGGGATTATGTTAGAAATATGTATAAATAACACCGGGATTCTCACCCCGATAAATTCGGTTTTGAGGGGGCCCTATAACTATATGGTAAAATATACCGCCTCCTCTGATGTGAAAAGCTTGCATGTTGGGTCTGTCAACGCCAAAGGTACATCCAAAATGTGATCCCGACAACGAAAGATCAAGAGGCACAAATGATCTTGAGGATTCTTGAGGATCTTAAGGCTTCGGCAAGAGAATTCTGATCTTCCAGGATTTCTTAATGATCAAAGAAATTATGAAACAAAGATAACAACGGTAGCTTCCAAAATCTGCCTGGCCATTCGGTCTTCCTCCCACCTGCAGAGATCAACACAGTCTCGGAGATGCCGCTACCAGCATTTCTGCGAGTTTTTCTGTACACAAAATATGGAAAAGAATGCTGATGAAATATTTCTTTGAAATATGATTATATCATATTATATCATATTATATCATATTATATCATTATCCCAGTTCTTTGTCGGTTTCCAGATGCAAATTCCAGATGTCGCGCTGAACCTCCGCATCTTCTCTTCTTTGCGCTTTCGCTCTTCTTCGCGGGCACGTTTCCGTTCTTCAGCTGCTTCTCGTGCTTGAAGCACCTTTGAAGCTCCAGCACAGGGCTAGGGTTTCGAATCATGGCTGATGTGGGACAGATCTTTCAGAGACGTGTCGGAGGGAAGTCCTGTGATCATCATGACAGTGAAGATGAAGGTCATGATGGTGATAATGGAGAGGACAAGAATGATGAGGGGAGACAACGACAGCAAAGTCGAACAACAGAATGTTGCAACCGCCAGGAGACACAATCCCAGAACCCGGGAGGCTAGAAGTTTTTCTGGGCTCGAATTTCAATAGATCAAGAGCTAAAGATGTCAAAAGTTGTATATATATAATATACTTTATATTAATAAACATATTATATATATATTATGTGAACTTTCCCTCCTATCGCACCACACCCAGCCTTGATATACCATTTTAGCAGCTCTTCTTCCCTCGCACATGCGAATGGCTGATTGGTTCAAAGAAAATTCGCTCAGGGACTTAAAGATTTTAAAAGTAATGTTGTGAAGCCAACAAGAAACAACTTCCATTTGGGGATGATATGTACGACTGATTTATTGCTTTAGGGGATGGGTAATTATTGGCTTTACCACATCAAGGGATATACAGGGGAAAGAGACAGTCTGTGGGTCCAGTCTGCATGTGAAAGTGGTCTCTTCACGTGTGCTTTCTGAAAGAGCCAATATGATCCACTTATTTGTGAGCGACAAGGGTGTACAGTGTGTACAGCTATTAAATATGTATAGGTATGGCTCGAAATTGGGGTACTAATCCACCCACAAAATGGATGATGTCTTTAGTATCCAACCATGCGTTTTGGCGGGTATTTAACTGTGAGCCATTCGCATACCATATGTCTTTATATTCTCCATTGAGCCTAATCTCTGCCCCATGGCACCAATTTTGTTCCGGCTGTGTACCGTTATCCACTACTGACACTGCTGCTCTTGAACCAAAAGCGGTCCACTCATCGGGTTGGTTGCCACATCCTGTTGAAAATGGAGCATTGAAAACACCATCCGTTGGCCCTTGTGCATTGTGGATTGGCTGTACATGGCTATACTTTGGATTTGCACCGCCTTACAAATTCCTTGCTACTCTGGAGTCCAGGCTGCTGCCCTTCCACATCCTGCCTTCGCATACGGCTTTCTTCGTACCGTCTCATTTCTTCCTCTCTTCGCTTCTTCTCTTCCTGAAGCAATCAAGAGTCCCCATCATTGGACTTCCAGGCCCGAACTGTCTCCTACCTCACCCCCACTCCCAAAGTTCATCCAAGATCACCTGCAAGAAACGTCAATCTACATCTACATCTACATCTACATCATCAGTATCAAATTTCAATCATCAACATGAGCTCAAAAGCCTCATCCTATCCCCATCCTATCCCCATCCCCAGCCCCCCCCAGCCCCCCCCGGCCCCAACCGGCGCCTCTCGCAGCCGTGCCTTCTCCTCCTCGCGCTGCTTGCGCTTCTCCATGGCCAGGCGTAGCGCCTTTTCGGCGCGGCGCTGGATCTCCTCCTCCCGGCGCATGCGTTTCTCCTCCCACTTCCGCATCTCCTTGGAGGAATGCCATGGGGAATGCCATGGGGAATGATACCCTCTGGTAATTTAACATAGCTATTGAAAATGGCCATTTATAGTGGAATTTCCCATGAAAAAAGGTGATTTTCCATAGTTATGTTAGTTTACCAGAGGGTAGATTATGATAGATTAACGGACACATGATGGGGATGGTGACGGGATGGCGGGCGATGGGATGGGATGGAGTTTTGTTTAAGAATATGCAGAAGATATATGAAGATATGAGAAAAGTGATGCTGGCAGGGCCAGTGGAAGGGTCAGTTCATGGTTCTGAAAGACAGCCTGCAAGCTGTACGTATGAAATTCGATCTTGCCCTGCGTCCTCTTCGTGCTTTCGCCTCCTTTCCTCATCCTGTTTGCGTTTCTTTTCAGCCGCTATCCTCATCTGCTCTTCCACCCAACCTCACATCAACACTGAAATCAGGGTTGATCAAGTGTTCCTGTCCGCCAAGCCAAACTATCAGCACAGCTGTGATATTTTTGTTGGCCCTCAGTGTGTGCTGAGTACTCTGAGAAGCGCACGCTGAAGTTTTTCTTCTCTCTTCATACACTCATCCTGGAAGGAAAATCGTGCTCCACGAAGTGAGAATGTAGAAATAAAGAGCAGGAATACGCAAAGCACTAAGTGAAGTATGTGTGCCAGTCAGTATATATAATATACATATGTCACTTTATCAGTCATACTGACACATTCATTGCCTTCCTGTATTCTATCTTAATGCCAATCTTGCCTGAAATTAGAGCAACGTGAGTGCAACACGGAAGCAATCTTCCAAGTCAATTAAAAACAAAAACGTTGACCGCAGAAGTGCTGCACAACAAGGTGGAGAATTAACAGGGGGTAAGCCAAGTCACTAGTTCACTAGTTCAATCTGCATTTTTCCTTCAACAAGAAGGCACAGCCTCTGTTTAATGAACGCCAGCCAAGTTCGACAGAGCGGAAGAAGGGGCTGACTGAAGCAAGGACTTGACGTGCGACATGTGGACAAGTTGCACGTCGTATGGAAATGATCATCAGCTGTTCAGTGAAAGATTCTGCAGTCGCAGAGCTCGGAAATGGATGGGGATCAATTTGCAGAAACTGCTACAAACGGCATCAAACGGCTTTGAGTCAATGTGTAGCTGTACTTCTCGGTGATTCTGCCGCACTCATTACTTGCACTGTCTTCCGTGCTTGTGCTTTTGTTCGAATATTGACATTGAAATGAGAATAGCATGAGTACAACACGGAAGCCATCTCCCAACACCACGGAGTCACCAGCATGGCATTCACGTCTGCTCTAAAAGTGTCTACAAGACAACTCTCTCCTCCCAAAGCTCTCGCTGGATTTCATTTCTTGTTCTTACCTGGCCAGTCAGGGCAATCAGTGCTCTGAAGAGCATCGACTGACCACTCCCATCCACTGCATCTTTCCTCGAAAGATTGGCTTGTTGTTTTCATTCACAGTGACCCACTCGAAAACATCATGTGGCAGTGTGTCAAAACCTTGTACCCCTGTAGTTCACATCAAAATAGCTGGGATTCATGGATGTTCATCCCACTAAAAATGGTATTTTCATAGGTATTGATCCATACCCATGTCCCACTGCCGCACCTCTTCCCGTCGCATGCGGCTCTCTTCATAACGACGCCTTGGAGCTGCAGAGATCCGCGAAGAAATGCTGAGCTCGGCTAAGTGCGCCGCATCTTTTCCTCCTTCCTCTGTCTTTCCTGCTCGAAATGTGCTGATAGTCCAGTTGGCATCCAAGGATTATATACACAATGTTTTTTTTGTGGTTTATGTTTTCTTTTTGTGGTTTCTTGTTTCTTGTGTTTTCTTGGCATCATCACTGCGGGTACATAAGTCAATGGCAACTTGGTCTTCATTATCTTCACTTCACCCAGCTGTTTGCGGCTGCAAGGCCTCTTCGCGCTTCCTTTCGGCCTCCGCGCGCTCTTGTGCTTTGCGTTGTCTTTCTTCCTGCAAAGATGATCTGAGATGATCCGATGTAGTCGCCTCTGGTAATTTGCTACTTTTTGCTATTGAAAATGGCCATTGAAATAGTGGATTTTCCCATTGAAAATGGTGATTTTCCATAGTTATGTTAAATTACCAGAGGGTAGCCTCTTCTTTTTGTAGTCGTTCTTCTTCTGCCTTCCTTCGCTTCTCTTCACGACGTTGTCGTTCCTTGCAGCCCCAGTAAAAAGGGGACGTTGCTGCGACTTTGGTTGTTTGAACTTTCGACTTCCCCAACAGTGACACAATGTCATACCTGTTCAATAGTGGCACTTGAATTTCTGTCGATTCCCTTCAGGTCTTTTTGGTGTGCTAAAAGATGTCATGGTCATGGTCAGTGTTAAGAGAATTGACCACCTGCAGCTGCAAGTCAACCAGCATCAAATCTTAGGCCTCCTCTCTTTTCATGCGATCTTGCTCAAACAGCCTCGGTAACAAAGACACGGCAAGTAATCTGGAAACAGGGCACGCCCAAATCCACTGGTTAAAAAAAGCATGTTCCCTATTGGCCACACTTTTTTGGTATACCCTACCCTATTTTCAAACACACCCATGTCTGCAACAGGCCCACATACCAATACGCTATGGGTCTGAGTGTTTCAAAAGGTGACTGTTTGCAACGTGGCCTCCGCTTCTCTTCTCTTCGCTGCCGTTCAGCTTCGCGTTCTTGCTGTTCCTGTCGAGACTGACTGTGGAAAGAAATCTGCAATGATTTCAGCGCAGCATAGAGATGCAGGAACGCATATATATATATAATCAATCGTATATACATGTATGTATATATATATACATATACATATATACATATGTAGATACATATTATATCTACATTTACAGCTACATGTATATATACTTTATTTATCTTTATTTACAATCGCCATGCACTTATATCTCATACATATATAACGATACTTTTTTTCATTTTTCTACAACCTATCATATATCAATATATATATATATATATAGCCGTGCAAGTACCCTATAATGTGTGTGTGTGTGTATCAGATCGACTGGCTTCTGCAAAAGGCGGGGTGGACCACAATTTTCCGCGGACCCACCTTGTGTTGCACCTAAACTCTTTCCAAGCGAAGGCTCGCTTTTCCATGTGCGCAAATCGTTGCTCAAGTACAATGTGTGTATGTGTATATATTTATATATACATGATTAATTATGATTAATTATGATTAATTATGATTAATTATGATTAATTATGATTAATTATGATTAATTATGATTAATTATGATTAATTATGATTAATTATGATTAATTATGATTAATTATGATTAATTATGATTAATTATGTATATATATATACATATATATATATATATATATATGTAATCCTGCGATCAACGAAAACTATCATGACCTTCTGTGGTGCGCGCCTTCTCCCTCTTTTCAGCCGCTTCTTTGGCTCTCCGCCGCAGCTCCTCTTGATATGCAGCAGCTGTTGCTGCTTTCTTCGCCTGTGGGCTGTGATCATCAGCAATCTTATTGTTGAGTTGATTATTGACCTTTAGTATCATTATATAATATGATTATATAATATAACATAATTCATAGTATATAATACTATGATTAACTTCAGTATTATAGTTTACAGATTACTGATCAATATAACAAAACTTTAAGATAAACATATCTACCTTAATTATGGTAGTCAAACTTGGTTCGCAGGAAAATTCCCTGTGTAGTTCGATGAATTTCCCATACCAAGTATGATTTAAATGCCAATGAATAGTTTGAGGATGTCCCAGGTATGTTTGATTAATGAAGGATGTAAAATTCCATCAAAACAATCAATAAATTCCATAAATTCTATCAAAATCTATAAGAATCCATAAAAATCCATGAAACAATCTATAACCTCACCATTTTTCGTGTCAAAACCCATGGTATCCCATGGTCCTCAGCTTTGGCTTCGTCCTCCTTCCTCCTCTGCTCAGCTTCCGCTTCCGCAGCGGCGGCCCTGGCAGCTTCCTCCTGGTGCTGATTTCAGCTGTTTGGAAAAAGAATCCAAAATAAAAACATGGAACCAGAATAGATTACACACATAGTTACAGTATAAATAATTGTGCACATATAAATCATATAATATATACTATATGTCTATATGTAAATATATATATATCACATATCACAATATGATGATTGATGACAAGTTGATGCGCCATGGTCAACCTCTTCGCGGCGCCGGAGCTCTTCACGCTCTTCTTCCTGGGGATTTTTCGGTGAAGCAACAGATCTTACGGTGCCCCGATAGCTAAGGAAACCCTATAGGAAACCATAGGAAAATGGGGATCTCATGGGATTTATAGCTGATTTCTGATAGCTAAGTTGGTGAACATAACTCCAATAACTATGGTTATCTTGGTGATATAAGTGATTTTTATCTACGTATAGTTCATGGGCAAAAAAAATCGTTTACAACAGGGGCACCATCTTGTAGGATGAAGTGGGAAGTCATCGGTTGAACCAGCTTGGGAGAATGAACCATTTCAACCAATGACTAGTACCTCAGGAGCTTTGGGATTGGACTTCGTTACAAGAAAAATCCTGATGACTTTGTCTATGTCTCAGGATTCAACCAAGTCTAAAGCATCCCATTTTGGGCTTCAGATGTTTGATCCATCCCCAAAATCTGCACGGCAACATATCTTTGTTGGAATGTTGGTCCAAATATATCAGCATGTGGAAAAGTGCAATGTTGATTTGAATACCTGATGCCACTGAATAACAAATATCTTGACTTGACACTATCTGAGTTTGTGAGAAAATAGACTACTCCCCCAAAAAAAAAATCAACCCCCAAAAAAATGATGGTTGATCATCATTTTCCCCATTAAAATTGCCATTTCTTTTTCGGGGTACATCTTCCATTTTCAGACGCGCCTCAAAGCGTGCTGCGGCCTGGGCACCCATTTTTGGTTGTTGATCATTTCCCTATGACCATGTTTGATGGTTAAATGTCCATGTGCAAACAAGCAAGTTGTCAAGCATTGCGCATCATTTTTCGATGGGAAAATCACCATTCTGGACTCTTCAATCAGGTTTTCCATCAGGTTTTCCATCAGGTTTAACATTGTTTAACCACCATTTTGCCTGGTTTTTTTTAATGTTGATTATGGTTAACTCATGTTAACTCAGCATTTTTCGTGTTTTTTTCTGAATCCCATTGGCCCATTGCCCACACTCCGCTCTCGCCTTCTTGGCAGCGCCTCTGCGTTTCGCCGGCAGCTCCATCGGTTCCTCCGGTTCCTCGGGTTCCTCAGATCGCGTTGATTGCGCGGTTCTTCAGTAGGTTGTTTCAGGGGAAATCTACAGGAAACTATGGGTTTTTCCCCTGAAACTATGGTTTTCTAATGAGAATGTTTTTAGATCTGTTTTTATCTAGGGTTGGAAAATTACCCATGGATTACCATCGAAAAGTATGGGAAAAATATGGGAAGATATGAGACAATAAGACTTGTTTTGGGACATCATAGGAAATATGCAAAATTCTTACCATTTCTTATGACTGCTATGCAAAAAAAAACAATATTGACAAAAACATGGTGTTTTATCGCAAAGACTATGACTATGCTTAGGAAGTTGGTGCCAAGATCTGTAAGTTGCGCTTTTCAAACGTAGCGGCTAACATCGGCTAACCAACTTTTGGACAGGCCATAATCATCCATAATCCATGTCTGCGACATTTTTTTTCCCACGATTCGAAAAATAAACCGAAGAGGGTGAAGCAGCATATTGAAGCTGTCTAGTAAGTCTATAGCTGGTTGGTGGTTTCAGCCCCTCTGAAAAATATGAAAGTCAGTTGGGATGATTATTCCCAATATATGGAAAAATAAAAAATTGTCCAAACCACCAACCAGATAGTATGCTCAGAACCGGATGATACTGATGATACCATATGATACCCAATCAGCTGGAGCAGGTATAGCTGATACAAGCAACACGATGACGCTTCACCAAGGTACCTCATCTGGAGCTTCATGGGCTTCGTGGTTCGGTTCCTTGGACTCTTTGTCAATTCGCTCCTTCTCTTTCCGAGCTTCTTCCCTCCTCTTGCGCACATCTGCGCGATACCTTAAGGCAGGTCGTTGGTCTTTTGTATGGTGAAATCAAGTCGTTGGACCGTCCTTGTCCCATTGGTTGATTAATAGAGGGGTCATACGGTCATCCCATGTCATCCCCATTCAACAGCCAAATAGCTGGTCAAAGGTTGGTACCTTCGCCAGCAAGCGCTGGCAAAACGCTTGAACAAAGAAACCACCAGGTCAAACACCAACAAAAACCAACATGACCTATTCCTTGGGGGTGAGTCTTGACCCCAAAAAACCTCTAAATTCCTTTTATCTTTTTTTAATGAAATGTCAGGAATGCGATGGTGTTGGGAATCCTCGATTTTGTTGAAACAGCCATCGTTTCCGGCCGCGCAGGTCATGCTGCAGTTTTCGAGCTTCTTTCTCTTCTCGTTTCTTTCGAGCTTCCTGACAGTCCCAGGAGTGGGAGGCTCAAAAACTGTCCGGCTGAGTTTCTCTGATTGCGAGCAGCCCTTGACCAAATCTTGTTCATTGACAGCTGGTAATTCTTAAAGCGATGAGTAACATGACCTAAAAGAGGGGGTTGAGCATCTTGTCTTGGGTCGCCAATGCTAAGAAGATGCTGCAAGGGCCTCTTCCTTCTTCTGGACAGCAGCACTGGTGATCTTGCAATTCAGGACGCATTCCTTCAAAAAATGCGCCAACCTTCAAGCTGTAGTACATCCGAGCCATTTCTCTCAGAAATTGGTTGAACACATCAGTGAATCAAGTGCATTCTTGAGGTAACAAGCCCAGAAACAACCAAGAAAAGGAAGCAAGGCTCGGGGAAGGAATACTTCAAGTCCACTTCTCATTTGGATCTACCAGCATGTCCAGTCACAAAATTGGCACAATGTCCACTACATCTCTGAGAATTTGGGAGTGTGTTAGAAAACAACTATCATCAACTCTCCACATCAACCATTTGTGAAAAGAACTAGAGTTTCATCCACCAGTCCAAATTCAGTCCTCTACAACATCTCCATCGCCAACTTTGCTGCCATGTAGTTCCTTGACCACTTGCTCCATTTTACCGGAATCCTGCGAAAAACACCAACCAATCGTTGGAAGGCCCACGACCGATGCGGCTGGAAACGGGGAACTTTGACCTACAAAAACTATAGAGGTCCTAAAACCAGCAATACTGATCAAACATGGTCAAACGAAGCAGCTACCAAACGTCAAATCGATCAAAAATGGTGGTAAAACGAGTAGCCATGAGGTGTAGAGCTTCCAAAGATGGTGTCAAACGTCAAACCATGTCAAAGCTACTCAACTTCTGGCCGCTGGGAAAAGATACACGTTTTGTGCTGTTCAGGCCTTGAGAATAATCTTTGCTATTCGCCCATACCTGCCAACTGCTCAAAGAATGGTGATGCCAGTGATGCCACATGAGTTTGTGTAAAAACTAAAAGAAAAAATCTTGAAAATTCAAACACACTGATATCAGGCTTTGTCCATCACCGTGTCCGACAATCGCAGAACTCCTCAAGAATTGCAGTGTCTGTCCACGACTGCAGCTGCATGGTTTGAGAATGCAAAATAAAATCCGCCCGCACCGAAGGTGCTGGGGCGTGATCTTCCGGATGGCACTCGTAAAAAGGTTAAAGGTTTACCTGGGGGGGGGGGCATTTTTCGTCCAAAACCTCCTGTTTTTGATAGGTCGTGACGCTCGCCTTCAAAAAACACTGTAAAAAACAGTACGGAAGACACCTGTTCGTGAACGCGCCCGTCCAAAATCGGCAAGCGAAAAGTGAAAAAAACCCGTGTTTTTCAACTTTTTGACCTCAACTGATTTTCGTCGTTTTGTGATAGCAGAAACACTGGTTTTTACAGTGTTTTTCTGTTTTCTGCATGCTTGACGGCTAGCTTCAAAACTTCCAAAAACCTCGTAAATTACGCTGTTTTATGTTACGGTGTGAATGAAAACATCGTAAATACCAGTGTTTTTTGACGTTGGTTAAAAAAACACTGTAAATTACAGTGTTTTTGGCCACCTGACCCTCGAAAACCATGGTATTTGCAGTGGTTTCTGCTTCTCACCGCGCAAAAACACTGTAAATAACAGCAATTTCGCCGTTTTTTCATGTTTTTCGTTATTTTTTGAACTGTGTTGGTCCGCTATACATGGCTATCAAATTCTTCGCGTTTTTTTTTCCGACAATCGGTACTTTCGGATGATTTTGGTCTCAATGGCCGACATCATTGGCAGTTACGAGCGGCTGCCCAACGATGCGGTGCGGGCGGTTGCCGTCGCGAAGCGACGTGAATATCTGACTGTCGCATCTAGTATCCTCAGAATTCGAGCAAATTCCCACATAATTAGTCTCATTGATTCTTCCTCTTTCATACAGAAGCAGTTTACACTTTTCGCCGCCCAAGGGCATCGTTCAAGTCCCTTCCCGGCCTGGAATCTGGGACATAGGTTAACCGCTCCACTCCCCCAAAGGCTAGGAAGGTTGCACGCAGTTGGGCCTTTCAGTCACAGCACCGAGGGTCGGTGGCTGAAACATGTTGAAACCACCAGCCGACCCGTTCCGAAAAAGCTCAGCGATAAGGCGATAAGTATTGTTGGGATCCACCCATCCAGTCCGACTCGAAAAAGAGGACCCAAACTCGACTTGCGCACCTCACTCCAGCTGGTGGGGAAGCCCTCCACCAATAAGTAAGTCTCCTGCGCGAAAAAGCTTCGAGGAGGGATTTAGATGGATTTAGGCTGCCAGCACTTTTCTGTTGCCAGCACACGATGGACTTACACGAACACCTCCACAAAATTGTAGCCTCAAAATCCGTTTCATCATTCCTTGAGGAAGAAAAATTGGCAAAATCTCACATATCCTCACCACCCAATCTACCCCTATCTATCTGCTCTTCATCCAAATGTTGATTGTTTTTTCATGGATCATGCCAAGGCCTGCGAGGCTACTGGCTCTTGAGAAGGGGCTGGTGCCGGCTGTGCGGAGGCCTCGCTGCCCAGATTGGTCCTCCCTCCAAATTTAGATGGTTTGCTGCTCAAATAATGAATTATTATGAATTATTATGATGGCAAACAAATCTTGCAATCTCCAAACTTTTGCGCCTTTGCGCTAGCCTGTTGCTTTCTAGCACTGGTCAGCATACATGTTCCAACTGCTAGCAATGCAGTCAACGAGTTGACATGATTTCATCTGACTTGTTTTTCCCGAGAAAGTGATGCCTGTACAAGGGTCTTGCAAGTGCCAACAGCAAAGGACCCCAAAGGACCAGATCATCTATGAACGGGCATGCAGAAAGAACCAAAACTGACGTGTAGACACCATGTCTTCGTCTTTTGTGTTTCCTTCTGCATGCGATTGGCTGACTTCTTCAACTCCATTGGGGAGGACCATGCCCAAACTGGTCCGCGGTGGCAGTATTTTGCTCACATACTTGTTGCGATAGCCGCCTAGATTCTTGCCGCAGAATCCAAGCCTGTGAAGAAGCCTCCTAGCGCAGTCCCCCCGCTGGATGTCTCATGGGGCAAGGAAGACATTCACAAATTGATCATCAAACTCTGCTGCTCATCTCCTTGTTCGTGTGGCCAGTGTGTCTGGTTTGCTGCAAGTTTGGGAAAAGCAAGAGCCCAGCGTAGCAACAGTCCATAACAATGGTCAATGTACCAGCAGGTGTGGCCTCCTGGCTCATGACCAAAAAGTCATGAAAAGTGAGGTAATGGCAATGCGATTTGCTGGGCCGCGGGGAAAGATTTTCTCCTCCAGAACCATGTCCGGAGAAATAGAAAAACCTGTTGTTGCAAGTATGTCAACAAACATACCTTCGTGAACTGATAGCAGTCCCAGGAACCTGAGCTGCTGCTACCACCAGACTAGGTATGAGATGGGCCAGCAAGCTTGCACCCCAACCTTGCACCTCCTGGCTACTTGAGCCCTGGCCAAAAGATTTGGAGGAATCCCACCCGAGACCAGTGCAACTCGCAACTGAGAGTAGGTCACCTGGTTTTTGGGGGATTGTACCGGCTCTCATACTTCTTTGATGCATTTGGATGCATTTGGCCTTTTTCCGCTCACATGTGCTTCAAAAAACTGATTCGATGTTGACTACATTGGAAGACTTGTCTTCCGCTGCATCCAAAAACAAATCCGTTTGCATCGCAGGTTCCACATTCAGCATCTGGGTCAACCTTGTGTCAATCGGAATTGATGCTGTGTGATGATGGCTTTTCGACATTGTTCGGCCAAGTGGAAAGTAGGAGTTCGATTGATGCCTTGCCCCATCCTGCTATTGCTCAAGCTTTGTTGGATGATTGGTTGCAAATGTATGGAAGACGCTGCTCAATCGCAATGGCTACAACCAGGAAATGCTCCAGGCTGGTCCCCAAATCAACTGGTGAATCATCAGATTCTCCATGAAAAATTGCCCAATAGAGTAGCCCCGAACAGAAATAGAAATGTATTTCCAGGATTTTCCAGGATAGTATTGTTGTTTCCATGTTTTTCCCATAATTTCCAGGTTTCCAAGTTGGAACTTCCAACTTTTCTATCTTTTGGGAGGTTGTCAGGGCCCCTGGGCTCCCCATTTCTAGACAAACCCATCGCTTTTTGGCTTCAGACCGGAGGCACGATCTGCGCCCAAAACTTCTCGTCCTCCACGGGTCCGATTTCCAGCGTGTCATCCCCCAATGGCTGGTTGGGCTGGTTGGCCTAATGGAAATCTGAAAGGAAACCCTGGTTTTTACCATTAAGGTGTCTATCCAAGCCAGGGATCTCCTCAAAATGCCAAGAAAAAGCATGAAAAAGCCGGTGCAACTCACCACACCTCCGCGGGCGGCTGATTGCCAGCTTCGCGCTTTTGCTTGGCAGTGCGCATATCCACACCATGCAAAGCCTGAGCGTCAGTGAATCTGTGTTTTTTTCCCGTGAAAAGATGTGAAAAGAGCCTTTGGACATTTTTAGAAGGGGGCTAAAAGAATTTGGAACCCCTAAATCCATGGTTCAAAACCTCAATTGGCCCGGGGCCGTTAGAATATGTTGAAATGGCTCATCCCTGGCTTCAGAATCTTGAGACCAATTTCTGTGCCCGGTGACGTTGTGAAGATGGCACAAAGCTGTGTAAGTCACCACTGTTGGGTCCCCGGGAGGCAACTGGGATAGTTCCCCCAAAGTTTGCGATAAAACAAATCATCACCTAGTGGTTTTTGGGGCTTCCACATTTTCAGACCCAACGGTTGGTCAAATCCGAATGGTCTTTGGGCAAACCCCTAATTCTCTTGGACAACTGGCTACTATTGTTAGCTGTTGGCTGAATTGCCAGCTTCTGTCCATATCATATAGTTGCTATGATTGTGGTTACAAACCCATTTGTCTTCGGGAAATCCCAAGAGTTTGTTTGTTCGATTCCCAGTTTCCTGCCAGTTTGCTCGTTTATTCTTGGTTAGATTGTCAGCTAGATTCGCCTTTTCCCATCGTTTCTCCAGTTTTTATTGGTCAGATTGCCTGTTTCCAACTGGCCAACTGGAACTTTCCACACCTCCCAAACCTTTCAACCTACCCGTCGATACGAGCTCGACCTTGACAGCTTTCTCGGCCATAGCTGGTTCCGCGAAAGCGGCCTGGGAGACGATCATGATTGTTCTTGCTATTCATAGTTATTGTTATTGTTGCTACTATTCCTATATATACGTGTATATATATAATTATATATATAGTTATATATATAGTCTCATTCATTCAATTCTTATTGACATGTTTGTTATTGTTGATTGTTGATGATTGCTATCGATTTGGATGACCTTCCTTTTCAGGTTGCTATTGTTTCAAGATCACGCGTGTCGCTGCGAAATTGGCTTCCTCGGCCTCTGAAAAAAATGCTATATACAAAAGGTACGTGCAAATCTTCCACATTCTCAAAAACACCAATGTTAGCAAATATATATATATATCCAAAAATAGAGGATGTTCAGTCATATGTTCAGTCAGTAATTCAGAAGGTCGACAAAAAAAAAAGCAACATAAAACGTCCATATCAAAAAGATCAAACATCGAGTCAATCAGTAAAGAACTACCATCTGGTTATGACTAACAGTTCGCCATGGAAAGATCCACCATGCTATTAAGTTCGGTAAACCATCTATTTCGATTAGGGCCATCTATACCATGTTATTTAACATAGCCATGGAAAATCACCCATAGAAATAGATGGTTTACCTATTAAAAATATTTAAAAATGGTGATTTTCCATGGCTATGTTAGTCATAACCCAGAGGGTGTATTCAATCAGAAACTTCGCACGGTGATCCCCACCTTCGCCGTGGTGACCTCGCCGGGCTCTACATTGACCTGGCCGCAGCCATCACTAAATGATCATGTTACATGTTGATTCTATATATATGTCTATATTATAACTATATGTGAAGATGTTTGATGAATTTGAAGATATTTGATGAATTTGAAGATATTTGATGAATTTGAAGATATTTGATGAATTTGAAGATGGTTGGTGAATTTGAAGATATTTGATGAATTTGAAGATGGTTGGTGATATTCTAGTCAGTATTTGATTATATAAATTATATTTGATAAAATTTGCAGGAGGTGGACTTGAGACTTCAAAATGATTCTGGCTCCGCAAATCACAACCACAACACTCACGTCTGAGCCTACGTCCGAACTTCACGGAGTCTTGGTATGTCTTGGTGATTCTCTACAGAATCTGGAACCTGGTTAGAAATAAACTTGGTTGGTTTTCTTCAGAACCTATTTTCCTATGGTTTCCTATGGTTCAACTTCAGAATCCGCCATAGGAAACCTCCAACATCCTCCAACATCCTGAGGAAACTCCTGAGGACTCCTGATGGGCCCAACCTGAAGTCCGGTGAGATCTCCAAAAGTCGATAGCAACTTCCTGGCTGGAGGCAGTAGGTGAACTAAAAAACCCAACAGAATGGCCCCAGGTTTGTTCCATAAATCCGTTCAATACAGTTCAATAGCTTTTCCAAATTCTCCCAGAATAGCAATTTAGTGTATATTGATGTTACTAATAATTAGATATCATTAGTATCATGTTTACCATCTGCTTATGTTAAATAGATGGTTTACCTATTAAAAATGCATGGTGAATCTTTCCATGGCGAACTGTGAATGTCATAACCAGATGGTAAAAAAATCGGGCGCTCACCGGGCGCGCGCCTCAGTTTGGCCTCGATGTCTTCACCAGTGTTGGCCATCCAGGCCTTTGGGAAGTTCCGCATCTGAAGCCTTGGAAAAAATCGGCGAGACGGTATATGTTGTGTTTTATAGTTTTGTGTTGAGTGGGGGTACATATATCAACTCATCCATTGGCCTTATTGTCAAGATAGATTATATATGTATATAACACATAATATATATATATATGTTTGGCCTACTGAGTATTTTGTACGTTTTTCAGGTGAAGTGTGAATGTGACAGTCTTCGCGGAGCTGAATGTTCATATTTTCCAACAGAAAGTGATGGATGCACCCCAGTGGATAGGAATGCTTTTCCCCTTTGTATTCAACCATACATGTACAGTATTATAGTAACCACTAAAACGATAGAAATAAGTTGGAAACCTGAAAATTGCGGAGGATACATCACTTATAACATCTCTGTTTCATCCCTTTTGTGGGTTCCCTTTTTTTCATCAGTTCACGGACGGCATGGAAAACGGCTTGGGCGCCCGACACAGAGGACATGGTCTGCTTGCCATTGGGTGCCATGGCCTGCTGCTGCGATTTTCCGTGGTTGTTTTGATCAGAAAATCCCCATGGAAAATCGCACCATATTTTGGGGGTGAAGCCATGGAAATACCGTGCCAGATGATGTGGATCCCTGCCTGAAAAAAGGGGTGAAAAACTTCAACTGTCAACAGGACATTGGCAGCGCATCGCGGGAGCTTCAAACTCGGACCCTATGCAGCTCGCTGTAGATGTGCGTAGAGCGGGACTTTGGCAGTTGAGTGGTCGATTTCTGCTTCGTATCCTGGTGTTTGGGTGTTTGGGGTATTTTTTTGCTGACAGCGAACGACATGCAGCATGTTTGATTTGGATCTAATTTGATCTAATCTATGTCATCTCACATACTATCCATAGAATTCCATAGAAACATAGAAGCCTCATAGATGCACTTCCGCAAGGTTCATGTTATCCCTATGGGCCCTATGGTGATCGGTTCAAGGTCTGCTGGGTGTGCTGGGTCTGATGATTTCCTGGCTCATTTTTAGCCGTCCATCTCCAGGCTGTCTTTGCATTTCATGGCCTTCAGCCTGGAGCAACACTGCAGAAGAGAAGATGCAAATGATGCAAGACTAAACACAGATGAGAGGTAGGGCAACATCTACCTACCGTATCAATATCAAATGACGAAATTTGTGAGAGAAATGATCAAAAATCCAACACTTTATTATTGACTTCATTCCATCAAGACGCTGCTCGTTTCCCGCAGCGCAAAGCATTGCCTGTGCAACGGCAAGTCTGAACGAGTTCCAGCCACTGAGGCTGGCTATGTACAACACGCGGAGCGCAGCAAGGGCGGCTGCTGCCAGCTGCCATCGTGCAGATGTGCAAAACGGTTGTGTTGTTGCAACCACAGATTTTCACGGATTCGTGAAAATCTTCAGACGTCGATGAGACAGAATGAGATCTACAAAAATCGAGAGTTGGATTTGTTTGCCGTGATGTTTGGCTGTCAAGTTGCTGTGAGATCCCAAATCACTCTTGTTGACAGGTCATTTCCATTGCAGTGAATTTAAATCGATTTTTGGCGGCGAATGCCGGCTTGGTCGTCATCCCGGTAGCCAGGATTGGGCCCAAACTGTGCTCCTTGGTGCTGGCCATGTGCCCAATGAGTTGTGATCATGAAACAACTGTTTCCATGGCAAAAGGATATTCTATATACATCTATTGTAAATTTATATATATATAATGTATAGATACACGTCAATAGATTCGTGTTTTTGGGAAAAATGAATGGAAAATCATCCAATCATGGAAAAATGGCAACAAATCTACAGAAAAATGACATGTCAACCGGACCAATCTCCCAAGGCCATGGTGGCTGGCATCTAAGGATCAGGCTTTGTCCATCGGAGACCTTAGCGGCGGGGTCATGGCTGGCCGGAAATTCCAAGGGAAAAGAACGTCGGAGACCTGAGGTTTTCCAGTGGTAAGGCATACCTGAACAGTATGATCGCATGATATCCTAACATAATTATTAGTAAAAATCTAAAAAATCTTATAGATCTTATAGGATCTTAGATCCGACTCTGGATTGCATCATTGGGATCCCTGAAAATAGGCATAGACTTGGGCGTCCATTCTTGAACAAGTCTATGCACCAATCCCTGCGCCAAGCAGCAAGGATCCGCCAGTCAATGGAAGCATCGACATTTGAAAAGGCGATCTTCATCACCTAGTCCAGCTGGAAGTTCATAATCAGATGGCTAACTGCATTGGATTGTTGAACAGAAAAAAACATCTACAGTACATAGCTCCCACTCTTGGATACTCGCAAATCTGTCTGGATCATTCTTGTCAACGAAAATACCATATGAGTTTGCCAAAATCATAGGATAGCCCACAATCCGTTGGTTGATCATCAGTTTCTCATGTTCCTTCATTGCAATAACATAAAATCATCATCTTTCTGAGAGGTTTTCATCGTTACTCCAGCATTCAGCCCGCCTTGCGCATCCACTCATCATGCTCCGTGGAGGCATTCAAGGAGGGAACTTCTTCAAAAACACCCAGCCTGCAACCATTTTTTTCGAGCTATCTGCTATCCAAAAAAAAACATATGGATCCATATGGACTCTGAATTTAGACCCACCATTTGGATTCGGCTAAAGCTGCTCAAACTGATCCTCCATAATAACGGTCTGAGATGCCTATCGTCTCGTTTCCACATCGACTTTGGATGTCTTCGACCGTTCGGCCAAACAAAAAAGAACATAGTCAACATATGTACGTTTCCAATAGTTGTCCTTCCAGCTGTGATGTATCAAAACTCTAAAGACAAAATATGATGGCGCCAGCTTCCGGCCCAGTCTGTTTTGTTTCTATCTGACTGCAACATTTGCCCATTCAGGATCTCCATCAAGGTGTTTCGCCACAAAGCTTCAAGCATCAAGTGCCTCTTACATTCAGCATATGGATCCACGATCTCCTGCGCATCCGACCTGCCCACCGCAGGTAGATGCGGTAGAAGTTGCTGATTGAACCAAGTCAACACACCCGAGCCTTTCACTGGAAACTCTGCCCAAACTAGATGTTGAAATAAAAATGACTGCAATGATGGCATGGTTATCATGTTTTTTTTTGGTGAAACTATCTAAAGTCAAGTCTCATATGAGCTGTAAGAGATTCAAATTTGCATTCAACATGTCCAATCTGCTGCCAATCAGAGCTGCCCTGCATCCGAGTCCGCGCCTATTTTTGCTTGGAGACTTGGGTGAGCCACCTGTGCAGTCCTGCAAATTCGAGACATCCAAGTGTGTTCAAATGTTGGGCTATTCTAATTCCACCCCTCTATAGTATGTGTATGTATATATATATTCTTATATATACTATCTTAAAATATAACTATATGTTGTAATGTAGTACAGTGTATATTGATACATATACATGATATATATATAATATATAATATATAATTATATATAGATATGTGTGTGTGAGTTATACCATACATTATATCATATATATATATTATACATGATATTATATATATATATATATCAAATGATGAAATTTATATCTATATATTTATTATGCTACATGATATAGTGTATATATATATCAAATGATGAAATATAATACATATGTGTGTATATAACATTTGACATTAAATGTAGCATGCATTATACATTATACATGATATAACACATTATGTGTATATATATACATATACATCAATACATGTGTATATATATAAGTACAAATACATATACATATATACGCATATATATATAATACACCTATACATATACATTCCCCGAAATGACCTTGGTTTGTGAGGAGAGTCTACCATCAGCAGGGGTTACTTGACTTCTTGAGTTTGTCCATGGTGTGCCCCTCAAATCCGGTTTATCGCCGTCTTTCTCAGATTGAATCCCAATATTTCAAGATTTCCCAGATGTGTCCTATCAAAAGCATGGCTAGGAAATCCTCGAACTAAATGGAGGTTTCTAGCTGGGGAATCATCACTGGAGAGTAATCCAAATTATTTCTCATACGTATACATAATATGTACTATGACAATAATATATCCCATTAAAATGTTTTTTTTCAGGTGAGCCCCCATCTTTTAGAGACAAAATGCCCTGACTCAACTCACGTCCTCGGTCTTCGTGACGCTTCCGCCCAAGACCTTTTCAATCTTCAGCTCGTCCAGCAGTTCTGCAGAAACCTTCGAAAAATACGGGGTGCCATTTGGAGGAATCCCTTGCAATGAGTTTTTTACAGTAGTGTGGGAAACCCAATTGTAAACCTACGTTTGGGGATGCTTTGTATATAGAACCCATTTATGGTATTTTTGGGGATGATTGATTATTTGGTTTACCACATTAGCCCCTCCTAGGCCCTACTATGCATTGATGTTCATTACCCCAATGGCAATGGGTAAATAATCCAGGCTCATGATATGAAAATCCCGGAAACCCTGGAAGGTATATGCTTGAGTACTTTCAACATCTCTCAAGCCAAGCTATTCCGCTGCTTCTTGTGGAACAGTTGATCTCACTACAACGATGCCCCCACGTTGACCACGTTGAAAGTGCGAGCTGTGCCTCCCAGGGTGCATTTTCCAGAATTGTCGCAGCCTTGGTTTCAGTGTGGATAGATGATAGGTGATACCACCCACTATCCATTTCTTGTGAGCTATTTGGGGTGAGTTCTGGTTTCATTCCCATGTTATCATGAATATTTCTAGCTGGTTGTGTTCAATTCTTATTCATCTTATTTGCCTCCCTACCGGGGCTGATGCTTAAAATGTAAACCATCAACCAGGTCTTGTATTGTGAATTGATTCCCCACTATAAGTATAACAAAGTGTGGTCTTGGGAATTCATAAAATTATTATGTATATATTATCTATCATGTGTTTTTCTATGTATACACACTATTTATTTATATACATTTATCTATATATCTGGGTAAATGAAATAATATTTCACTCACCTGAATTAAGATAATTAGGGCCATTTGGGGATGATTTCCCAAACATTAACCATGATTATATATATATATATATACCTGTATATTATGCTATACTACTCCCCATTTTTTTGCAACATGTCATCAGATCCACAAATCCCCTGAGTGCAAACGCCCAAGGTTTTCTTCGCAAACGCCCAAGCCGTGCGGCGTAGCATTCTGCGGGCCTGGCAGATGTCTTGGAGATATCATGGAGATATGATGGGTATGTGTACAAAGTATATGATATATCTATGATATATCTATGATATATCTATGATATATCTATGATATATCTATGATATATCTATGATAATCTGATAGCACACCTTTCAACAATAGCTTCCATGGAAATCTTCGAAGATCGCCAGAAGAAGTCAGAAAATCCCAAACATGATAGGATCGCCAAGTGCCAACAGACTCCTGGTGAACGTCATCGCCTGGAACAACATCCAAAAGTATCCAAAAGTTGGGATCTACAAAAAGCTCTGGATGATCCTGAAGTCCTGGAAGGCAAAGATGCTGAGCTTCCCACTATGCACACCAACAACCAGGTGATCAGCTAGTCTGTTGCCTTCTTTGAGAATGTGGGCCTAGCACGGGCGGTGTAACGCGGCGGTGCCGGTTCTCTGCAAACAATGCTGCCAAGGTAGAAATGTCGGACCAGTTGTTTCATAAGCACTGGCAAGGCAGAGCATATGCTATATCAACATAATTTACTGGTGAAATCTGGTGAAAATGGATGCCTCCAAACTTCTACATCCGCACCTGTGCTTCGTGCAGGAAGCACCAGGAACCATCCACATACATCACCGTGGAGCCTGCTAAGCTATGGCGAAACAAAGCAGTCAAATTTGGAGGTCCACAATTTTTGTGATACTTTCCATGTCATCTTAGCTGTTCACTGTGGGGCAAGCTCCCAAAGATGGCAACAGCTCCCGGATTGATTGAAAATACATTCTTTGCGTCCACCGCCTCCAAAAGAAAGCATCCGAACAAGCTAACCTTTGGCAAACAATGAAGTACAGTAGAAGAATAAGCTAACCATATACGAAAGACAAGGTCAGGTATAGTTATACTATGTTATACTCAATGGCATGGTGAGCACCAAAACTCCAAGATAGTGGTAAACAATGAGACGTACTTCTGGTCATCGCATAATGATCCCATGGAAAGTGCCATCCTCTCCTCGTGCGGCTGCTTCCCATGGCATCTCGCAACTGCAGCAGGGGGTCACACTCTGGCGGAATTGTCCTGGACCGACGTCGAAGCGATTCATGTGTTAATAGGAAAATATGTGAAAATGATGATGAAATTTGGCCATTCTCATAAGGAAACAACGTGGAAATAGCCGTTCTAATATAGGTAATATATTTTTTCTTGTCAGTAATGACCGGAGGGTATTGAAATTACCCTCGGAGTAGGTCAAACTCATGGAAACCCTGAGGGTTCTCCAGTAACGCTCTAAGTTTTGTTGCTTTGAACAAATGAACGCCCAAAGACTGAGTCAAATTTGGATGCTTCAAAACTGGATGCTTCAATATCAAATAATATCAAAGATATGACACATCTGTGGGTCGAACTTTCTCCAAGCATCTTGGTCCTTCCAGCAGCGCCCTCTTCTCCTGTCTTCTCTTGCGATCTCGGAATCTATCCCACCTGAGCCATCTGTATGGCTGGTGAAACCAGCGTTTCCCAGTTCATGGATGTTCATGGGCTAGAGCAGTCCCTAACGTACTAATGTAACATAATGCAACTACAGGCTACAGCTGCAAGGGTATAACCCCTATCGGCCCTATCTGGGCCCTATCAAAATCCGTGTGTTGACCCAGGGAGCCATCTCTGACATGGAGAATTGGCTACCCCATTGGATCCTGGAGAACCGTTGAGCTCCCAACTGCATCAACAACAGCGAGACCTTCTGCTTCAAGGCCTGATTTCGCAGTTTCAAACACCTGGATGTTGGGGGTATCCCGTTTTCTTCAATATCAACACAAGGGGAGAAAAATAAATGATCTACTGATCTATGTACTGTATTCTTAGAATGGAAACCAGTCGTTGAGCGACCAGTGTCCCTCGAATTTGGATTGTACCAATCTCACTCCCATCTCTCAGTTGTTCTCACCCGGCCAAAGTGTCAACTTGCCGAGCAGCCATCATCAAGGAGTTGAAGAGCACGGTTTTATAACTCATGATCCAAACCTCACTTTCACAATTCAGCATACTCTGAGGGTTGATTATAAAACCAACTGGTCTTATACCCTCTGGCTATTTAACATAGCCATGGAAAATGGCCCATTATAGATGGTTTACCTATTGAAAAATGGTGATTTTCCATGGCTTTGTTAAATAACCAAATGGTAACTCATGATGCCAAACTCCGCTCCGACCAGTGTCGCAGTTGACATGCCACATCTCCGAGCACCAAACGCCTTGGTAGAGGGAGAGCCAGCCTTCGTTGCGCACGATGCCAGCCAGCATTCCCCATAGACCTTGATGATCACCTCCCGTGGTCTGAATCACCGCCTGCCATGAAACGTTACGAAGACAGCTCCAAGCAGTGCTGAAGTGCTGGTCCCAAGATGGCGTACCTGGAAAAATCCTTCGAAGATGTTGAAAGATCGAAATGTTCAGCAACTATAAATAGTATCCGTTGGTTATATATCCCATTATATCAATATTATATCACCATAACATGTTTGGTAGTTCCATCATTCCTAGTTCGAAATGTCTAGTAACATTTCAAATGAGATAAACCATGGCAAACCATGGTAAACCATTTTCTGCCGCGCCTTGGCCCGGATCAAGGGATAGGTCAGCAGCGTGGCGACTGCCTTGGAGATGCCCGAGATCCAGAACCTGGGCGTAACGGCTGAAAAATGAGTGGGAGTGATGAAATTTCATCTATTGACATGCATTATCTATATATGATCTATATATGATCTATATATGATCTATATATGATCTATACATTATATATACATTATCTATATGTTATCTATAAATATATATATGTCATTTTAAATAACTTGACGTCTATCTAATATCCTGTTGGTTATGTTATATTGTCATATATATATACATACATGCATATTTTACATAAAGTCTATATATATACAGTATATATATTATCACATATATACACATACATACATATTATTTATACATAAAGTCTATATTTGTATGATATGCTATCACATGTCATCATATGTTTCTATATGATCACTAAGATTATCAGCTGGAACACGGTCAGTCTCCCACGCCATGAGCCCATCAAACATGGCAGGCTGACATGTCCGAGGAGCTCAAGAAACCCTCAGGAGGCGTGTTCCGAACCGCCTCAGGTCAGGGCGGAAATCTTCTGAAGAATTCTGGACATGTTTTGGATGTTTTTTTGTGAAGTATGTTGGAAGTATTTTGGAAGATATCGTCCCCATGATTCTCATGATTCTCATGATTTTTTCATGTATCCTGAATTTGTATCATAAAATCTCATGTTCTGCTCAGTAAACCGTGAGCATTTTGTCATGCCGCGCCTTGAGCGCGTCGGAGAGCTTTCCAACCTGCAACGTGTGAACGAGTGACTCAGTCGTCACTTGGATGACATGCCACAGCACAAACGTCCATAGCCAGTGGATCAAGGGATCCCATCAGGTTTCCGAGGCTGCTGCCAGAGTGAACATCAATGCAGGGTTCAAGGACAGCAACAAGGCCACTGGAAGCCTTGTGGTTGTGGCGCAACTGGTTGTCAGCAGCTTCAAGGCATCCATTGTCAGCATGAAAACGTCTTTCATCCCATCAAATATATATATATATAATTATATATATATATTGAAACAGTATGAAACAGTTGAAACCACCACCAAAGCAAGGTTTCAGTACTGAGTTGCCCGGCCCTCGCCACAGGTCAGCCATGCCTCCAGTGCCTCGCTGCAGGCCATGCAGGGCAAACCATGGATGCCACAGCTGGTAACTTTGGGACAGCGACTCCCAATGCGGAAGAAGGTGTGAAAGAATCCCTTGGAGTTTGGGTCGGCCTGGCACAAGGCTGACACAGTGAAGGTATGTGAAGGTTGACTGGTCCGATTGTAGAAGATGCGTAGACTCAAGACTCCTCAAAGCCTCCTACGAATCTGGTGCTAGACCTTTGCTTCTTTGCAGGGCAAACTTTGGGTCCTCTACTTTCGTGCGTACTCACCCTTGGTGCACTTCGAAGCCAAGAACGAATCTGGTGGCATCTGACTTCATATCCCCTGTCACCTGGTTGACACTCGCCACAACATCGAACGGAGTCGTCAACAGCCGATTGAACCTCGGGACACGGACATCTTCAGTGGATTCGGCGCCAGTCACATCTGGCTTCCTTTTGGCAAGAGATAGCCTTGATACCACCACCACCACCACCACCACCCCTTATTGCCATGTCATGTTGCAAATGGAACATGGCACTTCCCCAGTCAAGGAACTGCTGCGCCAGCATGTTCACGATAAGTGCTGTGACAGTTCCAAGCCTGAGTTGAATCCATCGAGCATGATATTTTTTTGTGGCTTGCAGTGAGGACAGTAAAATGTCATTGGATATACAGATATACATGCGCTGGACATTACTGTATATAATTGGCTGTATATATTTTACCGTGTTTAGATATCTCTATATATATAATTATATATATATGGGATATTCAAAATGTTTGCAACATGTCAGGGAGCCCAAAAAGAAATCGGACTCTATTTTTTTAAACCACCCAGCAGGCAATCGCAGGACTCTGCTCCTGCAGATAAGCGAACGCACCTGTCCCAACAGCATTAACCTGTACTTCTGTGTCCCACCAAACCACTCTACTGGGTTCAAGCGGAAATGTCCTTCATTCTTAGAGATGTTTAGTATCTTTTAGCCCTTATTGTCTGCAGCACGACCTGTGATTTTTTGGATCTTGGTCTTCGCCCTCCCAAAGCCCAGGCTATACCAGGCTGCATCCCAGTGGCTTTTCACGACCAGGCTCGGTCACTTGCACTTTCCGCAGGCTGAGCTGAACAAAGACGGTCTGCCAAACAAAGAAGCCGACCTTTAGCGGCGGTGCAAGGGCCGAAAACTTGGAGCGGAGCCAGAAAATCCACAGCGGCTGGTCATCATTTGATGTTCCAGTTACAGTAGTAGCTAGTAGTAAATACAAAAGCATCCAATGTTGGGGTCGCTGATTCCGAAATATCGCCATCAAAAACTGGAGGTTCATCAGTGGCCACTGATCTAGCCATATTTTGATGGTGGATGGGCAAATCCATGGCAGGTCACGAATGGTCGGGACTTTATCCAAAGGCATCCAACCTTTTTTGGCAAAGTGTCAAAAGAAAGCATTCAAACAATACAACAGAATCAATGTCGCGTAGACATGAACAAGTCAGGAATGTGTCTAGCCTTTGGACAGGTCTGGTACCAAGGCTCCCCACGTTGGAGGTGATGGTCTGAATCAAACGCCTACGATGTTTCAAGGCAACTGTACCATATCTGTACCATCTTGACAGCCGCTTCAGAGACTGTTCAAGAATCGCCAAGATGTTCCACAGAACTGCCACTTCTTGAGTTTCGAATCATCCAAACGGCTTGGCTGTGTTTCGAAACTACACTCACTTACCCCAAAGCCCTCAAATATCCTTAATATCCTTCCAGGATCTTCCAGGTAGGTCTCTCTCACTGGGTCAGCGCACCCAATCAATCCCTGGTACACGCCGCGCAAACCTTTTTGCGCCATCAAACGCTTCCTTGGCACTGCTGGGAGCAGAAGAAGTTCCCCAATGCCGGGTGCTGATCGATCCAGACCCAAGTCATGTGTTAGTGTAGATCTTGGCGGGCAATGAAGTCCTCTTGCAGATTGACACTGTCGGTGTAAGTTTCCGACAGGACTGAAGCAGCCTGGCAGCAATTTAGAACAAAATGATGGTTGCTTTCAACTATCTGCGAGGATGCTGAGTTGCGCACAGTTCCTCCATAGACTTGCTGTTGAAGTTTAATGGTATCTAACCTCAGCAACTTGGCTATCAGTATGGATGGGTATGGATGAAAGCATGTCAAACTGCCTGGTGTTCTCGTGAAGTCGGTTTGTCCTTGGAAGAGTTGAAGGATCAAAAATGACCCCAACACAGCTCCGGGCGGAAACAAAGCAGCTTCAGCACCCACAGAACCTCAGGCACCAGAGCACCATGGCACCATGGCACCAATGGCACCATGGCACACTCCCAGCAACTGGGCCATCCAACTTACCAGGCCGGATCGCACTTCCTGCCAAACCTGGTAGCTTTGGCCCCGAAGTTGACTTGGAACCAAGAGGAACCAGTCGTCATCCAAGGCCTAAAATTCCTAAAATCCCAAGTGATCACAGTGCCTTCTCCCAAACGGAGATGTTCACCATGGTGCTGCGAACCAGCTCTGTCAGCTCTGTGAGCTACGACAGTTCCCGTTGTGCACAAATTGTGGCGCTGCGAACGCTGATCTCTGGAAAACCAAGATCCATGGAAATCCCCTGTCATCAACTTCATTCAACTTCCACAAGGGCACTAGTTAACTAGTTGCATTGCCCACAAAAGGATACATGAGACAAATCAAACGCAACGACATTGATTGACATTGCGACTTCTGGTCAGGCGCTGAAAAGAGCAAAAAAGGTTCATATCAGCATATGCAAATCAACAAAGCACATCAGCACACAGCGTGCTTAGTAAAGGTGTCTTATTTCAATTCCAAGTTCCTGTCCTAGACACTTTGGAGTAGCAAATAACTCAAGCGTGGACTGCAACACAGCGAATCATCACTGCTATGGGCGGACAGATTCGGCAGCGGGCACTTCTTCCTCTCGTTGTGAAACCATTTGGCTCGACATTGTCATTGCGGTTTCCCCTGGCAGATCCATTGGCACCGGAACCTCGGGAGAAGCTAAAAAACGAGTGAAACCGGATCGGCAGAATCGGCAGCTTGCCAATCTCCCATAATTTGTACATGGCCTGCAGTCGCCTGGGCTAGGGAGTTTGGGGGCCAGATCCAAAGGTGAAGATGGATTAACTGCGCGGCTGCATCTCCCTACTCCAAGCATAGCTTGTGACAGAAATCATCGGAGAGTTTTGATGAGAGACATAACGATCCAGTGAATTATTGCTGGCCACTTGCAGTGCATGATATTGCATGTCTTCAACAATCCAAGGCCAAAGATTGGTTGTTTTTTTCGTGAGTTGTGTCTAAAAATACTCCCAAAAAATATCAATTTCTAGGCAACCCCAAAGGCCCAAAGGATCCTGGGCAATCTCCGGTGACCTGCGCAGCGGGATCGGATGGATCACTCATCCAACTGTCGCCACCATTGCAGTGGGAGATGGTGCCATGCTGACGTGAGCCACGACGGCTTTCCGACCAATGATTGAAGGTCCTTGAGCTGGACTTGGAGGGAAAAGTTAAAAGAAACACCATAAGAAACAAAGTTAAAGAACAAGGAAGATATCTGTAGAGTCTATAGATATCTGATACTAGGCAAGAAAACTGGGTGTCATTAGAGATGTGTTGCTGGTTTCGGAAAAGAAACACATTTACCCTCTGGTTATGTCAAAATAGCTATTGAAAATGGCCATAGAAATAGTGAGTTTTCCCATGAAAAATGGGTGGATCTTTCCATAGTTTTTTGTATGTTTACCAGAGGGTACCATACAGAAACACCACGGGAACTTCCTCCAGGCTCCGCAGGCTCCGCTTCAGATCACCTCGTGGCTGGTGACCTCTGGTGACGTTTTTGAGATGTCCCATGCTGAAAGGCTGATGATCAGAATGGTATAACGGTAATGAACGGTATATTACTATGAGATACTATGAGTATAGTCACGGTTGTGATTTCCTGAATCTTAGTAGTCTAGTAGTCTTAGATCTTGACCCATGGCCAGGAATCAAGACCCAAGGCGGAATGCCACACATGCGAAGGCTTCAAGATCCCTTTTGAGCTCGTGGAGCATCGCTGCCAAGCGGGGTCTAGACTTAAGTTCAGTCCGAACCACTATGATCAGAGATGCCTTAAAAAGTGAAATAAAATCGTCCTCCCACTAGGGAGGTGACCATCCTTGCCACGATGGCCAGCATAGCAACAGCAACAGCTGCAACTTGCTTTGCAAGACTGACCATCCCCTGTGCTTGATACCCTGCAGCATTTGCAAAGCATTTTATAGAGAAAATAGGTGCTATGGAAAAAAAGGTCGGAGTACATTATTATGATGGTGTTCTTATAATGTTGTCCCTGGATTTGGCGTACTTTTTTGCGATGAGAATTTTTAATGCGATGCCAACCATAACTTCTCGCTCCTTGTGAAAGCCTTGTACGATTGTACCCCTCTATGAAATGACCCCCTCTCTGTCTATGAAATGACCCCTTATTTCACTATACAATGTATGTCGAACCCTTATTTCCTAACCATTCCTCATCAATATTTGAATCCTCTATGAAATGAGAACCTAGGCATTAGACTCACCAACATTTGCCCCAAACATAGATACACACATCTTCCAGCATCTAGCCCTCTATTGAATGATCTTAAAAAGGTACCAAAAAACGCATTTCATAGAGACAAAGGCTAGGCATTCCATAGGCCTTCAAGAACAAGGGATGTGTCTCCCGCTGCAGCGTGACTCGCGCCGCATTAGGAGATGATTCTAGAGGAGCAAATCCCACGACATGGGACATGTTTAGGCTGCAGCTTTGGAGTAGTCCGGGCCTCGAGGAAAGAACCATCACAAGGGTTTTTTTCAAAGTCACAGAAACTCTGAGAAATGCCTCTACACAATGTACAAAATCCTGTACCAGTCGGTTTTCATGTCAGATCTTCTCCGACCAACATGTGACATGCCAACAGCCAGCCAAATGGACTGAGCATGGATTGAGCATGGACTGAGCATCTGGCTCTTGAACCAGGAGACCGCATGTAGCCGAGTACCCTCAAAGGGACACCGGCCATGCATCACCAGGTAGTTGTCCAGGAGCACCATATCTCCCTCCCTTAGGCTGGGCATGGCTGGGCTCAACTCACAGATTCTGTTGCGTCTCGGATCCTGGACCCCTAGCTGAACAGACTGTAAGATCTGGGTGTGAAAATAGGATGCCCAAAAATCCCAGGCATGCTATAGGAAGAAGTGTACTAGAATCACTAGAACTTTCACAAATGAAAGTGGCATTAATTGAGACCTCCCATGGTATCCCCCTTCTTCGACCCATGGATGAAGTGATTTCCATCGACCCATCACTGAGCAGTGGGGCTCCATCTTCACCTTCTCAGCACAGTCCAAGGTCACTTTGTCCAGGTGCTCCAACCATTCCGTCTGAAGCGCTGTGAAGGCCGCAAAAGATGTTCAACTGAACGTGGTAATGGAAAAAATCCCCATGTATAGATGGTTTTCCCATTACAGCCTCCATCTATAGGGGATGATTTCGTGCCTATCTTAGCTATCTTGGCTTCATTTACCCAAAGACTTGCGGGACGGTGGACTTGAATCTCCGTGACTGCCTCGATCTTTTCTCCATCATCGCCATAGAAGACATCCGTCTTGTTGATGCGCGACCTCGTTTTCAACAACACGGCGCTGTTATTGTTGCTCTCAACAACCCAGAAACAAGGAGGCTAAATGGATGGAGCAACAGCTCGCCGCCATTTCTGAGCTTCAAACGCACCGGTCGTCTCCTTGCACGAAAAGCTTGGGCAAAGGTGGGCACCCGCCACCAATGATATGTTGGTGAATGTGTTCATATTAGACATTGGTTTCTTTGACCATCCACCATGAAGCTAAACACATGGTCTCAATTTATCTTAATCCATGCCCAGTCTATTTCTAGTGTTAACCACGTTTACCGGATCTCCCCAAACCTTCTCCAATTTTACCACTACCTGACATTGGCTATGGCTACTTTTGTGGATATTTATGGACCTATAAATAGCGTGTCATCCCATTTATCTATCCGATATACCCAATATGTTTGATGGTTATATAATGTTATATATCATATATATATATATATCATTGTATATTCTCATAAGACATCATGAGACCCTATAAATGATGAGTAATGATGTGTTTTTCATCCACACCTGCCATGTATATTGCTGGCTTGACCCTTCCCCCTCCTGCGCTTCGCCGTAGACCTTCTCCCGCTCGCTGCGGAGGTGCTCGGCGTGCGAATGCATGGAGCCCCACCAGCATGGCTCGCCTGTGGCATGGTGTCGAAGCACCGGATATTGTGGCATCGCTCGGACCTGCGAAGCAATGGGGATGCTACTGTGACCGGTACTGGGATGTCACAATTGGTTGCTGGACTTCTGAAAACCTCTGCGCTTAGACTTGACATCTCAAGGTGCACGCTATGTTCCAGCTGAACTGGATGGTTAGCACTATCTCACTAGACCATCCTACAGTAAGTTGCACAAACTTACAGTGAAAAAGGGCTCGTAAAGCCTAGGGCCTAGTGGGAGCATTAAACTGAACTGAATGCCACAGTTGTCCAGGCCACCATTCCCATTCCAAGTCCCCAGTGGGTGACCTGCAAAATTTTGCTGCCATCGTAGTCGGACTTTTCCCATCGAAGCTCAGTCTTGAAGTCAACCTGCTTTGGGCAAAGTCAGAGAAACGCCGGGAAGATTCTGGGCAAAGTGTGGGATATATTTTGCTCGATATCAATTGGGATATGTGTCTTTCTCTTGCCAAATTTGTCACATCAAGCCGGGCCGATCCGCCAAGGGACTTTCATCTTCAAGGCCTGGCGACAGGCAGATCGCTCTGGGTGAAAGTGTCAAGAAAAAACATCAACTCAAGCCCGGTGGCAGGCACGCATTGATTTGGTCAGTTCTGGTGATCAACTACAGCTGGATAAGTTACATTATATATATATATATTATATACATATATATATATATAAATATGATAATCTATACATATAGTAATTCACTTACCTGAATTGTCATGCCATTTGGGGATGATGCCCGGTCCTAATCAACAACCACCTTGGCCCCGGCCTGGGTCATGGCTCCGTAGACCATAGGCTCCACCGCTGGCTGCACAAAATCTGGAAGTCCCCTTGGCCATGGCCGGGGCTGGGCTGGGCCGGGCTGGACATGGCGTTGGCTACGGTAAGCCCCATAGGTTGGGAACTTGGAACTTACAACTATGGAAAAAATAATGCTATATATATTATACATGTATCCACATTTTAACAAAAGAACAAATATCTTATATTTTTTTATAAGTGGAACTAGTATGGCTCACAGTTGAGAATTCTATCTACTACAATTGGGTTTGGATTTAGGGGTCAGATATGGTCAGGTCATGCCAGATTGCTTTGAATCTCCGAGCCGCTCAATGAAGCCCATGGGAAACTCAGCCGTGGAATAGACAACATCCTCAAGGCTGCGGAATGGTTGGACCATAAGTCTTGGATCCATTGAGACATCCTCGGCCATTCCGTTCATATCTCTCACATGTCTTCCTCGATCATCTTCATTTCTTCAGACGTAGAGGAAGATCTTTTTGAGTTTAGGATATTGCAGCAACGTTCGACTACTAGATCTACTAGGTAGATATCTTCAGCCCCCATTCTGCTCAGCCCTGGCTGCGAATCTTCGCCAAGCTGCTCGATTGTAGACTTTCGTCAGCCACTCCTGACCGACGAAAAGATGGAGCTGTGGAGCTCTATGGAGCTCCACACAGAGCTGTCAAGAATTCATGGGTCATTAAATGTCCCCATGGGTCACATCACCCAACCATTAGGTATATGGTCTACTAGATGGCTACTTTTTTAGGCTAGGTGATGTCCAATATACCCAAAATAGGACATTTAATGACCCATGGAATTCATCACCCGAAAGCCGACGCGCCGACTCGCCTTGTCAAGCTCCTTGAACATCCTCAGCCCCGATGGATCTGTGTTTCGCAGGATTCAGCCGATTCATGAGACTCAGGGAACAAATGAGGAAACAAAACCATCCTTGATACAAACCTCTGTAGAAACCTACTGAAAATTCTCCACACGCAGAAAAAGGAATGCAACGACATGCCTAACCTCCCAGCTGCTAGCTCCAAGCATCTTTCGGCCATCCGCAACCAGGAATTCGCCGCCCTCTTCAGCGGCCTAATCACAGTGGATGAAACTTTGTCAAAGGACAAATAAAACAGAAAGTCCAACTAAACCACGGCACTACGCGCATTGAGTGGCTCTAAAATGGAAAAGAAAACTCTGGCCATGCTAGACATTGTTTTGACAGGGTCTTTCTGCTAAGCGAAATTCGGCCAACTCCGCCCCGCACTTAGAACTTAACAGTGGGAATAGGTCGCCTCAACCTGTTTTGTTCTGTACCCCGATCAGAGCCATCAGATCCATCAGCCTTGAAGCACACAAAGAGAGCGGCTCCTGGTGCCCGATCGCCAACCATCCTGGTTGTGGAACACTTGGGATTGGCCAAAATGGGAACAGGAAATCCCCGGAAAAATTATGTGATGCCAAGCTTCTCGTTGTGCATACCGATGTAGAACTTGCTTCTGGACCTTTCAGAGGTGCCAGAAAGGACGCAACTGGCAGGATTGCAGCCCTGGATTTACCCCATCTTTGGGGAATTTAAAAGAAAACACTTGTTGGTTTACAGTCTTATAAGAAAACAACAAGACTTACCCGCATCTTTGAGATTCTTCGAGTGGTTGAAAACCAAACAAAAAACTATGGCTTCTTATGGTGTCCTTCTAACTTTTTGTCCAACAAAACAACCCCATAAGTTTTATCCCATGTTAATATTCAACCGAAATTCCACCACTGTTCAACCAACTATGACATCAACAAAGTCGTTCTTCCCGTTCTCCAACAACCAGAACCAGTCCATCCACTGATCTGTTGGGCCCTGAGGCCCCAGACGGTTTGTTCACAGCCTCATAGACGCCTGCCTTTTTATCCACCGCATCCCGCGCAGCCACTGAGTGCAGCGGATCTTCACAGGGCTCCAGTTGAAGAGCTTGACCCACCTGGCGGTGGAGATCCAGATGGGATCCCAAGAAGAATCTCATGGTGAATCACTTTCCCCATTAAGAACAGGGATCAAATGCCATTTTTGATGGGGAGTTGTCTACCATTTTTGGACACATCTGGATGCAGCATCTCCGAGAATATTCTTGTGGAATTGCGTTGAAGCTAAGATGAAGTTGGAATATGTTCGAGGTATTCTTGGACTGGGACAAACATATCATAACAAATCCATGTCATCCTTTGACATCGCAAATTCCTGATGGAACTTCGGCTTGGAACTTCCGCACCTGCCCAAAGGTCCCCTTGTCTTTGGAAATTTCAAAGCCACGGAAGACAATGGCTCCATACTCCTTCAGGTCCTCCCAAGCGCCGCTGTCCAGAAGCTGATTTGATTTCAATGGATCCCATTGGATCCCCAAAGCATCCCATTTCCTCACTTTTTTCATGGGATTATTTGACCGTTCCATCTGTTTTCCATCAATTTCCATCCATTTCCATCTATGTCCATCCAGGATTTCCCGATTTTGAAGGCTGTCTTTACTAAATTGGCTCCATCCTTTCAGCCAGCATCTCCCATCATTTTGAGGGGCGTCGCGCATCAAACCAGCGGAAAACCTTGTAGATGTCCGGCAGCCGAGAAGAGAAGAACTGACGCTGGCCCTGGGCGGCGATATCTTGGCAGATCGATATCGCTGATAGCTATGGCTATGGAATGCTATGGCCCGTTTATAGATGATTTACTGTACTTATACTATTCAAAGTGCGGGATTTTCCATGATGTTCCATTACCAGAGGGCATACCTACAATACATGTCCATTTTAAGATATTTCAAGATGGCAAGTTTGGGTGGTACTCCATTCATCTCCATTCTACAAAGCGGGCTTCATCTCTGCCTCGAGGTCCCCCTTCAGCTCTGGTGGCATCCGGATTTCCAAAGGACAGGCCTTCACCTGGCGGAGATCATCGCCACGGCCATCAATGGCCACCTGGATCACCCCGACAAAACCAGGGCCTTCATCTTCTCACGCTCGGCCTCCACATCAATGTCTTTCTTGCCTTGTGGAAACTCGAAATTTTCACTGCATCAAAATGATGTTCCAAACTTGCGCGGCAAAATCAATGATTATCAAAAAGAAGCAGCCATTTCTGGGGTTTTCAGGTCCATTCAGGTCCATTCAGGTCCATTAATGGTCCATTAAAAACCCATCTTTTTCTGAGTCCTGAAAATCCCTGAAACCTGTTTGCCCCACCGGCTCTCCCTGATCTGAGCCAAAGTTGCCATACAAAACGTATGGGCAATCAGCCAAGCCATCGGCGCAACGGACAACACGTGCATGCCTGGGAACCGAGTCACTGAAGCCCCCAACCGAACTAGGCCTCAAGTAAGTTACTATGTTCCAAAACACACAAAATATCAAGAGCTAACATGGCATTTTTGCGATGTTTGTTCCCCAACCGGTAGTCTAACATGCATGAAAGGATGATAAGGGATTGAGAATAAGCTTTATCACAATCCTCGGCAGCCTCCCCATGGTTTGAAGCTTCAGCTCGCCAGGTTGCCGACGACCCTTCCGCTGCCATCTGCCAGCAGCCACCAACCCGGCTGCTGGCAGCGCCAGGGCGGCACCAACGTGGCCACGGGCAGCTCTGGCGCTCGTGGCCGGTTGCGCACCTGCCAACCATTGCAAAAAGGATGGCCAACCACGGAAAGGTGATTCGATTGACATCCCACCCGTCATGGACCGAAATGGGACTACAGCTGCGCCTGCGAAGCTGCTCTTATGCACCTGATTCGCAGTGATGGCAGGCCCAGAGGCAACAAAAGACCTCCCAGTCAGCTGCAAGGATCTGGGGGTCCAAAACAGAGACTGCCAGCATGGGTTACATGGGGTGCTTAATGGTCCCTCAAAAAAGAGAAAGTAGGTGAATGGTCCCACCCTTGATCACTGCAGCGCACAAAATATCCCGGCAGACATGGAGTTATGCCAAACCCTTCCAACCGGGTCGTTTCAATTCACTTCCACCATTCGCTTCGCTTGCGATTCTCTCTCAATCAACATGTTCATTTGTATACCTTTTGGTCAAGTGATTGAAAATCCAAGAAACAGTTTTAATGTGGCAAACCCAATAATAAAACCATCCAAAATTCCCAAATGGTAGGTTTATGGCATTGGGTTTCCCCTGGTAAACAACTTCGAGGTGGGGATTTTTCGCAAACTGCTCGGCGTGGAGCACCTGCTCGCGTATGCTGCACATGCTGACGTTGCCTTAGTGGTCTGGTGCCAGGACAGAAGTGTGTCCGAAAATTGGCCCACAAACAGCCATCTGAACGGGAAAACTTATGATTCACCAGCAGATTGATAGGTAGCCGATTTTCAGACAGAATCCAAGAGTTTTCTTCTTGCTAGATCGTTCTACTCTACCAGTATGTGAAACACCATGGACGTGGATAAAAAAGATGCGGTACATGATGCTATGAAAGATTTGGAATGTCCACTTCCAACACACAGTAGATGACCCAGGATTGTATAGCTAAATTCCCAACTGCAGCTGACATGAATTCCTGGCACTCTATTTTGTCGGTTTCCCAATTTTGGAACAAACTGCCATCTGGTTCGATGTCTTTTCAGCACCTCATCCTTTCCAACCCGAGGTACAACAGCAGCAGCGACGACCTTCTTGCCGTCCATGGCGAGCGGGGGCCACAAAGATTCAGCGTATGACTGAGCCACGCCACAGCCGTCCGTGGACTTTAAAAAAACATCACTGTCGGTTGTGATATTCATAGCACTATTTACATGGGTGTATCAAACATGTTCATGTCCTATTTACATGCGTGTGTCAAGCATGTTCATGTATTTCCGCAACACGTATGCATACATAATCATATACATGTATATATATATATATACGTAGTTATATACTGTATATATATATATATATAATCATATGTCATATTACATATAATCATATATAGCAACCCTCAAACAGATGGAAAAGTTGGAGACCTGGCGAATCTCCCGAATCGGGGCTTCGACATCTTCGACCAGGTCTTTGCTGGTCCTGACATGTCGCAGTCAGCCATCCCCCCCCCAAAAAAAAGTATGGCGGTTTCTCTGAAAATTGGAAAACTATTGGAAAACTGATGAAAACTGTACTAAAAATAGTGGTTTTTGATGGTTTATGATCATGTTTGATCATTTTTCCAATAAAAAAACATGGCAATTGCCCTACGTACCTTCGGATGTCAAGTAGCTTCGCGGAAGATACCAAGCACTTCACGGAAGACTCAGATTCCAACACTGGTTCTAAAATGCCAATCTCGGAGGGCTCTTCCTGCAGCACATCTCAAACTGCCCAGAAATATCAGAAATGCTTCTGGAACTCTGGCGCTTGAGTTTTATTGTTGATAACTTTGAGAACATGAAAAATATGAAAATGATATAAAATGATATCACAAGTTCCTCAGCCTTCGCACAAACTGATGGCAGTCAAGTTTCCTAGACAAGTATATATCACAGAGCAGTTCCATAGCAGTTCTGATTCGTCACTCATTTGTGCCTGAACTGTGACAACTCCATTCGGCCCGGCAGTCAAGTCCTGGAGAGAAGAAACAAAGCGTGGCTGGTGGGGTTGGCATGATTGTCCTGTTGAGCTTTCGAAATTGTACGAAACTGGCTGACTCAAAACAACTCTCGTACTGATCTGGAAAAAAGACCAAGAACAGCTCACCATGCTCAGCCGCTGCTTGCGATTGCCGGCATTCCCTACATCCTCCCAGCCGGGCCAAATGGTTTTGTCCAAACAAATGGGTATACAGTTAGTATACAGAGAAGTGTCATTTTTGGAGGAAGTTTTGATTCTCCAAACCATGGGATTTTGCGGCCACCCATTTTTAGGCCGTTCACACGGGATGACTGGATGACTGGATGACCCATCCCTGGGACGTCCTGGAAAAGGGCCCTGCAGGTGCTGAGTTCTTCTTGTGCAGCCTCGACAGCCTGGCCCCGACGTTTGGGATATGGATGGATTGGGATCAAAATGTTGATGCTATGTCAGTTATGTCAGCTATGTCAGCTATGTTAAACAAAAATGCCAGAGACTTTGCCTTGCCGGGCGCCCATGGTTCTGAAAAACACACAGATGTAATAGCTGTTACTGTTGGACCCAGACCTCTTTGAGGGACTCGGCCACTGCGTCGTACCAGGCTTTCAGGGTTCTGCCTAGGTTGCTGACACAAGCACGGTGACATATGTTTGCTTCATGTCTGGGCAAGGGTTGGCACTACCTGGCCGATGGGAACATTTGGTCAGAACAAACAACATTAAGATCGCAAAAAGTGTGCTTACCAAAGTGCTAATAATTTGCAAGGAGGAGCTGATTCAGGGATCCAGTACCTCCGAAAATGATCGAAAATGTAAGTGCAGTGCTCAGCCTTCCCTGCGTCTTGTGGCATTGAGCCGTATACTTGGCAGTGCATTAGTGGCTTCAGGCTTCAGAAAATAAAAGTGAAGCGTCCCTGGTTCCTTCATCCAGAGCAATTAGGTATTCAATAATTAGTCTTGCCAATCCTCCAGCCCCTGTTAAGCCATGATGTGGTTTGATGTTGTTTGACCAGGATGGCCCCATTAATTCACTGCAAATAGCACTGGGCCCACCACGTAAGCGTCGAAAGTCAAGCCGTAGCTCAAGCTCCCTGTGGAATGGATTCAGCGATTGAAGCAACTCCGCTTCCCGGTCGCCCGCTGACACAGGCGACCCGATTTAATGTAGATGTTAAGTTGCTTGGAGGATCACCACACTTAGTAAGCGGTTGGTAACTGGGGTTATAATGGGTAACAATCCATTTACAAATGGGATAACCCACTTTGAGGACTTACTTTACTAACCGCAAGTTACAACCTCGAGAGTCGTTCCCATGAGGTTCGAATCTCCATTCACAAGACATGGGCAAAAGCAAAATTTCGTCCTCAGTTTGTGCATCTGCAGCGCCAGCGACCACCATCCTCAATCCGCTCAGTCAAGACTCCAAGACAGGTTCAACTTTTTCATGACCTCGGCATCCTTCCAATCCAAAAAGCAAAACTTCACGGTTTTTCAGAGGATTTTCCCAGGATTTTTCTGGGATCCAATGGTCCAATCCTAGAAATTCCATCCATTTCCATCGCCATCTGCCACACCAAGGCCCCGTCGCAGGGGATGCACCTGTGCCCGCAGCCGCGATTGCCGCCACAGGCTCCAGGACCACCTTGATATCTCCAACTCTTCCCAACTGTTTCAAGATGTTTCGAGATGTTTCGAGATGTTTCAACAATCCAATTTTTGGGGAGTTGGTGAGTTGCTTTGGATGAAAGCCATATCTTCTCAGGTGTTCGGAAGTGGCCAAATGCTGTCCCAGAAGCTGCAAGATGGGCAGAGACGTTGCTGCACTGCTGAGCCTGAAACTAACAGCACGGAGAACCCAAAGAAAATGTTCACCATCGTTGTGGAGCTCAGTGGAAACAGACCCGCAAAAAAAAAATGTGGGAAACCAGGACTCAAAGGATCTCAAAGTCGGAGATCTTTGGGCCCCAACTCTGCTTGCTGCCAAAGCAAAAAGGCCAATCTCCTGAGTCACCAGCAGTCACCGCAGTCGGGGCTGTTGCTGTTCCCATCCCATGATTTGGTAGCCAAGCTGCAACCAGCGCTTCATCTTGCTGCAAAGCCTTGAAGAGAAAACCCATGGAGAAATGGAGAAAATCCATGAAAATCTGTGGAGAAAAGATGAGAAAAGCCTGGTGGTTGATGCAAAAAAAACTTGCTGCCCTTAGGGTTCCAATATGTTCCAATGAGTGCATCAACCACCAGGTCTGAACGTTTAGCAGACTGGGCTGCAGACAGCTCGACCGGAGCCAGGGTTGTACTGACCTGGGTCGATGAGCCAAGATGAACCAATTGCAAGTTGGTGTGCAATGTTGACTGCCATCCCTTTCTATGCGTCATGCATCATTTTGCTTAATTCACACTTACAGTTGAAAGTCCTGAGCTCCAAAAATTGCAAGCTCTCGATGCGCAAGACATTGGCAGCACAAGAGTGGGTTTCCCTACCGACATAGCTGGGTCCACAACCTGTGCCATGTGCCAGGCTGTGTCGGGCATCTCACAATGCGCAGAAACTGGGCTTGTCGATTCCCATCTCTTAAGCAATGTACAGGAAACTCCCTGCAAGCACTGGAAAAAAAATATGGTTTCTTGATGTTTCTTGAAGTCTCTTGTAGATTTAATATATGGGTTTGTCTGAAAATAGTGTACCCCTAAACCCAATGGTTAATGATCATTATCCCTATTAAATGTGCTATAATTGGGAATATACCCGTCGCTGGATCGCCTCCTCGTCGCTCATCAGCAGAATCTCCGAGGGTCCACTGCAGCGGTCCCCGCTGCGGTCCCCGCTCCGCGCGCTGCGCGCGCTGCGCACGCTGCGCGCAGAGCGGCTGCTGGGATAACTCCACGGTGCCGTCGGCCAAGGTGCGACGTGGGAGGGCCTGGTGGTGGCCATGGCCCCATGGCCCCGGCCTACCCTGTGTTGATCAAAGTTCTCAGTAACTTGGTGAAAATATGTGAAAATCATCAAAATTATCAAAATGATGTTGTCAAATGATGAGTCAAATGTGTCCAATTGCAATCCCACCTGAGATTCCAGGGGGACGAGTCCGGCATCTCTGCAACCTCAGCAGCTGTCCTCTCAGATCCTCTCAGTGCATACCTGTAGTATCTGTAGCGTCATTGCCTGCCAAATAAAAATTCGTGGGTAGAAAGTAAGACTGCTGCTTCACATAGTAAAATGCTCTGGATGTCACATTGCATTGGCACTAAGATGAAATGTACAAAAACGTGCACTGCTCCCCATGTTCTCCCTGTAACCTTCCCCTGATGAAAAGAACCAAGGGGCAGGAGCTGCAAACATGGACGGCAGTGGCTGCAGAAGTGGAAGCGTCTCGCCACTGAGGTCAGTTTCTTTGCACATGATCCTCCCCACGCAGCTCGGGGCCCAGAGCTTAACCCATCTTTGCAACCCAACAGCAGGTTCCAGGGTTCTAGTCCCAGACTCAGAGATTGAAACCCAACAATCATGGCTGTTGGGAACTAACCAATGAAAAAATTGGCATTGGACATGATTAGGCTCATGGATCCACAAATGGTTTTTCAAATACCCAAGCCTACAAGACTGCGGCAATGTGGTTTTCAGTTGGCACCGTGGACTCCATGGACCCCTTCGACTCCTCCTGGCTTGGGTGCGAGTGAACCAATAGACAAGGCAGTCATGCGCCCGGGCCCATCTGCAGGCAGATACCATGGCCTTAGCAACCGATCAAATGAAGGTGGGTACCTTGGCAAATCTTAAATATCTTTGTAAAAAATAATATGATGTTAGTAGTGCTAGGTGTTTAGTATAGTACATGATAGATCCGGAAGTTATGGCAAAATACTCAGTGGTACAAAACATATCTATCTATCTATATATATATATACATACACCCATCCAGGGTTGACCTAGCGAGGTACGGCCCAAAGATTTTAGTGTCAACCGCGGACATAATGTTGCCTGGGCTGTCTAATTGAGGAGAGGGTGCGGTTTTAGGATAAAATTCTCACCTTTTGACTGGAACAGAATGGAAGTATACCAGTGTGCCCAAGAAAGATGTATGTATTTGACCAACCAGTATGTGGAATATCAGTTGAAAATGATTGAATGTGGATATACCCAATACAATCAATACACATATTAACATCTGCATGAACCCAAACAATATGTCTCCGTTTAAAAAGGCGCCCGCTGGCGGAGTCTGACCCAGATTTTTGCCATCGGCTTGGGACATCGCCATGTTGGATTCAACTTGAGGTCCTGACCATCAGAGCCATTGAGGCATGCCCAAGATGCTCCTGAACCAACCAGCTGATCAGATTTGTATCCCAGATTTTGGAAATGATTTTGGAAATTGCCAGATCAAATGGATTATACATTATTATACATGGTTATACTATGTTATACTACTATTATTATACTAATATACTTTATTATACATTATTATACGGCATAATGGTATAATATACCGAATCCACAGGTTCAACGGTGCTACCTTGGCCATCTGCTGGCCTTGCGACGGGCCGAGTCTGTGGACTGACGATGCCAAAGATGAAGTGCTTGGAGGGTGACCTCAACATTTGGCAAATGTTTGGTGTTTCATGGCTGTCTTTCATATCTTTCCCTGGCTTCACTGAGTGGTTGGCGAGCTTCTTGAGATCTTCTTTGGCCTCTGCTGATTTCAACCACACTGTACAAGTGATCGTTCTAAAGGTTGGATCCCCCAGATGTTTCCAAGTGATGTTTCCAACGTTTTTTTCCACCTTTTTTGGTCAGGCCATTTTTTTTTGGGCCTCGTTGATGTGTCGTCGCCGCTGCCTCTTTCTCTGGACCACCTGCACCCATGGAGTCCAGCAGCGACCTTGCCAACGTCGGCGTTGCCTGGGTCAGCTGCGATGACGGAATCCCTGTGTCTAAAGGTCAGCGTCCTGAGGCTTCCCATGGCTTCCCATGGGTTCCCAGTGTCAGACTCCATCCGAAAAAATCGCCCCCTGCCTGCTCTGCCACTCTGTAGGACCAGCACCTGGACCTCCAAGAATCGTGGCAGTTGCCGCTTGTGGGTTGATCAGAACAGCAGAAGTGTGTCTATTGCCAGTCTACTACTATATAAAGAGCCACATTATCAGACATTATTCACTATACTTCATACATATACCTATATATATATAACAAACAATTGATGGTGTCTCAAATCCACTTAGTCATACTTATAATCATGCTATATCCATGGCTGCTGTGAGACATCTCCACTTATCGCCAGGCCCATGGCCTGTCCCAAAGTTCTCAATCTCCCTCTGGCGTCGCTCACCAAGGAGATGCCCTTGGTGGAGCCAATCATCCAAAATGGGCATGGCTCCCCCACTCAACAATCCACCATTGGTCCATCCCATCACCAAAAAGGGATCGATGGTTTAAGAATCTTCAAATATAAAATCGATTCAAAATAGATGGAAAGAATGATATTAAGACTCTATTTAAGAGTCAATTGAGATGTCAATTGAGATCTCTGAAACGCGCAACCGGTGGAATGACCAAACCCTCATGAACTCCGAATCTCCAGATCCCACGGCGGATTGCCTGTGATGGCAAACCAACCCTGCAGATACGAACGCAGGATGCGTGTGACCTCAGCGATGTCGAGCACAGGATGCGAATCGCCGTAGCAGGCGCCGTTGGCTCACGCGCCTGCAGTGCTTTGGATGATTTCAGCCTGTACCATCTTTGCACTGTGACTCGGAGCGCCCGAACCTGAGCTAACTCAAGCAGGACTGCGCAGCTGAGATGTTTGAAGCATTTTAAAGCACCATCAACAGCCCATGAAAACTCTGATGCATGGCCCTCCCAACCTGAACGATCTGCCGCAGTTCAGCCTCTCTCTTTCGCAACCTCGACAATGGCTGGCAGCAGCCAGCAGCTTCAAACTCAAAGTTGGCGGCGTGGCAACTGCTGTTAGGGACCAGTCGCGGAAGTTGGGGTTTGCATCATGGCAAGGTGTGTCACATCATTGCTGCTATCAAATAGATGCATTTCCATTTATCACAAAAAAGTTTGGATTTCAAGACAGTCCCAAGCTCTAACAGACCCAAAAAACACTATGGAACAATCATCAGGCCATGCAGAAGAATCTCACAGGATCCTGAGATATTCGACGAGACGGCCGTATCCCAGCGAAGCAGCCCCTCACAGAAACTGTGGGGTGGATCGGAAGCAACTGGGTCCGAGGGCATGAAACACACATCAAAAACTCGATGATCTTAGCGCAACGTCGCATCCAAAACTCCATGACTATGACTATGGTTCCAACAGTCTCCCAAAACCCATGGCTTCAACTGGTGAATTGGTCTGGTGATTTCCATGGAAAATATGGAAATTCCAGAGATCTCCACTGGGCCCTCCAGCAGCTCGTGCATCCAGATCTTGGCCTCGGTCCAGTCCCTTTAAAGATCATCCCAGGTGGAAAATTCACCACGAAAACCTGGAACCAGCTCAGGCATGGGAAAAAAGTGCTAAAAAATCATGGGAAAAACAATGCCTTCCTAGAAAAATGCGCAGGTCTTGGCAGAACATCCGCATATAGAAGTTTCCTAAAATGGAACCCCCAAATCATCAAAAATTAGACCATTTTAGTACTAAAACCCATGGTTTTGGGGGCCCCCCGTTTTAAGAAACATCCATATCCAGATCTTCAAATAGTTTTGAAGAGCTGTGGCAGTTGAGATCCGTTCGTCGACTTCGCACCAGCGCAGCTGCGCATTGTCTTCGCACCTCGTCGTGGAAGCCTCCCAGGAGGGCATCATCGTGTAGGAAAGCAACAGTGGTTTATAAATGTCAATGGCAATAGCAATAGTTAATGGAATATGAATAGGAATAGGAACGGTTATCGGTTATCGGTGATTGGAATAGGAATAGTATAAATAGTAATAGTAATCTAACTGCGTACCAATTTCAATGGCACTCGTAAGAATATCATTAATCCAGCAACCTCCCAGCGTACCAATTTCCGCAGTAAACTTGTGTGGTTGACCCTCTGGGTCCTCAGTATTGCGACTTGACAACCCAGCGAAGGGAAATTGCGTGCTATTGCTTTATGCCCAGTTTTTGCCAGAAAGATTAGAAACAACTCACCAAAACCTCACCGCATTCCAGACTCCGCAAATGTGTTGGAAAATTCACGGTGTCCAGCTTTGGGAATGCAGCAAGAGCAAGGCTTTGGAGACCGTTTGGGAAGGACACACCCTCCATGCTCTGGTTGAACTGACTACCCAGAGTCAAGCTTTTGAGACTGCTGGGCCAGGTTACAGACTTCAGGCTGCAGTTGAACTGCTGACCCAGAATCAAATGTTGGAGACTGTCCGGCAAAAGGAAGTCTGTAAGGCTATGGTTGAACCGGCAACCAAACGTCAAACTTAGAAGCCTGTCTGGCAAGTGTACACCATGCATTGATTGGTCAAACTGATTTCCAAACGTCAAGTGTTCAAGCCTTTCGGGAAATTTAACATTGTCAAGACGCTGGTTGAACCAATCACCAAATGTCAAGTTTCTGAGGCTCTTCGGCAAGGTCACAAGGTCCAGACTCTGGTCAAAGCGAGCACCAAGAGTCAAGCATTGAAGACCACTTGGCCAATCTACAAGCTCGAGCTCTTTGTTGAATTCTCTGCCAAATGTCAGGCTTTGAAGACTACTTGGCAAGCACACATCATCCATACGTCGGTCGAAATTGGTTCCAAAAGTTAGGCTTTGGAGACCGCTTGGGAAAGCCACACCTTCCATGCTCTGGTTGAAGCGGCCACCAAAGGTCAGGCTTTGCAAACTGCTTGGCAAGTTCAGCCCCTGTATGTTGTGGTCAAAACGATCACCAAACGTAAGACTTTGGAGGCTATCGGGAAGGTGCACTCCCTTCAGACTCCGATTGAACCAATCACCAAGTTTCAAACTCTGGAGCTTGCTCGGAAAAGTCAGACCCTGGAGGGTCTGGTTGAACCACTCACCTAAAGTCAGACTTTCAAGGCCATCTGGTAAAGTTACATTTTCCAACTTGTGGTTGAAGCGAGTCCCAACAGTCAATCTCCGGAGGCTGCTTGGAAACTGCAGTCCGTGCAGAGCCTGGCTTGAAGGGCCCAGGATCAAGCCTGTGAGAGCACGGGGCATCACTGTACCCAGGGGCTGGTTGAAGTGGAAACCGAACGTCAAAGTCTGTAGAACGTCTGGCAAGGAAAGGCCTTCTAACTTTTTATCAAATCGACTGCCAAATGTCAAGATGCGAAGCCCACTGGGCAAGGTCACACCCTCGAGGCTCTGGTTGTAGTCTCTACCAAAAATAAGGCTTTGAAGACTGCCTGGCAAGTTCACATCCTGCATTCTCTGGTCAAAGTAATCTCCAAATGTCAAACTGCGAAGCTTACTTGGAAACTCCACCCTGTTCAGTGCTTGGTTGAACCAACTGCCGAAAGTCAGACTTTGAAGATTGGCTGGCAGGATCACTCCACTCAAGTCCTGGTTGAACTCCGAACCCAAAGTCAAGTTTTGAAGGCTACTTGGCCAGTTCACCCTCTCCAAATTTCTGTTGAATGACCTTCCAAAGGTCAAGCTTTGCAGATTGGCTGGCAAGTTCAGGCTGTCCAAGGTTGTGTCAAAGTGATCACCAAACGTCAGTCTTTTTAGGCTTCTGGGAAGATTGTGCAGGATCGGATGTGTGATGCCTTTCAGCTCGGTCACGCCATCGCAGACGTTTTCATCTTCAGGTACAATCTGTCCGTCAAACCATTGCCAAGCTGCATATACACTGGTCGGGGTATAAGTACAGGACAAGGTAATGTGGCCCACAAGACCTTGCTGCAATAAGGTCTTGTTCAAGTGGATTGCGCCGGAATCTGAGTGTGTCAAGGACACCGATGCCCCTGGCTTCAGAAGCGCATCACAGATCATGTCACGGACTTCGCGACCAAGTGCAGAGGTGGGGACATTCAAATTGACTCCTTCCCCACTCAGGAGGACGACCTGCCAGGGTCCAAAATGTGGCCATCTACACGCAGCAGTCCTCTTTGCAATGCCTACAGTACCACGGATCATTGGAAGATGTGTAAGTATCTGTTCATCAGGACAGAAGCATGTTGAACAGCTAGATTTTGCCACAAAGTTACAACTAGTAGGTCTGTTTTCCCCCCATTTGGGTGCGCCCAAACATGGTGTCTACTGATATAGCGACATAGCCGTAGCTCAAATCCTTTGGTGAATCATTCTACAACCGACCAACCCATTTCTCGACACACTCATAGGCTCCCCAGGTTGGTCCTTTATCAACCACTCCAACCTTCAGGGCGCAGAAAGGCTCACTGGTATCGCTTCCCATCGGCATGATTGACTGAGAGCCCTCCGAGCACTTCGCAACACGTTGGTCCAATGGCTGCAGTGCCAGCAAGATGATGTCAACTCATCTTTAGTGTATTTATTGGTCATCAGTCCATGGCATTTTATGATGTTCAATTGGTATGTGATTATCTTTTGTTTGATGGTATTTGATAGTATCTGGTATTTTAATGCTCATGATTTCTGGGGCTTTGGGAGCTGACCAACGAAGGTCCCAGAGTTGACCATGAAGTCCAAGTCCCGGATGTCGAAATCCAACTCCCTCACCATGATGGACCCAAAAACCACAGCTGGATCTCACCACTTCACAGGTATTCCAAACCAATCATTGGTAATATATCCATGTATATCCCAATGTTTCAAACTGTTATAACATGTTATAAGTTGTAACATGTTATAACTTCATAACTGGTATGCCATTTCTCAATCTACCCCTGGCAGTGGCCCTTCCCACAACCCCTTCCCAGGCCATAGACCTCTCCAGCATTTCGCTGACAAGCGCAGTCGTTGATATCGTGCAGCTCGCCATGTGCTGGCCTCCCGATGAGTTGTTTGGGTCGATCATTCCCCCGGAATCTCGGAACTTCCAGAACTGATGGGAAAATTTAGAGAAACCCATCAGAAACCTCTATTTTTCCTGGTAAAAACTATGGTTTCCGGCAGATTGTCGGAATCCAGCCATTGATCCTTTCAACTCCACGTGGTGCTACCAAATGGGTCTGGGTCAAACTTGAGGTCCTGAAAAAAAAACGAAAGAAAGAAGGGTTAGTATGGTGGTAAACCATCCTATCAAAGCCAAATAAAGAATACTGTACCAACGCAGGAAACATGAAGTTGTGTATCCCTCTTTTTTGTTTTTATTGATGCCTCAAATATGTATTTCGTGGTGCCTTAAATATTTTTTGAACATGCCAATAATAAACTCAATAGTGGGATGGTCGCTTGTTGGGTTTACCATATTACGAAAGGTTATATAGTAAAAAGTTGTAAGCCCAATCATAAACCATCCAAAATGGTGGTTTATTCTTGGGTATGCTCCTGTTAGGGATTAGAGTTGGTACAGCAATAATAAACCAGCTATATCTTGATGGTTTATACCACCCATCTATGGTAAATTTGGGGATGGTGGATCCTACTCTACCAACAAACTTCTAGATAATGTTTTTTCTTGAAGTCCAATTACTTTGCATATTTTGGGGCTAATTATCCCATTCACAGGTCCATATGTTGGTGGCCATTGGTTACCCAAAATCGGTCGCCAACTGGGCAGCTCACCCATCGCTTCACCAGGATCTGCACCAGCCGAAGTTGCTTCAGCTCTAACACCTGGCACGATATGCAAAAACCGTGGCGTCTCACAGGCCAACTTCCGGATCCGCAAAAAACAAAAAGGCATGATGATATACATCTATGTCATGTTAGGTATAATATATGTATATATATATATACATACACGTGTATGTACAAATGTGTATATATCTATATATACATATATATATATACATATATATATATGCACATACATACAAGTGTATATATACACATATGTACATACACGTGTATGTATATATATACATGGGTATACAAAGATATGATTATATAGATATACATCATTATCTTATGATTGTTAAAAGGAAAGAAGAAACACCACCCACTTTCCTGGCTCAAAAAGAATTGTCACATGTGTAGCACCTGATGGGCTGCTCGGGCACTTCTGGACACTCGCTGCCATGCTTTGAGCACTTTGGCCCTGTGGCGACATCCGCAACTTCAAGGCTTGACCCTTGGGTTTTCTTGCAACTTTTTTTGGAAGCTATGGAAAATCACCATTTTTAATGGGAAAATCCACTATAAATGGTCATTTTCAATAGCTATGTTAAATTACCACCAGAGGGTAGAGAGTGGAGTTTGGAAGTGAGCATGCATCAAAGTGGGAACGCAAACATGCCATTTTGACCTAAAGACTCCAATCCACATCAGAGTCCACATCAGGTCTTTGAATCTTTGAGCTAACAAAAAGAGATGCAGGCCAAAGGAATGCATAGGAACCAAGCCATGAGATGTTGTATTATTTAAATAAGCATTTCTCTGAGGTTATGTGTGTGTGTGTCATGTATCATGTGTATATATATATACAGTATATATTACATCATCAGCATCATCATCATCATCATCGTCATCGTCATCGTCATCGTCATCGTCATCATCGTCATCATCGTCATCATCGTCATCATCATCATCTAGATATATATATATACAATATGCATGTACATATGTATATGTATATATATATGATTATGTATTGTAGATGCATCTAGATGGAACTTTTGGCACCCCCCAATTAGTCTTTCATCGGCACCTCTGCACGGAGTGCAGTTTGTCCTCCAGGATGGCCATGCGTTCGGAGATCCTGACAAGTTGAAACCCCAGACTGGGCCCCAGATATGACCAATGAAAATATATCAACAAAACTGGGTGCCAAAAATTGTATATCCAAATCCCACCAGAAGTTTTGTACCCCAAAAAGATTTGTTTAGGACTTGTTCAAAAGAGAAACGGCCAGAATCCGCAGCTTCGAAACTGCCAATCTGCAGCCTTTCAAGATATGCCTTCATATCTCCTGGCATTTCGTTTCCAAAGACATTTGCGCTGCCGCCCTTTTTCCCTCAGGACGTCAAGGTGTTGACCTGGGAGTGGCTGGGTGCTGGGGCAATGTGAGAATCCACAGCTCCTGGTCTGGTTAGTACCTCAAAGCGACGAGGTAGCCAACTTCAAATCCATGAAAAAATAAAATTCACACCTACCAACAGGAACTATTGGGGTGTTTCATCCGGTTTCATCCTGCTGTGTTTTGCATTGCTGGCGTCCCAACCAGCTCTGGTAGCCATTTCTCGCATCCGTCGAGGTCAGGTTGAGGCACTGCAGGGAGGATTGCGTGGTGTCGTGCATGGCCATGCATGGCCCATTTATAGATGTTACCTACTAAAAATGGTGATGTTCCATAGCTATGTTGAAATTGCCAGAGAGTAACATCAATTCACCAAGAACATCCGCTTGAGCCATGTAGTTTTCAGCCCCAAGAACCTCCACCCTCTGCGGATCGAGGAGAAAGATCGGCTTCCTGTTTCCAGAGTCGGATTTCAGTTAAGACCTGGGCTGATGCGCTGTGCGAAAAGCACGGAGCTCTGCCACCATACGGGGCACATCGAGGCACTTTTTTTGAGGGCAAAGTGACTCAAAATGGAGGATGAAATACATGAAATGCAAATGAAATGCCACCAAAATGATGTCTACTAAGTCTAGAATAGTCTAGATACCTCCTTCCCATTTTGTGTCATTTTGCCAAGCGGATCCAAGCGGCATGCTGCATCAGCTCCGGATCTTCGGAATTGGCCTTAATGTCGCTCTCCAACTCCTCAAGCAGAGTCTTCACCTTGAAATTCACATCCTTCTGAGTCACGATGAACGGCCTCGGCCATGTGGCCATGGTGACTGGAGGAACTAGTCTTGACTAAAGGTTCAATCCAACCATCTGGGGTGGAAGTTGCTGATCTTTCAGACAGTATAGTCAAGTCATAACTCAACTTAAGTCAGCTTGTTGATGACCAATTGAGACAGCATGAGACAGCCAAACCAAATCCTCCAAGCTCAGCATTTCCAAAGATTTCCAGAGCATCCTTCAACTCTGAGTTCCTGGCACAATGTCCAGGTACTGCCCGGAAAAGAGTAGCATCTCAGCCACCACAGAGAACTCCCGCACACGCAACGCCATGTCCTCGGGGGCAACCGGCAACCCTGGCCATGTGGTGTATCCTGTATCCCTCAAAAAATCGTGGGAAAAACTGACATCCGCAACATGGAGATCATCTCCGATATCCCATCAGTAGTAAACCATCCATGTTGATTTTGCTCAAGTGGAGCCATCTCTACATCATTCAGGCATCCCGGCATCCTATTACCACCCTGCTTGTCCCTTCATCTGAGCTAAATCTCCAGAACGATAAACATGTTTTTCTCAAGATTTGGCCAAGTCATTCTATGATAATCCCATGTTTTTCCCGATATGTCCTCCCAATATGTTCCAAAAATATGACGTCTATAGACTTTAAGCCATTCAACCCGTCATTCTCAATGTGTTGTTTCAAAACAAACAACATATAATTATGTATACATATATATATAGTATATATACAGTGTGTATATATATAGTGTATATATATATATGTATATATAAATTTATATCATCAATATATATATATATAGTATATATATACAGTATATATACAGTATATATAACCAATTTTGCCTCAACATATGTCTCCAATTTCCACCAGCAGCGCCAAGGTGCCAGGCTCGCCTGGGTGGCCCAGCTCCGACTGTCCTTCGCCAAGATCTGCAGCCGCAGCGCCAGCTCCGGGGAGTCCAACAGGACCTCGCAGCGAAGCACCGTGGGGCGGAGGGGACTGGGAAATGGATAAAAATAGAGGGTATGGGCAAGATATACATGTATAGAAATGTATAGAATATATATATATTGTATAGAATATATATATATATACATTGTATAGAATATATATATATTGTATAGAATATATATATATATATACATTGTATAGAATATATATATATATTGTATAGAATATATATATATATTGTATAGAATATATATATATACATTGTATAGAATATATATATATATTGTATAGAATATATATATATATTGTATAGAATATATATTATATATATATATATACATTGTATAGAATATATATATATATATATTGTATAGAATATATATATATATATATTGTATAGAATATATAAAGAAAGCGATGGGACTTTGGACCTCAATTTGATTTTGGGGGGGCTGCTGTGATTTGTGTTGCCCCTGCAATTCTGGGATTGATTCTTGGCGCAATTGTGGGGTCAACTGTGGATGTTCGGAAGAAAGAAGAATTGGCAAAGATGGATTGCAACTGCCATCCATGCCGATGCCGATTTTGGATGAATTTGAGGAAGGGTTTGGAATTTTGGAAGAGCACAGAAGGTTTTGCGAAATCCACTTCTGAGTGCGCCGCATGATAGTGCAGCAGCTGTTGCAACAGATGCTCTTGCCTGTTTTCATGCATGCAAGCTTCCAACGTCTGACTCAAACAGAATCTCAGAAAACGATACAAAACCCCTGTTTATCATGTTTGGACCTTTAGATCCTTTAGATGTTTACTGAGTCTACTTCACCCTGCATCTAGAATCCCGTCATGAGGTACCATGAGCATGTCATGTTATGGTCGGTTCAAACCATCACTGATTCCCCTGTGATCCGGCCTGAAGTAGACGCAAATGTCGAAGACAAAGCACTGCAGAATTTTGTGTGGCAAGATTTGAAGTCCCAGCAGACTTCGCAAATAGCTGATGACCACTGACAAGACATATGGGGTCTTGCCTCCTTTGCCCGGATTTGTCACTCGAAGGCTTTCCGGAATGGTCCAATTCTCCAATGCAAAGCTATCGTTGTTTCCAGTTGGAATGCTCTCTTCCAGACCCTCACTCATGACGAAGTGGGGATGGAAGACCAATGTCACCATATCTTTTTCAGACAGCACTGACTGATATGCGATTTGTGCCTCAAGCTCCTGAAGCGAAACCGTCGTTTGCCGCGTACCCGATTTTTGAGATAAGGCTTCAATGACCTGTCGATAGGCCGAGTTCAGAACTTGAAATCCCTGTGCCATTTCCGAGGAGTTGGTCTTGGACACCAAGCCCTTCCGCAGCAGTTGCACGATGTGATCTCTGCATCCCGTTCTCCGCAGCAGCAATTTCAGGACAGTGGCCAGTTCATGCGGTGGCCGCGATAAGAAATCCTCTAAAATGATGCCACAGTCAAGGCGCAACTGATACACCACACCCTTGCTGGCATCCAATACGATGCCACCATCCAAGTAATCCCAGATCACCAACGGGCCCTCGTGAGAGGTCACAGTACCTGACGCTTGAACGTTGGCTGCGCCTGTCTATTGAATTTTGACATTTGCCCTTGAAGCCAACTCTAGAACTTGGATGAACTTGGGTATCTGATAGGGGTTTAATCTACATAGAAATATGATGCTATCAACAAAAAAAGATCTGATCTGCAAAATCAAAGAAATTCTTGGAGCTTTGTCAAGAGACATGGCGAGATGAGGCTTGGAACGATGTCACGTTCTTTGTGTCGAATATCGAAGATCAAAGCCACCATCCTGGCAAGAAAACAAAAGCCATTTTAACTGTTTAACCTAATCCCATCCATCCCTCACAAGTCACTGAGATGAAATCCAGATAAATCCAGTCGATTCCACTTCCGGAGGACTCCTGTTCATGACTTTGATTCACTTTGATCTGTGGATTCTGTGGATTCTGTGGGCTCCTTTCCAAGCAGTGTACAATCAGCAGGTTGTCCACCACCGACAAACGTAGCGGACCCACTGGCGCGTCACTCTCCGAGATGTCGATGACGATGTCATGCTCCGGGGTGCCTTGCTCCAAATTCGTGACGTTGCGCAGGGACACTTTTCCTCGCCGGCCGTGAGGATCTCCAGGGCAACCATTGGCGGCTCTCAGATATGCAGAAAAATTGTGGTTTTATCATGTTATCTATATGATTATCTTATCTTTTAGAGTCTTAGAGGTTGAGATCTCGTATGATGTATTTCAGAACCATGAAAAAGGAACGATGCACAATTGATGAAAAAAATGTATTGTGGGCCACTTGCGATCTTGTGACGTGGACTTTTTATCATCTTGGGTCTGTACAAGCCAAGCTTGAAAGTACCAGTGAAGAGGATTGGTTGGTTGCCTTCGCACAAAAGCGTCACTTTCCGGCCTTGATTACTTAATCTTTCGCCAAATGGCTTAGAGACCTGCTTGTGGGTGCAAATAAATGTGAGTTTCCAACGAAAAAAAAAAGGATAACATATTATATAAGCATTCATACACACTAACATCCCAGCGGCCAGTCAGGCCATCTGCATGTATGCAGTAGCTGCAGTCGTAAATTGTGACCAGTGCAACATCGGCTGGTTCAATGGAATGGCCGCGAGTCAGTACCTCAGTGACTGGAGACAACTATCAAAAGGAGATCCATGCCGTGGAAGGGAAGAACCAGTAGTTTACTTCAAATCAAAAGTGATATCATTGATATCATCCTTGGGATTTGTTTCACTAAACCCACAATTTCTTCATGTGATAGCCAAGACCTGCCAAGACACAAGGTCAAATCTTGGAAGTTTAGGATTCCTCCTGCGGAAGTCAAAGGGTTGAAGAGTCCGCGTCCCAGTGCAAAGCAATACGGTGCTGGCCGCAGGATCCAACCAACAAATTCGCACAGAAGAGGGGAAGGTCTTCAACGATTTCCAGGTCTTCCTTGGTCAGGAAAAAAAGTGTTTAGATGTGCATCTTCAATTGCTTGGGGACTCAAACATCTATATGTTTGGACTCGGCAAGACCGACCGTTCATTTCGGAATGGCTCAAAATGATCCCGCAAAAATGGATGGTTGAATCATGTTGAATATATGAAAATAGGAGAAAATAGGGTGCATTAACCTTCCATGCCAACAGCCCGTTTCAGGAAAAAACGCCCGTTTCGTTTTCCAAGCTGCTGCTCGAAGCTCAGGCGAAAGATCTCGATGCCGTGAGAACTGACCATGGCCAGATCCGAGTTGCAGTCCTGCCTGCAGACGTTGCAACTGGATGGGTTGGATGTTGGTTGGGAACCGTGAAATCACCAGGTAGATGGCTAGTTGGTGTAAGTTGTTGTGTTGGCTACAGTATGAGTTGTGAATATGTTGTTTCCACTGACATGCTTGGACTAGATGCTGGTCAAATGTCTGCTGGGTTGATGGTTGGACTGATTGTTCATGGAATTGTGCGGGCCGAAGCAAAATCTCAAAAGCAGCGTTAAAACAAATATATTTAGTGGACTGAAGAATGAACCACCATTGCATAAAAGTAGGTGGTGTTTCTTGGTGTTTGGGTCACATGTCACAAAAATGACTGGATCAATTGCCAATTGTCCACCAGCCCGGTATGGACAAATATGTTTAAAAGCGGTGTAAAGATATATAAAATGGCCAACCAGGCATGAACTCAACCTTCCCAACTACCGAGCAAAATTCGTGACACAATGGGTCGGATCATCCACAAGAATACTGGAGTTGAACCGAAGTTGGCCATTCTGTTGAGTACCAAAAGGTCATCTTCCTACGAGCACCATGGTACACCAAGTTGCGGCCCTCCAGGCAGCCAAAAGTAACCCAGAATCTCAAAGTCAGCCTGTGCGCACGGCCATGATTTTTCCTGGTGTGGATGAGACTCTTCAGTAACTAGCAAGGATTCTTTGGGGTCCTGGAAAAAAACAACAAGATTTTACCAGAAGTAAACAAAAAATTAGGTGGGCATGGAATGACCTATAACATCCTATAACCTGAACGCGTTTTCATGATGTCCTTGCTGGTTCAAAATCCTATCCAATGGGGACCAGGCCTTGCTGCTCCATTTGCAGCTTGGCCAAAGAACTTGTTTAGGCCTTGGGGAGGGACGTGATGCCACCATACCAAAGAGCTTTGTACAGAGCTTTGTCCAGAAAATAGGGGCCAGTATCCCAGGTGATTTTCTAACCGACTGGATTTTGAGATCATCTTTGGACGAACCTGCCCAACTCTGCCCTTCTGAGGTTGATGCTGCATCGTCTGGACTGTTCCCACTCGTCTGGACTTGGCCAGAAATGCGAAGTAGAGCCCATCAGGTGAAAATCTCAAAGAATGAATGCCTTCCTGGCGGTCTGGATGACACCAGAATCTGATGGTACCAGGCTTTTGGAAGTCGCCACGTGACAGAACAGAATTGCACACATTATTGCTACTGCTTCGAATGTGTCAGTATTTGCTCTCCAGGGGAATCTGGGTAACTTTTTTCAGAAGCTCTAGTTGAAGCTATCAGTTATCTGCAGGCGGTCCACAGCGAACATTAATGTGGTTCACTTCAAGTTGCTGTCCAACTCCAAAGGGGATATCCTCCTTTGTCCATCAAACATGGCTAGCTGGGAAATCCCCCATAGATGATGATTTTCCATGATTTTCCCATTGATTTCCCATTGATAATCCCCCATAAATGGACGTTTTGATGGGAAAAAGATTCATCAATGGTGCATTGGGTATCCCATGGAGGTCCTGCTCCAGCTGCACGGAGAGGCCATCCGGAGGGGGTTCCCCATCGATGGCACCATCGATGACGTTCACCGTGTCAAAGCCACCAGATCGGATGTGGATGATCCTGGCACCCCCCAAAGGCGGGGGGTCTAGGAATTTAGGAACTGAGAATATCAGAAAATTGTTGCAGTAATGCGATTCTACCAACGGGGTCAATGATACAAGTTCCGATTTTCGGGAGGTCATATTATATAGATGTGTGTGTGTATGTGTGTATGTGTGTGTGTATGTATGTATGTATGTCTGTCTGTCTGTCTGTCTGTCTGCCTGCCTTTCTGTCTGCCTGCCTGCCTGCCTGCCTGTATGTATGTATGTACACGCGCGCGCGCACACACACTAGACAAGAATGGATCATTATATGATCCGGCAGGAACTGAATCCTGAAACATGCAGATTAGATACGAAACAATGAAATTAACGATGCATCCTACGAACGACGAAAATGAAAAAGATTGAGCAGGTACGCGGATTGAGCGTCCCCAATCCATATCACTGTGCAACAGATGCGTCTTCGTTGGATGGAGACATCTGAAGCACACTCCATCCCCCTGCGTTAGTTAGAAAGGGAGAGGACGGAAGGAAGAAAAAGAGAGAAGTTTTACATCTGTTTAGATGTTACACACACACACCCGGCCAGAGCCGGGTCAACCCTGAAAGGCAAGAGGAAGAAAAAAGCGGACACACGACGGGCAGACGGCCAAAAACAGCGCAGGGGGGGGAGGGGAACAGACGGACCTCCGGAACCAACCGACACGGCGAAACGGACCTGACCAAAACAGCGCACACACCTAAACCCCACGACACATTACGGAGAGGCACGCAGGGAAAATTAGGGACCAAATGGGGGACTAGTTGGTGACAGACAAGGAAACCAAAACAATTAGTTAAACAACAGGATTCAGCTCCTAAACCTAGGGTTCGTGCGTTATGCCACTCCAGGCCCGTGTTCCAGTCAGCCACAAGGGCATAAAACAGCTTTCAAGTTCCAACGAATTAGATGCACGATATGTTTGACCTCACCAGACAACCAAAAAGAAAAAAGACCACACCTGAAAGTCGTGTGCCTGCCTGTCGTTCATGTCATGTTTCAGGAAGTTCAGAACGGCTTCACTCCGATAGACAGGCATTTTGGCGAGGAACCCTGGGACCAACGGACCAGCGGGACAACCCTAAAAGGCTGGAAAACGGTAAGGCCAGCTGTTGCAATTTACTTAAATGAATTACCAAATTAAAATGTGTTAATTCGGAAGTCAGGACAGTCATCATTCACCCTGAAAAGGGTTGCCTCCAATGGCTCCATGGCACCATGTCGGAGCCACCATGGAAATCACACTAGACAAGAATGGATCATTATATGATCCGGCAGGAACTGAATCCTGAAACATGCAGATTAGATACGAAACAACGAAATTAACGAAGCATCCTACGAATAAATGATTGAGCAGGTACGTGGATTGAGCGTCCCCAATCCATATCACTGTGCAACAGATGCGTCTTCGTTGGATGGAGACATCTGAAGCACACTCCATCCCCCTGCGTTAGTTAGAAAGGGAGAGGACGGAAGGAAGAAAAAGAGAGAAGTTTTACATCTGTTTAGATGTTACACACACACACACGCACCTGAACCCATTTTAGCGTCATTCACATGGCAGCTAAATTGGGTGTTATTGCTTTGAGAAATACCCACATACTACCCAAAAAAATAGAACCCTGTCCATAATGTCTTGTAGCGAGGCTTTTGGAACACCCAAACGTACACATGAAACACTCTTCACCGTTAAGACAATATGTGGAAAGCAAATGAGCGATATTTATGGCCACTGGGCATTCAAAATCATGGGGGGAGAAAAAAAAACTCACCCAGCCTCCGATGGACAGCGTCAAAGGTGACGACTGCATCATCGCTGGTTTCCCAGTGGTACACGGGCGACAGCCCCAAGGCCATGGCAAGTGAAACTGAAGCGACCCATTAGTCGCAGGGGTGCCAATTTTGGTAGGAAAGAGATTTCAATGGGTAAAGTGGTAAAGTCAACGATAAGTATGGAAAATGATAGGGATTGATGGAAAATGATAGGGATTCAACTTTTCAAACAACAAGTTGCTGGTGGTTTGGGGTGGTAGCTACCGCAAATAGAGACTCTGTTCATCCCAGAGCATACATGGTGTATCCTCCATTTCTTGGGCAAACCTCAAGAAGCACTGAGTCGCTGAGCTCGCTGGGATCCAACTGAGAGATTCCAGGTGTAGTTGGTTGCCCTGTGTATCTGCAAAGGTCCATGGCATGGTGGATCTGTGAGCCAGAGCTGGGCAGGATGGCGCAGGTAGTGACATTTGGAGTCAAGGAACATGGCCTTGGAACAACAGGCTGTCGCGGTATGCACCTCTTTGCTCGGACCACATTGGCCATCCAAGTGCTTAGCCATCTTCGTAGACCTTCCGGTGAATGCTGCAAATGCTTGTGTTTGGCACAGATATGAAGGGAGATGACCACGACCACGCCTAACCCTTATATTAAGTTGCCTTTCTAACCCTTATACTGCAAATTCATTACCATTACACGCATGCTTTTCTAACCCCATGGGGAATCTAACCCTTAAATAAAAAATTGTTAACCATTACTAGGTGTACTAACCCTAACCACTAACCTTACTAGGTGATTTGTTTTTTTTTCCTTTTTGTTCCTCTCCTTTTTCCTTTTTGTTCCTCTCCTTTTTCCTTTTTGTTCCTCTCCTTTTTCCTTTTTGTTCCTCTCCTTTTTCCTTTTTGTTCCTCTCCTTTTTCCTTTTTGTTCCTCTCCTTTTTCCTTTTTGTTCCTCTCCTTTTTCCTTTTTGTAATATACCTTTTTCATTTTGTTACTATAATTTTACTTTTTGTTCATATAATTTTAATTTTGTTAATATAACTTTAATTTTGTTCATATAATTCTTTAATTTTGTTAATATAATTTTTACTTGTGTTTAATATATTTTTCCTTTTGTTCCTATCCTTTTCCTTTTTGTTACCTCGACATTTTCCTTTGTGTTCATCGCCTTTTTTCCACTTTTGTCACTATAATTTTGCAATTGTGTTCATCTACTTTTCCTTTTTGTTCAATACTTTTTCATTTTTGTTAATAGAACTTTTCCTTTTTGTTCCTCTCCTTTTTCCTTTTTGTTCCTCTCCTTTTTCCTTTTTGTTCCTCTCCTTTTTCCTTTTTGTTCTTCTCCTTTTTCCTTTTTGTTCCTCTCCTTTTTCCTTTTTGTGCCTCTCCTTTTTCCTTTTTGTGCCTCTCCTTTTTCCTTTTTGTTCCTCTCCTTTTTCCTTTTTGTTCCTCTCCTTTTTCCTTTTTGTTCCTCTCCTTTTTCCTTTTTGTTCCTCTCCTTTTTCCTTTTTGTTCCTCTCCTTTTTCCTTTTTGTTCCTCTCCTTTTTCCTTGGTTGGATCCAAACTAGGAGGTCAAGGACCAAACTGAGAAGGCAGTTGCTACTTGCAGCTAAGTGGGCAACCGACAAAGCAGGCGGCAGTCAAGAATCATCTGCGTAGCTTGAGTTTCTGGCCACTCCCGTCAAATTTCCAGGTTCCCCGTCAAATTTCCAGGTTCCCTGTCAAATTTCCAGGTTTCCCGTCAAATTTCCAGGTTTCCCGTCAAATTTCCAGGTTTCCCGTCAAATTTCCAGGTTTCCCGTCAAATTTCCAGGTTTCCTTGAGTTTCCATTCAGATTTCGAAGTTTCCTTCAGCTTCCCGTCAAATTTCCAGGTTTCCCGTCAAATTTCCAGGTTTCCCGTCAAATTTCCAGGTTTCCGTCAAATTTCCAGGTTCCCGTCAAATTTCCAGGTTTCCGTCAAATTTCCAGGTTTCCGTCAAATTTCCAGGTTTCCCGTCAAATTTCCAGGTTTCCCGTCAAATTTTCAGGTTTTCCAAGTTTCCCATCAGATTTCCAGGTTTCCCGTCAAATTTCCAGGTTTCCCGTCAAATTTCCTGGTTTCCCGTCAAATTTCCAGGTTTTCCAGGTTTCCCGTCAAATTTCCAGGTTTCCGTCAAATTTCCAGGTTTCCCGTCAAATTTCCATTTCCAGGTTTCCCGTCAAATTTCCTGGTTTCCCGTCAAATTTCCTGGTTTCCGTCAAATTTCCAGGTTTCCGTCAAATTTCCAGGTTTCCGTCAAATTTCCAGGCTTCCGTCAAATTTCCATTTCTAGGTTTCCCGTCAAATTTCCAGGTTTTCCAGGTTTCCCGTCAAATTTCCAGGTTTCCGTCAAATTTTCAGGTTTCCGTCAAATTTCCAGGTTTCCCGTCAAATTTCCAGGTTTCCCGTCAAATTTCCAGGTTTCCGTCAAATTTCCAGGTTTCCGTCAAATTTCCAGGTTTCCCGTCAAATTTTCAGGTTTTCCAAGTTTCCCATCAAATTTCCAGGTTTCCCGTCAAATTTCCAGGTTTCCCGTCAAATTTTCAGGTTTCCCGTCAAATTTCCAGGTTTCCGTCAAATTTCCAGGTTTCCCGTCAAATTTCCATTTCCAGGTTTCCCGTCAAATTTCCAGGTTTCCCGTCAAATTTCCAGGTTTCCAGTCTAATTTCCAGGTTTCCCGTCAAAGGCCAAAATTTTGATGTTAAGATCAAAATTTGGATGTCAAGGCCAAAATTTGGATGTTAAGGCCAAATTTTGGATGTTAAGACCAAAATTTGGATGTTAAGGCCAAAATGTGGATGTTAGGGCCAAAATGTGGATGTTAAAGGCCAAGTTTGGATGCTAAGAGCCAAGGTTTGATTGGGGGCCTGGGAAAGGAGGGTGCTGGGGCGCGGCTGTGGAGTAGGTTTGGTGCGCGCCCGTGGGGGACTGGCAGGGCAAGTTCTAAACGACCTTCGTCGCTTCTTGCTGGAGCCAAAACGCCAAACCCCGGGGTTTTGGATGCAACATTTTTGTGTCCAGATATACAAGGAACATGTTGTTGTTGCAAACTGATTTCATCACATTATTCCTTAGGACTGCTGCTTTTAGGCTTAGAGGTTAGTGAAATGCACAATATTGTGGTTAGTGAAATACACAATATTGAGGTTAGTGAAAATATAAGGGTCAAGAATTTTTTTGTGGTTAGCAAAATCTACCTTGTTGGGGTTAGGCAAAGATCTCTTGAGGTTAGCAATTTGGCTTGTAAGGGTTAGAAGTGCGTCTCTGCTGAATTTGGTCCTCAAGGCACTGAACGAATACATATGCATAGTGTTTTTGATGTTTTTGCGTTAATTGTTAATATAAAAGCCTACGTCAACATGCCTGTGGTGTATCACATTCAGAAAGATAGACTTCAGCTGGTCCTTCTGAGCATGGACCAGCTGATCTTTGGGATTTGCGCTTTGTGTAGATCTTCTTCTGGCTTTAGTTGTCCATCACTTTTGGGACTTGCAGTTTGGTCATCATGATGGTCATCAATTCCCTGGTGAACATCAAGCCATGGCAAGGACGCCCTGAGGCTCCCGCAGCTTGCATCAAGGAAGCGCTTCAGGACCAGGCCACCACGTCGCAGAATGGAACCTTTGGCGGCTTTAGACCTGGCTGATGCTGGGTGGATGCGACAACCTGGGCGATGACCCAGCACTTTCAAGGAGGGTCAAAGCCATATGCTGCTAGGTTTTCTAATCTCAAGTATCCATTGCCAGCTATAGTTTTATTGTGTTCAGTTGGCGATATGTTCAAAAAAATGTGGTAACCTAATATTGAACCTGCCATTTGGGGATAATATGTACAACCCATTTACGGCAATATTGGGAATAGCTTGTTGAAGCACTGGGACACTTGAAAAAATAGCAGCAGAGTATTGCCCAGCACCTCCAGAGCCGAAGGCATTTCACCACGTGCTGTAGCAATTTCTCTTCCAGCCATTGATTAACCACCTGGCAGGTGATCCTTGGGAAAATCCAACGGAAACAACGACAGGGATCGACATAGTGTACAGATGTGTACAGTCAGGACATGTTCTGGAGACTCAAATGTACTTAGATATATAGGATCGATATACATATAACACTATGTATATATATATATACATACAGCCAACTGGATGTTTTTATGCGTATATATATGTGTGTGTGTAGTTGTGGATATAATATGTGTGTGTGTGTACGTCTATGTCTACGTCTATGTCAATGTCTGTGTCTGTATCTATGTCTATGTATGTCTAGTTGTATTAAAATATATATATATGCATATCATACACAGCATATATCTAAACAGTTCGATGCAAATTTACTGCCATACCAGAAACCATTATCCAGTTGCGCCTGCATGAGGGCCATCTGACGTGCGCGAGCCTTTTGCCTTTGCTGCAGCAGGGCTACGAAGCTCTTCCTCACCAGAGCCTGTAGAAAAAGCCGCTGGGTTTTCACTAAAAACGACAGGTTTACCACCAATTTGAAGGGCGTTGAAACCTGGGGGGAAATGTGGGAAAATGAAGGTTTCAAGGGCTTTCAAGACTTCATGGCCAGTACTGGGGGGTGATTATCAAACCAGCTCCATTTTGCTCCGAGGTTTGGGACCGCGGGATGAATCTGACTGGGGGAGTCTTGATTTTCAACCCATACCACCATTTTCCACTATTTCAGGATCAGAAAGGCATAGAGAGGCTAAGATTATCTAAGATTTCTACTTTGCCAAGAAGTCAAAAGAAAAAAAAATCGCCAGCTGGCGTGGTGTGGCTGCCTTCACTAAACTGCTGGTCACTGGTGATTTATCGTTCAAGCACAGCAGCCGCAGCCGCAGCAGCCGGCATTTTCCAGTTCTCGATTCAATCGATCCAACCAATCGATGCAAGGGACAGTACGTCACCTGCCGGACTGCTGGCAATCCGGCAGTCCGGCAATCGGTTTCTGCCATCACTTGATGATGAGTTTCTTGTGTTTGTAATCCGGGTTTCGGCCCTTGTAGTTGTCAAAAAGCTCTGTGAGTTTCTGGCAATAGACGGCATGCCACTTCTCGACATCCTCCTTAGATCCACACAAGATTCAGCATATTAGCATGATGCATGGATTTGGGAACTTCAGATCTTGAAAAAACCTGAAACTTACATTGAGTCTTAGGCTGTGTACTGCGGCAATGAAGATTGTGGCGATCAAGTCTCAAGGGTTAGCACCACCCACGTCACAGCTTCTGTGGCTGCATTTCTGTTGCAGCTGCAACATCACTGGACATTCTCATATCTAGCATGTATACAATAAATGTGTATGTTCTAGAGTTCTAAAATGTAGGCATATACAACGGCCCTCACGTCGTCTTTCTGCTACAAGACTTCATGGGATACGCCGATTTTGTCGAGTTGCTGCGCTTGGGTTTTCAATGTGTGGCATCCCCAGTGGTCTTCCACGTACATAAGTCATGTGCCTGGCACGCTGAGCGATCACCATGACAAAGGGAGTTCAGGCATGCTCTGATTGTATATAAATATAACGGAATACACATATACGTACGTATATGTGTATATACATATTTATATACAATATATATATATATACATATTTATATATATATATACATTTATATATATATATTACAGATTTATATAATGTATATATACACACATATAATCATATATATGATTGTATCTGACATTATCTGTATAGTCAGTGTTTGGGACTTGGCAATACCTCTAAACACCGGCGAATAGAGACGGGAGACGGATTAACCTCTGAACACTCACCGTGTCTGTTTGCGGCAGAGGTACACAGGATTTGGCATCGGCAGACCAAATCTCCCCCAGAAAAACGTCACCTAGGGCAGACTGACTCAATTTGGGAGCACTAGGGCTCACCTGGTATTATATATATATATACATACATGTATGTGTATATATATATATATATATGTGTGTGATATGAACAATCTTATATATATATATACAATATATATATATATATTATATTATATATATCTTATATATATATAATTATATATATATTATTGTATATACTACATCCCATCTCTGTTGGACCATTTCGTATCATCTGCCCAGCTGCCGACATCCCTAAGGATCGGCTCAGAGATGCCAATGGTCCCCAGGCCAAGACCGAGAGCACCGTGGTATTCCTTGGCAGTGCTGGGCCAACGAAACCCATAGGTTTAACCAACAACAATTTGGTTAGAGAACCAACATTCTCATGATATGATATTATATAATATGTATGGATTGGATATTGTTTTTAAAGATTATAACTTAACTATGGATGCGTTGTTTAAAGATTATAATCAGCATATGATTCATGTGATCTTCTGCGTGTCTGAAGTAGCTACTGAATACGGAAGATGGTGATTAGCCAATGGATCTAGGGATAGCCTATTTTCAGACGGACACAGTTTTAAAAACCATCAACACATGGATACCAATGGCAGATTCAACTTGAATTTTTAAAAAAAGGCTGTGTAAGTTCAAGTGATGTGAATATGCTGAATGGTCCTACTGCTGCAGAGAGACCCAAACATGTAGACGGGCACCACATCTGCACCAGACCGCAAGGCCAACTTGATGAACCTCAGCTGCCACGTGACGCTGAGCATCGCTGAGCATCTGTCCCCTGGAAGCCAAAGAAATGCATAGCTAGGGCTCAACACCCTAGTATCCCAGTGATCGGAAAAACAAAACGACTAACATGAAAGAGTGTAAATTGCCATGGTCATCTATCCATTTGGGATGGTCATCTATCATCATCTATTCATTTCGATGCTTCATCTTGACACAGATATGTTCCTTGCATGCTGGGTGGCCCTTTCCGTTCCTTCAGGAAGACCACCTCCTCCTTGGGACTGGAATAGAAGAGTTCGATCATGCCACCGATGTACAGCACAAAGGTACCTTGATGGAAAATGCCGAACATCCGTGGTTTTTCATGGCCTTTCGATATAGGTTGAGTTCTATTTCCAACATGCAAGTAGCATTAGTAATTTAGGGCTCAAATATTGGCACCACCTGGGGTAAGTAGTCTATTGTGAGTCGGCACTGGTGATATTTTTGTTGGGCCTGTATTGTATCGGGATCGGTGACATCGCTGACCCCTAAGGGGCTGCAAAACGACTACGTCGACTACGTTCCACGGGTGCCTCGAGGCTTGGACAGTCGCTTCGACAAGGTCGAACTGCTGGCATCCTTGGCGAATCAGCATCCAGGACTAGCCTCTGGTAAACTAACATAGCTATTGAAAATGGCCATTTATAGTTAGTTTTCCCATTAAAAATTGTGATTTTCCATAGCTATGTTAGTTTACCAGAGGGTAAGTGAAGCCAAAACAGGGTCCAAGTCTCGCCCCCAAATCTGGTTTTTGCCCCAAAATCTGGTTCCTAAAAGTGAATTGCCAAACTGGGGAAATCCCCCAGTTAAAAACACAAACCAAACCAACTTCCTCGGAATTCCAAGGATCAATGAGACCAAACACAGCCAAGACATCTTTCAAGATAGGGAAGATTTTCACCACCGAGGCAGCCGCTGTGGGTGCTTCCTGCACCGGCATCCAATGTGAACCCAATACCGGGGCCCCAATGTTCCAAATTGGGGATTGTTGATGATTGTTGATGATTGAGTATTTACCTGAAATTCACCTTATTGCCAACCACAAAATGTGCACATCCATAGAAGAATCATTTCCAGAAACATCCAGCATGGATCACCTCTGCCAGCGCAGCTCCAAAGCCATCACGAGCTCCATGGGTCATGACCTGTGAAGTGCTTTTCACAGCATGTCTTGTACATTAATTTGACTCCATAATGTTCATCCCCAAAATTAATGCCCCTTGGCCCCTTGGTATCAATCCATGATACTCGATGCCTAGATCGTCTGCAACAACCTGAGGTCACATGTGGTGAAGTCTCCTCAACCTTCTGAGGCCTAGACAGCAGCACAGACACCGCAAAACGAAAAGACACCGTGAGGATGCGCTCCGACGATGAAGTTCTTAGAAGATGAACGGAACTCACCTTGGGAAGATGGCACCGATGGCACCCGACTCTCGTCCAAACATATCCATATCATCATAATTCATCATATCTCTTCATGCTTCAACATTGGGACTCCAGAATGGGGGCCCAATGGACCTGCAAATTTAGGTCATGCCTAGTACCAAGCCATTAAACCATCCATTTTGGGGAGGGCATAATTTTGAGCCATACCCATTCGGCGTCGCGATCAGATGTCAACACACACACACACACGGCAAGGCGCTGTCGGTCGTCTCATGGTACTCCTCATAGTGAAAGTACTTGGGTATCCTGAGAACATCCGCAAAGAATTTTGCTTGACCTGCCCTCGGCCTTTGCTTAAAGCCCAGTCCAGTCATTCCAACTGATCTTCACACTGAAAACAGATGCCCAACCGCCAAGGCTCTGCTGCATTGGCCAGGAGGTGAAAATGGGATTCGCCAGTCGCTCCACCACGCGACAGGGCACCATCAAAGATACCAAGATCCTCACTGCCATGGACATTTTCCGATATCTGACTACCCAACCAACATGAGGCCCTAGTTTCTTGTGGACTTATTAAACCCCTGGGACTGTTACCATTGGGAAAGCCGCTCATGGCGCCAAGGAGCGGAATGTTCATCATCCAAGCCCCCCACCAGGTGGGATATCTCACGGTGCATCCCAGGGCGCAAAAGACCTCACGTCGTCGATGCCGCTGCGTCGCGAAATCTCCCATTTTCGGATCCAAACAGCTCAAGGGTACACGTCTCCCTCAAGAAAACTGGTTTTGCCCTAGATTTAGCATATTAATGCATATTATATGGTTGGGATATTAGAGAAATCCAGCCCCCATCATATCCCATATACTTCCACAATATATCCAGCCCCAAGGGTTCTCCCGACTCCACCATTTGTTTCGCGCCACGTGAATGGGCGCTGCCACGTAGGCCACTGAGAAGACGGAGGCTGCCAGAAAGCCCACGGTGCGTTCCTGCAGAACAAAATCAACTGGGGGTGATTTCAACACCATGAAGTGTAGATATATGATATATATATATATACACTATATGTATATGTATATATGATATATATATATGTGTATATATGTATGTATATATATATGTGTGTGATACTAGTATGAAATTGTAATATAATATGGGTTTTTAGTATGTCACATATACATATAGTCTATAATGTATATTGTGTATACAATGTACTGCAAAAAGATAGATAGATGTACATATGCGTGCAATATCTTAATGTGTATATGGTAATAGTAGTATCATTATATTCAATGGCTTGGTTTAAGGGAATATCGAAACCCGAAAAAAAAAAAAAAACATGGTTTAAACATCACCCAGAATTGGTTGGCAGAATGTCTTTTCAACCAATTCTGGGATGTATGGAAAATTCTACATGTCTTAATTTAGTTCTTTATACATACCCATACTTAATATTATTATATATATATATATGTGCATGTATACACTAGCCAATTGGGGCTCATCATTTAACCCAAAGGGATTGGTTGGTTCTGGAAAAATTCAAAGGTTGGGGATCATCAGCCAAATGTCCCTAAGGAGAAACAAGAAGGCCATTCAGGAATGGTCAAAATGTGACTTATTGGGGATCGGCTATCAACATGAACAATTCATGATGATTCTTGGCAAAGCGGTGCCACCCCAGCAAACTCAGACTTGGATGTATAGACCTTCCCTATCCCTGTTGTTTCTGTTTGCATGGTTTCAGATCCCAGAAAAATGGACCAGAAAGGATGGGTCACTTGTTTCCCAGCCAGTCGATATGTTTGCCGGTGGCGAATCGGCTGCGATCGAGAAGCAAAGCTGGACCCAGGTGGTAGACTGCGAGTGGGCTTGTCGAGCACCATGGTGGCGAGTGGCGATAGTGGCAATGGCGGTGGCAAATTGGTGTCCAATCGCAAATGGACTCAGGAAATTGGCATTACAAACGCTCTCCAGAAACTGTTGTAGGAATCGCATAGATTGAGAACTGAGAGCCGTGATCTGTCTGGATTTTCGCAAACCCCCGATTCCAATTGAGTCTTGCTGCTTCATGTTCAGCCTACGTCAGCTGAAAGAGCTGCAGGCCAAGCTTCGAATCATTGGCAGATGCAGCGCAAGCTACTGGAGACAAGACAAAATGTGGAATAATTGGAGTAATTGGCTTCTACTAATTACAAGTATCAAGATGTGTTAAATCTGCTTGTAATTAGTGGGCGAAATTGGCTCCAATTGCTCTACCAGTTTCACCGTGCCTGGATGTGAAATTGCGCACAAACCTGAACAGCTTGGAGGCCACTTGAAGCTTCCCTTTGATCTATAATCAGTCTAGCCTCTCCAAAGTGAAGCATTGAAGGACGTCATTTCGTGAACCAGATCAATATATATATATCATATATCATATATCATATATATAATATAATATAATATAATATAATATAATATTATATAATATTATATTATAGTATATTATATTATATATATATAGCATGTTCCTTTTCGAGTGAAAGTACTGAATTAGATTGAAAACGATTGAAATATGGGAGATACTTCAATTTATGGTCATCAAATGGTGTCGAAAATGATCTGCATTTTTGGGTTCAATATTTGTGGCACACCCATATTAGTACTATGATCAAAAGACGATGTAGAGTGTAGATGGGGTATGGTCATCCATCCCATCATGATCCATATTAATTGGCCATCATAATTCCCTTATGGATTTTCATGACCATGCCCCCATTTTTATAGGGCAATTTACATCGGAGTTTCCCCCGTTTTGACCACCTAGAGCTGAAGTGAAACATTGACACGATGCGTTCCGCCTTCTTGATGAGTCGTTTGGCGCTGTGACCGGCAGCCAGCGCATGCCAGGCGGCTGACACCCTGCCCAGGAGTTGAAGCATCATGGCCAAAGAACAGGCGAAACAACCAAAACTCAAGGTTCATCCACTTAATCCTAACGTTACATAACTATGTTACATAATGTTACTTCCATAATGTTACATAGTGTTAATAAAATGCTACTATATAATGTTATATATATAATGTTGATGATTTTGGATGATACAACTGAGCACTCATGAGTTTTCCGATTCACCTTTTAACAAAACCAGAGCTGCACCTGGCCAAGCGCTTGTGTCGAAGCCACCTTTTGGCCCAAAAACAAGGGGTGCGGATCGGGGATCAAATTGGGTCCTTTGTGGCATCCCTCACCCTGGCATCATCTGAAATCCCAAGCCCTGGCTCTATCCGCGTTTCGCAGTTCACTATCATCATTCAACTGCCATCTCAGCATTGTGAAAAAATGCACAGAAATCACTGAAATCACCTTCATTTCCCACCGGAATGTTCCATCACGAACACATGGCTTACTCTGAAAATAGGGCATACATGGGTATATACCGTATATACCCCCTAAATCCACGGGTTCATCTTCATTTCTCCATCGATTTTCGCTCCAAAACTGGCCATCACAACTTGGCCCCCAGCTGCTCCAGCTGCTCCAGGGACGAAGCCGACTCATCGATCTCCTCCAAGCTGGAGAGCAGCTGCCAGTGCTGAAGCTCCGCATCATCCTGGTGTTTGATGATTCGACAATGGCCATTGAAATAGTGGATTTTCCCATTGAAAATGGTGGATCTTTCCATAGTTATGTGTGAATTTACCAGAGGGTATCCCAGTGCATCCCTCTTAAAACCCAAATCAGTTGAAACATTTTGAAACTTGCAGGTGCCCTGCGACCAAAGTGAAAAAATGGATCACCCCAGAGCCTCCATCTGAACCGAGGACAAGGAGCACATGGAACCCATGGGCCGGAAGGGGCCCTGAGCAGGTCGGATTCCCAAGACACTAAAGCAAGTCCTCCTATTTCGGCTTCACAAATGGTTCAAACCACACTAATTACTACCGCAAATGGAGACACCCCATGAAAAGTGGCAATTTAGACTACGAATGAGACTCTGAGGTAAAGCGTTTTGGTTATTTCACAATTCAAAGGCACAAATTCCATCAAATTCCCGCAGCTTTCAAAGGTGTCACCACTGACCCAATCCTCCAAACCTACTGAAGTCACTGTGCCTCGAAGGACGGCCCTCCAGAGGCTTGCACAACAGTCTCCTGCGCGAAAGCAGAGCGAGGAGTAATCTCGCTAAGTCAAACCTCCTGCGGCATGGAAGCCCGTTAGGAAACAGCAAGGCGCCCTGGTTGTAAACCAAGGTCGTCCGTACAACTTCCTACACATGTCAACTCTTTTGGCCCTGATCTGTCTGACGAGGTGTCAGCATGCGGTGCTCAGTTCTATCATTGAGACGTTGTTACTTATTGGATCATCATATTGGGGCTGAGTGCACAAGCAGCTGACGACATCTCATACAGCCTTCAAACCCAAATTCAACAAGCCACAAGTTGCAGACAGATGCTGCTATGATTGACAAAATCAAGTCCATGCAGTGTGTCTTTTTGGCCCTAATCAGTCTGGCAAGATGTCAGCATGCGGTGCTCAGTTCTATCATTGAGACGTTGTTACTTATTGGATCATCATATTGGGGCTGAGTGCACAAGCAGCTGACGACATCTCATACAGCCTTCAAACCCAAATTCAACAAGCCACAAGTTGCAGACAGATGCTGCTAGGATTGACAAAATCAAGTCCATGCTGTGTGTCTTTTTGGCCCTAATCAGTCTGGCAAGATGTCAGCATGCGGTGCTCAGTTCTATCATTGAGACGTTGTTACTTATTGGATCATCATATTGGGGCTGAGTGCACAAGCAGCTGACGACATCTCATACAGCCTTCAAACCCAAATTCAACAAGCCACAAGTTGCAGACAGATGCTGCTATGATTGACAAAATCAAGTCCATGCTGTGTGTCTTTTTGGCCCTAATCAGTCTGGCAAGATGTCAGCATGCGGTGCTCAGTTCTATCATTGAGACGTTGTTACTTATTGGATCATCATATTGGGGCTGAGTGCACAAGCAGCTGACGACATCTCATACAGCCTTCAAACCCAAATTCAACAAGCCACAAGTTGCAGACAGATGCTGCTATGATTGACAAAATCAAGTCCATGCTGTGTGTCTTTTTGGCCCTAATCAGTCTGGCAAGATGTCAGCATGCGGTGCTCAGTTCTATCATTGAGACGTTGTTACTTATTGGATCATCATATTGGGGCTGAGTGCACAAGCAGCTGACGACATCTCATACAGCCTTCAAACCCAAATTCAACAAGCCACAAGTTGCAGACAGATGCTGCTAGGATTGACAAAATCAAGTCCATGCTGTGTGTCTTTTTGGCCCTAATCAGTCTGGCAAGATGTCAGCATGCAGTGCTCAGTTCTATCATTGAGACGTTGCGGTTGTGACTTCATATTGGTCCCATGGAATAGAGACCACTTGTACCTCGTCACCTCGTCTCTGCATGCCTATACAGCAAGTGCCTTTTTTTATTGGCCGCAAACAGCACAGCGCACGTCAAAAAAAAATGACAGAATGCATCCGCTGTCATTTTTGCGCTAGCAGGACTTTGATGAATGTCTAGAACTCGATGTCGAGAGACTGCAAAAAAAAGCCGCTTTTCATTGAGCATGCACACAATAGATTGAGTGATTTTTGGGGGCAAAATCAGAATATCCACTGCTTCAAAATGTCCAATGCATGGCCAATCTTCCCGAGGGTCCTCCAGCAGAGCCTCGCCGTGACGTCATCCCCCCATCTGCTTGGTTCATGGGACTTTCCAGTGAGGATAATCCCAATTTTTTTGATCACCAACCTGGTGATATAATCGCCAACTGATCCCTTAGATTTCCTGATACCAACACCCAAGCCAGGCGCCTCCTTCCAAAACACCATGATGGTCATCTGCAGTCGATGAACGCAGCGTTGCAGAGCTCTTCCCCTTGGAATCAGCGGTGGTTGAGTAACCAGCAGTTGCACTGGCCATCTGAACAAGCCTCCTTGTATCAAGGATCGGACACCCTCAACAACTCACAATCTGTGAAGAACCAGCGGTACTGGTAAGGTGGTGCCATTGAAAGAACAAAAACGTAAAGCGTTGCTTGATGTTGCTTGTCGATCGGATCGATCGACCTTCTCCAAGCCAAATTCCAAGTCTGCTGTCGAGCGACAGCTTTGCAGCTCCATCAAGTGTTGAGGTCCTGCGCAAAACTCATTAGACTCATTGGAAAATGACAGGTGATAGAATGATGGACCAACAAAAGTCCTCTCGAAGTGCCTCCAATTTTCCCAATTTTCAACAAAAAACTGGCAAAATGGAACAACAAACCCAACAAACCGCAGGTCTGCTGGTTGCTGTCGTTCTTCAATTGCCATATCTAATCTTGCACTCCGAAAAGCTCATGGCTGATGAGCTGAGGGACACAGTAACCATTTCAGCCTGTCCTCTGCATTGCACCTGAAGAGGGCCCCGCTCTGAGGCAACACTTGCAAGGTACACGTATCCATCATTGGTAACTATGGGGATTCCTATGACACACTGTAAACCATGGGATTATAGTGGGATAAACCATCGACCAACTGGTGCAGGATTTCGCAACATATCAATCATACCAAAGAACCGCTTTTCCACACACGTCACACGTTCTATTCTGTTGCAAGATTTCGAAGCAATGCAAAGCTTTCTTTGTGACTTCACACGTCACATAGGTTATTTGCCCCCAGGCCACTGCCGATCGCGCGCCTAACGTCATTGGTTCACTTGGAGTCCCCAAAGATGCTCCTGCGGGCATGTAGTGAAACATCATGGATCAATTTGGACCAATGGATCAGCTCCATGGTAAGTTGCCAATCTCACAAGGAGATTGGATGACTTCGGGCAGAATGGCACCTGTATGTCGGTTTGGAGAATCGACTTCAAACGCCTGCAAGGACTTGTAGCAGGATGGTCGAATTTAGGTCTGACGACTTCACTCTCAAGTCTTGATGGTGCAATCAATTCTGGTGGCCAAAGGCTATCATCCTATCTGCTCTTCTCTGATCCTGTGTTGGACCTCTACTCAGTGCGGATACAAGCTGAAAATCAGCCAACACTCAGGAAATATAAACAAGATTATTCGATCAAATCATGTAAATCCACTTTGACGATGTTCGACTGTTCTATTAGTCCATTAAACAATATTCAACACCTTTGGATTCCCAGCCTCAGAGGGTCGTCGAAGCCCGCACCTGAACAGTTCCCATCTCATGGGTTGATCTGGGGTACCTTAAAATCCAATGGTTCACGACGAGGCTTTCCCATTCCTCATTGCCAGTGGGGTTTCTCAATTTTGGAGCTATCAAGCCATCTCTTTTTTAAGCCCAGCCCCAGCCTTCGACAGAAGTTGGAATCTGGCGCGTAGCAATTGCCACAGATGCAGCGGTAGCTGCTGCTGCGCGGCCTGCCACACCTGAAACGCAGCCAGAGGGATCTGTGGTGGCGCTGGGCACCATTCTTCAAACGATCAAAGGATCCTGAAATGATTCCCATATGATTCCCCAGATCCAGATGCCTGTGGCAAGCATGTGCATCCGGAGCAAAAAGAGTGCCACACTTTGGACACTCCGCTGCCTGCAGGGCGAAAGGCAGAAATGAAACTTCTCCGCCATCTTCTCAAGTTGCACGACGTGGGAAAGCCATAGAAGGTCTAACATTCCAAATGCGCGCTTGCCCGAGCTAGTGATTGAGATGTGGCAAGGTAGGGCAAATTATGTGAAAGGTGTCTGTCCCCAAGCCCTGTCAGACAGATCAGACAGCGTGCCTTAGCATCTCCTTTCTCTTTCCCTGCAGCCGGTCCTGTGTATCTCGAGCTCTTCCGAGCCACATGAGGTTTCAACCTCCAGCTGGACATGGGAAACCATCAGGCCTTCAAAACAGATCCTTGGCAATCTTTTAAATCCGTGGACCGGTCTAAGGGGAAAAACCGGGTAAAACTGCAGGAAACCATGGAAGAAATCCCAACAACCATACGGGGAAAACCAGTAAACCAAGCTTCTCCAATTTCCGGATGAGGGATGATCAGAGCGAACCATTCCATTCTTAGGATGCCAATGTTTTTTTCCCGCGGCCATGTCTGACATCGTCGGTTTGGGGCCCCCAGCAACCTTCGAGTCTTCCGGGTTCCAGCTCGCTCGTCTAGACCCTGTGGCCAGGTGCTGCTAAAAATATTGACGGGTTACAGTACTGTAAGTTGTTATATCATCATTGTTGTTATTCTTCGTTATAGTGATTCTTGGTAGTAGTGTCATTGCTACTGTTATTGATTGGTGTTCTTGTTACTAGTATGATATCAATGGATTCTTAATGTGATATGATATGATGTTCAAAAAAACAGGAAAGGTGATGTGAACAAGATTATTTAATCAATTGAATCAAAGATCATGAAAGCATTCACACTTATCCAGTAATAATCATGTAATGTTGGTAAAACAACAATAAGCCATTCCCAAGTTCACCATGAATAGGTGGTATATAGACCATTCCCAAATGGGCGGTTTATGGCATTGTTTTACCCCGGACCGGCGCAGGTGGTTTTTATCGGTGGTGCCTGGCTCACTGCCATGGAACCCAGAATCCGCCTGACCGAGGCAGCACAAGCCTTAAGACAATCAGTCATGTTTATTCATGTAATATCCCTGCACTATTCATGTAAGATGTTAAGTAATATGATGTATAACGGATAACGTCTGCCCTCTTGTGTCTTCTTTCTCATGGCGAACCAGGACCTGCAATCGGTGGCAGTGCAAGCGGCTCATGGCACCCGGAAAGCCACGCCGGTGGCTGACAAACAGCTGAAAAGGGCTGACAAGGTCTGTTTTTGCATTCTGCATCCTGCTTTGTTGAACAACACTGGTGCACAGTTGGTGGAGTTCAGAGCAGCTAAGGGCCTGACTTTTGCCGAGTATTCAACTGCTTCTGTTGTGGTGGGCTTTGAAACTCGCATCTATTGAGCATTTGGAGCATTGAGCTGCAGACTATCTCAATGACATTGTCAGGTCGTGAACGAAGGGCAGATTGATGCTGGGAAGGAATTGTGATCGCACGCCGTTTGAATCTGGCATAAAATCGAAGGCCGGCTGCAGAATTCATCGTAATCTGCGTTCTGAATACATTTCTGTTCAGATGCCAAGTGCAGCGGCTCTTTTACACTGGCGCCACCTGGTGCTCTGATAGCAAATGCTGGGCTTCCTGTCAAGCTGAACAGTGGGCTCAGTGCGGCCACCATCAAACATGGCTTGCACAGTTCAGATTTGCTCTGATTGCTCTCTTCAAAACCATCTTGGTATAATTGGTATATGGATTTGTCTAGAAATAGAGGACCCCCAATTCCTACGGTTTATCTTGCCATTTTCCCATGATTTCCCAGTCATAGCCATAAATTGGGTGGTATAAAAGCCATGTCGCTCCACACCTGCCGCATCGATTTCCCAGTCATCCTCCACCTTCATCCAGCCGTGAGGTGCCACAAACATCCACAAAAAATCATCCAGCCCGTTACTTCATGCCATAGTTAATCCATAGCTAATCCATAGTTCATCCATAGTTACAGTAATCAGTAATCCATAATTAATTGGGTACTATGTTAGATAGTGCCTGATAGTGCTAAATTATGGTGAAAATTATGGTGATTTGCCGCTGATTTGCCTCATTTAGTAAATGTGCCATGTTCCATAGCTATGTTAAATATTCTTAAATCACTCAAGGCTACTAGTGTTGCACCAACCTTCTCCGAGTACCATTGAATTCTAACCATCCGATACCATCCGCCCAGCCGCAGTCAGCCTCATTGCCTCGGCTCGGCTCGGCTGCCCGAACAACGCCGTCCATGACCAGCCAGGCTTGGACCAACTGGCACTGCACAAGGTCAGCCTCAGCTAAGCAAGACCCGAATGCAAACACAGTCAGGGCCCAAAGGGACCAGAGTTCGGTCATGTTTGCATGAAGAACCCTTTTTCCACATATATAGGATCCAAGAATCATAATAACACAATATAGTAGGTGGCCAGTGATGGGTTGAGTGTAGAAATCAGGATGTATCAAAGAATGATCCGAATCGTTGAACAAAAAAACAACACAACCACTTCACCCGATACTGAGAGCAACTTTATAAAAACGATAAGGAAATGTACATGTAAGTCATGTATAGTCATGTAAGTAACAAGAAAACATATAAAATTGCCCTTGTTAAACCACTTCACAGCTGTCAGAGCGGAAGTCTTTTTCCAAGGCTGCAGCGAATCACGGGGGCGGAGCCGGGCCGGGGCTGGAAGCTCCAAAACGCTTCCACCATTCGACATAGTCCTCGTACTGCATCGCCAAGAAGAACTCCACCTGTTTGTCAAAACCATCTTCCAGTGGATGGGGTGGATGGAGTGGATGGAGTGTGTGCTGAATTTTCCTTCTTTTGCCATCACCTTCCGGACTTTGCGGGGACCAAGTTGTGGCAAAGGGAGGCATCTCTGGGAAGCTGTCCGGTTCATCGATGTGCTTGTCGATCATGGAGCACACCCTCCGGCCCACACTGTTCTCAATCTCCTGACCATCGCGGGACATGGTGAACTTGGCATCACCGTTTCGAAGATGTTGAACCTCCCGAAAATGCAGATCGTGTAGCCTGAGCCATTCCACATCGAACAGCCGCCCGAAACCATTGAAGGGATCAGGGCCTCGTAGTCTTGATCGCCCCACTGAGCTTCTCATCTGGGCATAACCTTGAAAAGCTTCGCTCCGCTGCACGGAGAAAAGCAAGATGACAGGGTCCCCGCTTCGGTAAGCTTCATCCAGCTTGGTTTCATTCTTCCGCTGGGTCGCCCAAACATTGTGTCGAATTGACCTCACCACATTTTCAGCACTATTGCTTGTAATGACGAAGAAGCGAGCTTTGTCAGAATGAGCGGCATGAGACTGAGGGCGCCTCGGTTCAGAGACGTCAAATGGAGAGGCGTTCGCTTCGGCGTCAAAAGGTGACGGTCCTGACGGGCCTGACGGGCCTGACGGGCCAGGCGTAGGTTCGACCTGTGGCTTAGGGACTCTTCCAGGAACCAAAGCTTTTCCGGGCTTGGCAACATTACCAGCCGGCATGGCTCATGGACGTCTCTACGACTCTACGCGAAAGTGGCCGACAATTGCTCTGAGATACAACACCAACAGGTTTGATATAGAAGCCCATGTTCATGCACCCTTTCTTCTGTCAATGCAGAAAAACTCAACGAAAAGCTTTCCTGCACTTGGCTTGGCTTTGCAACTGTCAATCACTCTCAATCCTCACAATGTTTGAAACCCACACACCTAAACTTAACTTCAGTTCAATGTTTCTGACCCACCACGTGTTCACCATGCAACCCTCTTGTCTGCCACCCCTCACACTTGCAGTCATGCAACAGGGAACTCACCCACAAAGATGCTAATCGGATGGCGGCTGACATTGTCCAAAAGTGCACCTATTTGCAGAGCGTCAGATGACAGCACCAAATTTATATTATCTATATATATATAGGCATAGGTATTATATATTGGACTTTTAACTACTGTAGTTGCTCAGACAAAGGATTTACAGCAAGCAGCTCCACCATTTTCAAAACATGGCCAGCACAAAGAGAACCCAGAGCTTTGTGTGGGGTTCTTTCGAAGCCACCTTCATATCAGGTAAGTACCCCTCATCAAGCGCTCCAAGCTAAGCCTGCCCTTCCCAAATGTTGATGGACAACAGACACAAGAAACACAGTGCTCCATTGCATGCACACCTGGGTGTGGGTCAAAAAGTTAAAACTCCGCGCATCAAGACCATATTACCCTGGTGAACAATGCAAAGATGACTATATAGAAGAAATATCCCTGTGCGTTTTCGGAGGTTTCCCTTGTCGGTCCTGCCTCTTTCATCAAATACACAAGGCATGGTGGCAACCTTCGTGTGTCAGCCTGCAGAAAATCAAGTCAGCCTAAGTCAGCTGTGTCTTTAACTGTTTCGAAAGTTTCCAGTGAACAAAAAATGGCTCCGAGGCTCTAAGGCCTTGCAGAAGCCGCTACAGCCGTACTTCGCTTCAGTGCTCTGCATGATGCCCTGCTGGTCGGACGCTATCACAACAGACAAACCTTGCAAATGACTCCGAAATGACTCGAAGTAAGTGATTTTGGAACGAAATTTAGCATCAGTTGGATTCACAGCATTTGTTGAAAAGTGCAGCCCACTCAGCGCAGCTACTTTTTGTTCCGTGGCAAGAGTCGCTTCCAACAAGCTCGCCACCTGAGGCTGCCTAGTGGTCCCCTTCGAATAAGATTCAGGGAATGGACTAGAGATACTCGAGGACTAGGTGTTGCACGGATTGAACAGTGTTCGTAAATAAATGAAACAAGCTCTCATCAGAAACCCATGATCAAATCAATGGGGGACTTGTAACAAACATAGGTCCCCAGCCTATACTTGAATCTCAAGTCGAGCATGCAAACAGAGGGGACAAACCTTCACAAAATGCTAAACACCGAGGCGCCTTCCTGTGTCGGTAATGTCTCGCCAGGGTCAAAGCCGTTGAGCCTTCCTTGTTCCTCTTGTCCACAGCGGCTCCATGTCGAATCAGAAGATCAACCACATCCTGGCGCGGGGCCCCCATCCCCCCCTCCCCATCCAATGGCGGCAGATCTCCCATCCCATCCCAGGGGCCTCGAAGCCTCCTTCCGCGGCCAGCATCAAAGGGGAGGCATCGTGTAGGTTCCCGGCATCTACCTGAAAAAAGTGGATCCAATGGAGGGTCTCCCCCATTGGTCTACTATTGGTCTCGATTCCCGAAAATTGGGCGTGTAAACCCCTATTGAATCTACTGGGCTATGACGGTATGACCGTCCCCAGGCTGGGAATCTATCACCCCAAAAAATGGCCCCCGGCACAGATACCAAAAAAAATGGCCTCCGCTCGCCATGTCAACAACAACTCAGCTGCAGTCAAATGACCTGCAGCAGTGGGAGCGTGAAGTTTGACTGTGATGTCTTGTGTTGTTTCCCTGTGTTCCACTGTAAATTAGATGAACGCCCTGTGTCATTTTTGTCAATACTCCTTTCCAATAACTTATCAAATTAAAATCCATAAGATAGACTTCCTTGCTGCACAAATGGTATGGAAAGCGCTATTTTCATGGCTGCACGACCGTCACCTAATATGGCAATGTCTCAATATTGGGTATCACTCCAACTCATGGTTTAAACCTCATGTTGTCATGTTTTCCCTCAAAAGGGCTATAGTTTAGTGTATCCCCCCCTGGTCCCCAGGCCTCTCTCAGCCGCCAAGTGCAAAGCCGTGGCCTCCTTTCGGTTCCGTGCCGCCAACAGCGACATGGAACCGTTGCTCGAGGTCTCTTCGCCTCCAAAAGGGACCATAAAAGGCAATCCTTTTTGGGCTAACTGCTTTAAGAAATCCACAAAAGCCCACTGCTTCAAAAGCCTATGATTCTCAGGGTCTTGCAATTTGGTGGATTTTCCGAGAGCCACAAACCCCCAAGTCTCTGAGACTGGCAAGCCTGGCTTCCGATCCACTAGACAACATGCCGCTTGCAAGAGGAGGAACATTAGTTCTTCATCCACACCATTCAGGATTAAAATGGGTCAACTGGATAGTCATAGCCCCTGCCCTGCCCCAGCCTCCACGTAAAAAGGCTAAGAGAACTTCAGAATGACCAGCTTCAGCTGCAATCAGCAACGGTGTGGCGCCCTGTCCGTTGACCATGTCCACGGCCGCACGCCACTCCAACAGGAGCCTGCCAGCCATTGAAGGAAAGGACATCACATCTGACTTAGCTCAGAGCTGGTGCACAAATGTCCACCATCAACTTGGTGCTCCTTCCCTGTTTCCCGCATTTAGAAAGGACCCTGGGCAATCAGCAGGTAGGTCTCAACAATAACCTGTAACAGTTTCGCTGCCAGGTTTCTAGCTCCAAAACATCTCAAAAGCACCCCCCACCTCACCAGTTCTTTATGACCTCTTTCAGCCGCAACAGAAAGGGCTGTTCCCTCGACGGAACCATCGATCTCCACATTGGAACCCTCCAGCAACAGCTGTTTCGCAACTAAGAGGTGGCCATGCTTGGAAGCTGCCCATAGAGGACTTCGTCCAGCCGAGTCGGTGATGTTCACAGAGCCACGGTAGTGCAATAGCAGCCTTAGAACCTTCCAGGGAATCCCAAGGGTTTCTTGTAGATTTGGAAGGAACTTGCTCCATATCATATGGGTGTGTCTGAAAATGGCGTTTACCCTCAAATGGCCATTTCAACTGGGAAAATGATGAGAAACCATCAATTCATCAATCTTGCAATACCCCATTTTCAAACCAACAAACCCATAATATTATGAAATACATACAAATACATTAAATATCTCTATATATATATATATATATGTATACACTGTACATTATTATATTTTTATATACAATCCACTCCCACCTCCATATGTCCACCTTCCGCTGCAAACCACAGAGCCGTGGTTGGCTCCGCCTCATTTGGATTCGCCCTTCGCTCAAGCAGCACGCCAGCCACATCAGCATGGCCACGCCAGGATGCCACAATCAACGGCGTCGTTCGTAGTTTTCTGACTTCGGAAGCTGCAGATTTCAAGAGATCCAAAACCATCCTGCTCTTGCCCTGATAACAAGCAGACAGCAATGCATCAGGCAACTGCCAAGATGGTTTCTCTCGAAGATAGGAGATCTTGGGTTCGGGAAGCCAACTCACCATCACGACATCTTCATCTGTACCAGGCGATCTCCGCGCCGCTTCAAAGACTTTCAATGGAAGCCTCCTCAAGCGACCGCCCTTTACTGGATGTGATCGAAACTTTTCAGATCCGTCCTCCGAACTGGGATCGATCAAAAAGGCCTCGTCTCCCTTGATGTTGATCAAAACGCAAAAATGCCCAAAATAGTTACTGCTCAGTTCGATGTTTTCCAACTTGACTCCTTTCCCAGACTCTGTCAGAAAACTTGCCACAACACTCCAGTCCAGTAGAACGATGGCTGCACGGCAAGAAAACTCCGGAAACTCGTAATCCGCTTGTGGAGCGAAGAAAGATCGGATTTCCTCCAGTGACACTGATCTGCTCTCAGCCGACAGGTCCAACTTGGCCGCTTCCTGGTAGAAGCGCAGCATACTTTCGCGACGATCCTCCTGCAGCTCAGCCTTGAAGCGTTGATAAAAATCAAATCCCCAAGCTTCCGTGAAGAGAAAGCAGAAGGAGATCCGTGTATGCTCAGGGGACAGCAGCCGGCCAAGGGCCAGGGCCAGCTGACGAGTTTCTACACATCTGCCGGGCAAAAGTTCAGAGGCTTCGTCGCACAGAGCTTTGCCAAGATCTGTTCCACTGATGGCCTTGGTCAAAATGCGAACGCAGGTTGGACCACAGTCCATCTCACCTCCTTGCACCATGGTCACCATGTCGGATGCTATCCTGTGGCTCATCACCTTGCCATCAACTTTTGACGACGTGTTTGTTTAGAGCAGGAAACTGGTGGAAAGGTACAAGAACATGTGCAACTGATTGCCTCACTGACAAAGTTAAAGACCCTTGCACTTGGTTCTTTTGATTAAGGGATGTGCCACAACCCAGAGAACACATGACATCATGACAACGCTACAGTTTGCGCATGGTGCCGCTGTAACGGATGAGCCAAGATGGGCTTTTGGACACACCATAGTAATGGTGATGGCAGCAGCTTGGCTGATCAACGACCCTTCGAGGGCGCACCCACCAGGTGCCACGCTCATAGTCCAAACCTCTGTGGTCAATCTGACAAAAGTCAGAAAGTTGGAAAGGCCCAGCTTGGACTCTCTCAAGTCTACATCTTGTAGCGTCTTGATGAATCATACGCCAGCTAAAAGATCTAAAAGCACGTGGGCAAATCAACCGGGGACCCGGGCACTAGATGACGGCAGATGCATTTTGACTGGCGATTTGCTATGACACAGGGATGAGCAGCCACATTCGACAACGATAAATTAATAATGAGGTTGTCCTATCTTGGAAGTTGTGCAAAACTGTCTGTTCACATAACAATCTGCCTGTCCAAATAATGTTTCCATGTTTGGCAGCCGTCCCTTTTGAAAGCAAAAAGAGGTTGCTGCCTTCCGACCGCTCGATTACCTCATGAAGTTGATCTTGATATTGCCGATGGATGGGCACTCTGCACCAAAGCTTACTTTCAGAATGTCTTACTGCGTCTCATTACGTCCCTGCCCCAAATCCTCTGGGAAGTTGCCTGATTCACAAGATCTGTATATTTAAATTGTTGGTTTGAAATCACATTCCTACAACTATGGCAATCCAAAACTCCCATACATCAACCAGTCACAATGGTCGTCTTCCCATGTCATCTGACACCCGACTGACACCCACCTGCAAACTTGCGCAGCCTGGCTCAAGAGCACATTCATGCGGAGGCTTCCCATTTAAACACAAATGTCATAACTTGGGTAACCTGGGGTATTCCGAAATACCCCATTTCGAGACAAATCCATGTAGCAGTGATAGAGCATCAGATCACATCCTGCCTACCATTGATCTGCAAATGGAGGCTTCCAAATCCCCTGCCAGTGTGGAGACCTGCAGAGCATCAGAGGACCATCTGGAGAGCAATTCCAAGAACAGGAATGTGAAACTTCGGGTAGTCTGGGATTATGAATTGACTTTGGCCTGTTGAAACGAAAGTATCTATATGTTACAAGGACCCTTGAAAGAAATGTTGAGTCTGTGCTCCCAAGAGGTAAAAGAACATCATAGCCAATATCAGTTAGGGATAATGCGGACTGGACACATACCGATTGCCACATTGCAGCCTTTCAGATCTTTCGGTCTCAAAAGATGCGGCTCAACATCTCCGAAAGGTTCGGCGTTGGCGATGAGAACCGCATATCAGGGATTGATCTCTCAACCAGGCGGCAGCCGCTGCAGTGAACATGCGCGTCTGCGCCTTGGAGTTGTGTTATCAGCATGAATTTGCTTGCCACAAAGGGCGTGAAAGCCTCTTTCTCATTTTACATCGGTGTGTGTTGGACACCCGTCTGCCATGGTGCCAGCGTACATGCTCAGAAAACCACCTTGCTATCATTTTCTGTGTCAATCAGACCTGTTTCCATCATGTTAGATGTTCAAATCACAAGGCTTCCTGTCATTTCACAGTGAACAGAGATTCTTGGAGATCATGCAGTTTTGCAGTGTGCCATGTTCATGTCATCTCTCATGATTTCCTGAGCGTGGCCAAACACCTCTCAAGTCTGTACGCACCAGGGCAAAACGAAGTGGGTGCAACGCTGGAAATAGCTGGAGGTGGGTCAAAAATTGATTATCAATGGGCTCAACAAATTGATCATCTATAAATACTTTACTTTAAACATGATTAAAATTCATTAAATATCTATAAACCATCCATCCATTCTTGGATATCATTCATTTTGACCCATACACTGCCATATACACAGAAGATGTTCCGCTGGAAATCTGCATGAATCTGCTCACTTGCAGAAGACGCAGCCCTTCAGGCCCTGTCGGGAAATCCGCCCGTCCAGCTACTCTTTGAAGCTAATGACGTTGATGCATAGGGAAAAACAGGTTCACTTCTGCCATTTGCTTGTGAAAATAGTGATCATCATCTCCCATTGTTCAAACAACTGATCAAAAATTGGCAAAATATCAAGAACCTGTCTCAGAATGGTACAAGAATGCACCAAGTCTAGTCAGAATTCTCTGTCATTTCCGTAGAATTCGCCACAAAATGGGGGGAAATCCAGTCCCACAGACCCAAAATTCTACGCATCCCAGCCTGCAGCATTCGCTTCGCCACCATCTTCAATCGGCCATCCACAGGAACTGGCATCAGTTGCTTGGCCTCGCCATAGCTATAGCTGGACCCCCATAGCTGGGGTGCCACAAATGCCATGGTTTTCACCGGAAAGATTCGAGGAACGATTGTGAAATTGGTTTCTCCAATGGAAAGCAGTGGCTCATGGCCATCCCATTGAAAATGTTCTTGCCAACAAGAAAATTACAATGTTTCTCATGGCCATTTTCTCCATTTTCTCATGGCCATCCAGTTTTCAAGTTAGAATCCATTTTCAAGAACATTTTCAACATCCAACAACTGGATTCTAACTTGAAAATGTTCTTGCCCTCGAGGCTGCTTGCTGGTGAATGTGCAGCCTGCTCTTCCACCTTGTCGTTGTCAACCACGTTCTCACACTCTTCCTGTCACGCTGACATGTGTGGGCGCAACGCTGGGATTTGGGTGTGGGTCATAAATTGCGGTGGCTTAAATACCGATTCTGGGAATTCAAAGTTGGAATTTTGTGTGAAAATTGAATTGGTATACTCGATTTAGTCTCATATCCCATCTTCCAGGCAAGCAGAATTTGTTGTTGCCACGGCCAGCCATAGTGGTGTTAGGCCTCGATTGAACCTGTTTCATCCTTTTTCTACATAGCACTGGAGAGATTCCGGAAGGTCCATCCGTGATCGCATTTCAGAAGAGACGCCGTCCGAACCACGACAACGATTTACTTGGTGGATTAATTTGTTGCTAATATTGTCATACATATGTATATATATATATTATATATATATCATATCATATAATATTATATTTTATTATATTATATCATATCATATCATATTATATTATATTATATTTTATTAAATTATATTATATTATCTTATCTTATCTTATCTTATATTATATTATATTATATTATATTATATATTATATATATATTGTCTTTTTCCTCCTGAGTACAGTCCTGCATGACTTTGACTAGTTTGTGATGTTCTTCTCCCACTTAAGATACTTAAGTCCATTTGTCAACCAAATCCATATCACAGTAACCCATGGAACTCAACACTTGAAACATCTTGAAACCCCACCCAGCATTCCAGTCGCCTTGTTGGAGGGTGCGTTCACCGGCATCTCCGATGGTTCCTTTTCAGGACTCGTCTCCGGAACTTCAACTGCCTCCTTGCCAGAATGAGATTTCAGGAGGTTGTTGGAGTTTTACTTTCGTCTACAAGATACCACCCATTGGCGAAGGAGACTGGATGATTCACCGTTGATCCCACACCAACTTAGCACAACCGCACAACCCGAAACCATCGAAGCCCTAGGCCTTCCTAGGCCCCGGGGCCTGTGGTTTCTCCGAAACCTGCGGCGTCATCTTGATGCTTGCCATCAGCTTGGACGCCTCGCCAGAGTTTCAAGGTCGAATCCTGGATGAAAAAACCTGAAAAACGACCCCACCTCCATAGACTCCATAGGCATCCTGGTCACCTCATGGGCTCAACTGAAAGCTCTGATGTCTTCCATTTGGATCCAACAAATGGGCACCCCATTTTATCCCAAAAAAGACCAATCATGTTGGTGGGAAACCGTATGGGTTTGCAGGTTCTTCAACGTTTGGACATGCCGATTTCAGGGTGCCCCAAACTGTGCTGCCAAGCCACGGGAATGGGGTGTGGAAAAGGCTGCTGTGCAAATGGCTGCACAGTCTTCGTCGCAGGGATCGAGATCGACGGGCGCTTCATGCGCATTGGGTCCTAACATGAAGGAAGGCGAGAGTTTTCCATTGACAATGGATGTTAATCATTAATCATTAACCATTTTCCAATGTCAATGGACCATATTAACCATGAAATGATTGGGAAGATGATTGTTCATATTTAATCAGAGATTCATGAGAGGGTGTGTCACATCCTTGTCCAGAAATGGTGAACATCCGAATCATGTGGCCACTGAAAAATGGGGAAAACTCAACTTTATGGCAATGTTCACGGATAAAACGCCAATACATAATTAGGTGGAGACATAATTCGGTCATAAAACTTTACTGGGGAAAAGTCCACTTTATGACAATGGTTCGCAATGTTTCTTTGTGGTCAACAGAGAAAACACCAAAAATTGGTTGATTTATGATGGTAAAAATATGTGATTTTCCAAAAGTGGATTTGGGGCTCCCACTAAAAACCAGGACCTCCCCTGGCTTTTGACCCAGATTCCACAGGTGCGAAGTTGGTGAAGGCTTGTGGGCCCGCCACATAGCTGCTGACCACCTGGCATTTTTCTTTCATGGGACAGAATAATTGGGATATGATGGGATCTAAAGGGTGGTATAATAGGATAACTATGGATAACTTCTATAACCAACCAAATGATGTTCCGGTGCGTCTGAACATGTGGGTATATCATGGTGTATACCGATGTATTACCATGTTTAATGGGGAATCTGATGAACCAGCTGATTTAATTTGGGGATATTTGGGGTACAGTATACACTAGTATACATCATTCTTGTTGGAGAAAGCCACACGTTAGATCTCAACTACCGATGCAGGTTCAGCAAACTCAGTTCGCCACTTGTCGTGGCATCGAATAGGCCATGCCTGAGATGGGCAGAATGAATCACCTCCATAGCCCAAACAAGTTCAACCCCATCCAGGTTCTTACTCCACACTTATCCTACCTTGGCAATGTCCTTTTGCACAGCGTTCCAGCTACTGAGTTGGCCCAGTTGAGCCGAGGCACTTTGAGTCACAGTCTTCAGGGGCATAGGAGTGACGGAACCTGGGTAGTAGGGCCTTGCTGACACCATGGGCTCAGTGGGAGGGCCGTTGGAGACAGTGGAGATCTGCCTCGACCAAGCCCCAGCCGCTGGGCCCACAGGAAAACTCGGTGCTTGAGGCGCTGGAACAGGTCTGCCGTTCATCGTGACATACTGCACAGGCCGGTAGACTGGCACCTTAAAAGAGACACCCTGACACTGCCACGACACTGCCACGACACTGGCTCGAGTTTCTTTCACAAAATTTCACAAATATGTACAACGTGATCATGGGGCTCCCCACTGGAGCAGACATGGCACCAAAGGGAGATGAGCGAATCACGAGTCCCAAGATGTCTGAATCTTCCAAGCTGAAAATGGCCATGGTCATGTCACGATCGGCAAATCAACTGACAGCTGACCAACAGAACTACTACGCTGCGAAATCTGCGCATTAACAACTTCGAGACTTTGATATCTGTCTAAAAAACAAAAAGAAACAGAAAACGTTTGAACCTGAGCGACCTCAACTTACTGGTGCTAAGCATACTGGGGGAATGTTCCAATCCATAATGATTCACCATCACAGTGTGACCACAGCATTCCCCCATTCCCTGCGTTTGGGCACCAAAACGAAAAGCGCCTGCGGTCGATGCAAGGCCCAGGGCCAGGCAGCAAGCCTCGGGCCCCGTAGCTAAGTGGGTTTATAATTTTATAAGTAGTTTCACTGGACCAGGTTCAACAATAGACATATCATCATATCATGAATATCTGTACAGTTCGATTGGGCCAAATCTTCGCTCGCAACGTATACAAAGTATACAGAACTGAGATAATCCAGCAAGAGTGAGAGTTTCACCACTCCCCCCCAAGGCTCCCAGCTCCACAATATGCGAGCAGGGCCCATCTGGCAGGTGCAAAAGTTATGGAGAGACATGGAAAAAACCGGATATTTAATGCTTAAACAAGGCTTAAACAGCGGGAAAGAACCATGATTTGCCTGTAGATTTTTCCCTTAAACCAACCCACCGACCCCACAGGTTGCTGAAGGCGGGGTCCCAGTCGCTCCCCGGCTCTGCGCCTCGTTGAGGAGGTAAGGGCCGCAGAGCTGGCACAGTCCGACCTGTGTAAGGAGGAAAGAAGGGGACAAGTGATGTCCTTCAAAAGTCAAAATGGTGGTTTCCTAAAATGGGGGTACCCCAAAATCATCCATTTTCATAGGATGTTCTACAAACAAAGTTTCATCATCCCATCCTTGCTGCTGTCAAACTGTCCAAGAGAACCTGAAGAATCGGAAGGCTTGAGGTCTCCTTCCACTTCAATAGGCACAGCGTCCTGGAACAGAAACTCTCGGGGTCAGCCAGGATCACATTGCAGTCAAAACATCCTCTGAACCAAGTAGCTAGCGGCTAGTAGCAAGGTCACTATCACGAAACAAACGAAAAACAGCTTACTTCGAGATTTTGCTGATTTCATTGCAGAAGCGAAGGTCTCAAACTTGGACACTGGCTATGCCACAAATCCATCAAAACTAAAGGGAAAGCAACTGCACTTAGGAACCCTGATTTTGAGCTTCCAACATGTCAGTGCATGTGACAGCTTTGTGTTTTCTAAGAGGCTGCTGCAACTTGCGATAGGCCTCCAATCGAGGTGCTAGAGTTGTCTGGCAACAGGGTCCCCCTAAAAGTTTGCATGTCAGTTCACCCCGAAACTCTGCTCGCTGGTTGCACGAGGCGTGCTTATTGAATCTTGGGCTTGCTTGAGAGTGCTTTCCTCTTCTGGACAGACTGTACATCAAGGATGACACTACGCTACAAACCATCTCCATCTACTCATCGAAGGTTGAAGTGGCGCGCTCACGAACTCCGATCACTGTGCGGCTGGACTCAACTTGCCTGATGTATTCTTCTGCCCATAAAACTGCAGCATGTAGGTCGACAAGTGTCTCCTCTGTTTGCTGAAGAAGATCGCCAAGTCCAGATTCCTTAATCTGGCGCCTGACATTCGCACAAGCATTTGTCACCAAGACCTTCACGTCCACTTTGGACCATGACTCCTTGTAGTGAGCCAGCGCCGTTTCATCCAGGAATGGCACCATGCGCCAATCTGCAATGGCCACCAGCACTTCCCTGTTCAGCTTCCGACGATCCGCCCGGGCCGCCCGGGTATTGGCGGCGGCGTTCCCGAACCAGCGCGGACCCATGGGCCGCGTGATGCTAATCTTCGGGATGGGAGCAACTGCAGAGCCCGGAAGCAACTCGTCATAGGTCTCTGTGCCCGGGATTCGGCCAATATGCACAAAGCCCGGACCAGCAAATCTGGATATGGACACAACGATTTGAAACAAAATTGCAATGACAGAACCGTTGACGATGCCAAAGATCAAGGGCGAGAAGAACGCCATCAGGTAAATTCCGAGGTCACTTGCTACGAAGACTTCCAGAAAGCTACTCTGAGCATCTCCTCTGGCGCTGTTGCGTGCTTGTCCATATAAGTGCCGCAATTCTGAAGGTAAGCTTCGAAACAAGGGAGAAAACTCCACCAGTAAGATCACAGAGACTGCACATTTGGGGATGCTTAGAGAAAGCTTGGCCACCAAGTAGAATGCCCCTAAGTGACCCAATACGTTGCCAATGGTGGCCAGAAAGCCATGGTTGCTTTGAAGGGCCTCACGTGGTTGAAACATTTGAATCCTTCTTTGAGCAAGGTCGTTCAACGCAAACTACCACCTAAATGGATCCAAATGATCCAAAGACATACTCTGGAACTTGACAACTGACTCCACTCAGAAGACTTGACATTCCACCTGACACACGGCGAAATTGGCCATAACAGGCATGCCCCCAATGGACGCAGCCACCAAACTGCTGCCCCCCAGCGCCAAAAGCTCTCTCCGCGGCATCCAGGGATCACTTTCTCGACGCACGCGCTGTGCGACCGTGAGATGGCTGCCTAGAGTCCAAGATTATGCAACAATAAGGGCCCCAAAATGAATAGATCCTATACTAAATGCTATTTTTTTAGGGTAAATATTTAATTTTGAGGGAAAGGGATTGTGTAACATCTTGATATCCTGTTGACATTAGAAGAGTGGGTTTGGAGGTCGTTTCCGTTGTATACATGGGTCCGCGGTGAGTGCCCTCCTCTACTAGCGTACTCACAGTAAGAATCCAGCTCATCTGAGTAGACATAGATCTCAAGCATTTCTCCTGATGAGACTCTTTGGTTCAGGTAATACCAAACTCAAAGTGCATGAACCCTAGTGACGCAGACATATCTTCGGACGTTTTCCTCACAAACTCCCGACCTAATGACAGGAAAGCTGTCAACACAGCAGTGGGGAGAGCAGCAGACATCTGGTCCAAGCTCCATCCAGAAAACGCCCAGCGCGGACTAGGCTCCTGGTTCAAGGAAAAAAAACAAATGTCGAAACCATGGCTTTTCCCATCAAATATGGGAGTAAACCAATGGTACACCCCCGCTTAAGCAAATCCAATGATAGTGACACAAAACGTTCATCACGAAGCTCCTCAAAGTCAGCTAGCGCACTGATGTCAGCAAAATATTGAATCACCACACCCGCTATGACAAGAACGATCAGATTACCAGCTGCGTTGAAAGAGCGGCACATGAATCGCAGCGCGGAGCGACATCGTCTGCGACAACATCCCACGTCCAGCTGTTCCTTCAGCTTGTCTGAAGCACCGCAACGACCCAGGGTCTTGCACAAGATCAGCACAAGCAACAGGCAACTGGAGAGCAAAAATGTTGGCCAGTGAACTTGCTGTGGCAATGCCTTGCAAGTCTTCCAGAAGCGCAAGAGAGGCGAATTCGGTTTCCTCGACCGGAGTCTGAAAAAAGTGAAAGAGATCTTGACACCTCTAAGCAATCAAACTGACTCTGAAAAAGCACAAAAGTTCAAATAGAAATAGAGCGAAATAACTTTTCTTCTCCAAATTGCTTGAAAATGTGTTTCTTATTCACTGGAGTTGTCTGACTGTGCAGAAAACCGAAAGGACTCGGCTTTACAGGACCTATTGCAGGATGTCCCAACTCGCAGTGATACACAGAACGCCGACAAAGAAGTATCCACACTTCAGAGGCCAGAATTGCAATCAAAATGACATAACATACCAAGGCATTTCAAGTGCACTTCAACTCCAGCCTGAAAGGCGAATGCGCCTACCAAAGGATAGATCTGAATTCATATGGTCTGTTCCACGTTGAATTGTCTTATATAGCTGGCGATGCCTTGCTTTGATAAGAGCGTTTCCGAGCAGGGTTTCCCGAACGCCATGCAAAATGGGTCAAACTGCACAAGGACAGTGGAGGTTCATTTGATTTGATTGGGTCTCGCTTTCATGTGTACACGTGATAAATTTAACCTGATTCACACCTTCTTCTCTATTATTTTGCAGCCTGGTGGGATATGCGAAAACATCCTTATAGTATATGGATACAGACCAGCAAAATGCTATGTGTGCTATGTGAGTGCTCCTCTTCGGTTCATTTCCGACGGTCAGATACTACACGTGACTGCCCGCAGTTTGACGGATTCGAGCGGGTTTGGTTCGGTGGGGATCCATCAATTACTGTACTGTGAGCCCATTTCACTGATATCAGTCTACGATCCACCACACTCATGAACTATTCTGGCATTCTGTACGTGGACAGAATCATAATTTCAGGGATCAAACCCAAAAAAGTTTGAGACAAGGATCTCGTTCAATTTCACCGCAAAGAGGACTTCAGCCTGTGCTAAAATCACCACCAGTGCTGCTGCCCCCGTGCGTGCGCGAAGCAACGGCTGAGAAAATAGTTCCACCACTGCAGCCAAGTCCAGAATAGCCAAGGCTAAGTGCATGGCACCCACAAGGACAGCCATCATGGAAGCCATACCAGCAGCCAAATCAACAGCCTGCACAAAAATTGAGGAAATGTCTGCGGGAAAAGGTATATATATAAAATTTATCAATCAACAAGCCATCAACAAATTTCATCCTGATTCCAGCAAACTTTGCTTGAGTACCGCGAAGAAAAGCAAGACAGTCTATACAGAAATGCAGCAGGTAGTCCCAGGTAGTCCCTTCAACTTATCAGCACCTCATCAGCATCAAAGCGCGACTCGATCAGTTCACCCAAGCACAGGGCAGCAGTTGATCCAGATTGCACCTGCTTTTGAGGACCAAGAACAGGACACCCAGCTCTGTCTAGAAAACTCAAAACTCCACTGACTCTACGGACTCTACGGCTCCCAAAGAGAGAGCATACGCTTTCCAAGCTAACTTGGTCAGGGCACTGAAAGTAGAGGTAAGCTACCCAAAGCCAAGTAGATGAATGGTGAAGAAATACTTGTGTTTATACTCACAAAGGCTGGAACTTTGGCAAGCACGGCGTGGCCAATCACCAGCGGCCAAAAGACAACACCAACAGCAAAGCCGTTGCAAAGGTCATGTACCTCGGGCCAGATTAGGCCAGATTTCAGGGATCAAAAGGATTGCAAACTGGGTTTCAAGAATTCAGTTTGGACAAAGACATCTCCATGATATGTGTGTCTTGGAAACTCCGTTTCCTGTGCCACGGCACTGCAGCCAAGGGGTCTGACCGGTAGGTTTGAAGTCCGGGAAGCGACATCGAAACTCATCGAATCTGTACAAAAGTCAGACTACTTTCTATCACAACCTCGGGCCAAGTTTGGCGCAAATAGAAATGAGATTCTGGGAACCCTCAAAATCGTAGAATCTGGATATGGGAATTGATCGTAATGGAGGGTCAATAATGAACACTTGATGTTGCCGGTTTTGTGAAAAAGGACTTACACCCTCCGAATGGATCTGTAATAAGGCGCAAAAAAAAGCTGGCCAACGAAAGAGGGAATGCAACATATTATATATATATATGCACAATACACATATGTATGGATGTATGGATGTATGGATGTATGGATCTATCTATCTATCTATCGATCTATCTATCTATCTGTCTGTCTGTCTGTCTATCTATCTATCTATCCATCTATCTATCTATCTTCCTACCTACCTACCTATCTACCTACCTATCTAGCTATCTATCTAGCTATCTATCTATCTATCGATCTATCTATCTCCCTACCTACCTACCTACCTACCTACCTATCTATCTATCTAGCTATCTATCTATCTATCTAGCTATCTATCTATGTATCTATGTATCTATGTATCTATGGATCTATTGATCTATGTATCTATGTATCTATGTATGTATGTATGTAAGTATGTATGTCTGTTTGTATGTCTATGTATGTATGTCTGTTTGTATGTCTGTATGTACGTGCATGCATGCATGCATGCATGCACGCACACACGGACGGACAAACGCACGGACGGGCGTACGTACGTACGTATTTACGTCCATACGTTACGTGTAGTTATGTACGTATGTACGTATGTACATATGTACGTATGCATACTGCGCGCGGACCTATGGAAATCTGTAGAGTATGAATGAATTTAGATATGTATATATATATATACAGTATATACTATAATGATCTATAATGTACATTTTGGCACCCCTAACGACCCAGCGTGTTAAACTCCATTGCCATCCAACCCCACAGCACCAGATGCGGCAGCTCCCGCAGACTACGGTCAAGAGTGTTCTCAGCAACATGCTGCACCTGCGCATGATAAGTCGTGAGAGCCAGCATCACCGCATGATACGCCCAGGGATAAGCAAATGACACTGCAAAATGACGTTTTTCCAACATCCCTGGAATTCACGATTGTGCGATGTTATACACATTTGTGTCCTCTATGTATCTATTAAGTAAATGATAGATGAATAAACAATAATAAACAAATAAACGTGATTTTGCAGCAGCTGAAACCTCTATTTGCAGGATTGTCCGCCATTCCGGCAGTTTTCCAAAGAGCGACCCGCGAGCTAAGCGCAGCGCCCTTGTCTCTGGAAAGCCATCAGGCATGATGAGCCGCCACCTTCGTGCAGTTCCCAGTCTGTAAGGGTTCCCATCTTCCAGGCTGGAAACGATGCTGAAATGCTGATGAGATGGTGATGATGATGCTGCTGCTGCTGGTGGTGGTGGTGAGGAGGAGGAGGAGGAAGACGACGACATTTACTTGGATACTTACAACTCGCAGCCGATTCGAGAGATGTACTTGGTGTGAGCCAAGAAGTATTATCACGAAAACAGGGCGAAACAGATTGACCACCCCGTTTTCTACAGTAAAGGCCAGTTGCCTCTTCTTGACAGCTGCATCTCAACATAAAACCTTGGGACTACCCAAGAGAAAGAACTCAATTTCTCCAACCGCCTCATCGCATGCACGATCGAGACTGGCCGACTGGCCGTACAGGCACAAACCATGTAGCAGGCCAGTTCCATACAGTCACTGCAACCTCAATGTGGATGTGTTTTCAGTGTTATCTTAGCTTCAGTAGGCCCGAGTCTTTTTGACAACCTTCTGAGATTTTGGGATTCTGCGGATCAAAAACTTCCATGGCTTGGGCCAAACGCAGCAGGACACTCAGTCACTGTTTGACCGCTTCATTTTGGAGATATGCAGCTGGTTTGCACTTACAAAGGTCGGAAATAGGTAATAGCAAAAAATGTCCTGAATCTTGCAAGGCAAGTACCATCACAACCCAGTTTTTCCTCACTGAAAGGAAAAACATCGTCCTACTTCAGAAACTTTCCTTCGCTGAAAGGATCTCTGCCACTTTCCAACTACATCTCAGCGGCCTTTTCGAATGCAACAGGCATCCATCACAGGCTGGCATCCTTAAACATCCTGCAGCAATGACAGCCACAGGAATCAATAAAATATCATACGTCATATGTCGTACGTCCTTCAAATTTTCCCTATAACAATTCTCACATCCAAGGGCTTTGAGGCTGTCAGTAATGTATGGGCTCATCAATATCTGAATCAGCATCACTCAGCTCATCTTCATGCCGATCTTCACCTCAAAACGCTTCAGGCGCACTATACCGACATCATTGGTATATTTGGGTATGGGGCCATTGGGTACCCATCTGAAAATGGGATCAACAAAATCGTTAAAGATCAATAAAATCACCATCAAAAATCACCACAAAATCACCATGAATTCCCTGGGTGTTGGGCTTTTCCCAAATTTTGATCCACACCAAGGCAGGGCCATTGAGTCGCTGACATGCGCGGTGAACATCGATGCGCCGTGCATAGGCGAAGAAGGGGACCGTCTGCTTGATCCGCCAGCGCCTGGGTCCGGCGTGGCACCAAGGAACATGAGGAACATGAGGAATTGGGAAAAAAAGTCGAAGTGGTTTTTGGGATTAAGTTAAGTCAAGTTATCCAGGATTGATATGGATCATGAATCTTGATCATGTTTTTTTCACTTTGATTTGATTGCTTCAGTTGCACCCAGTGCACCGAAGCTTGATGTCCTGCCAAGTTGAATCTCCGATCTGAGGCAAAAACCATTTCAAGCGCTTGAGCCGTTTCATGGCCTGAAGCAAAAAAAAATCGAAAATGATCGAAATCAAAAATGGTCAAAAATGTCTCAAAGTCCTCAAAGTATCATCAAAGCATCGGGAGATCACGCCAAGCTTTGAAGAGTCGTAAAGATTAAATGATTAAATCGTATCATGTGTATCTTGCAAAGAACTTCAACTGAACTCGTTGAGCCGGTCATTGCTATACAGCTCCGTCCCCGAGCTCAGCACCCTTTTCGCTCCTATAGCACCATCCATCTGCTCAAACCTGAAAAGTGCCACGAAGACGCAGTGTTTCACTTGCTCAAAGATGATAAATATGTTGATATAGATGTATTGTTTCTAAGGCAGCATGACCAAATCACCAAGAAATCATACGAACTGTTTGAGATCTAAAAGATCTTAAGCTGAGCAGCTTCATAAAGAAGGAGCTGGATCCATCTGCCGTGGTGTGATGCCGATGAGCTTTCACCTCAGTACGCGTACGCAGGGGTCTCCGGGGGTCCGCAAGTCCTCGTTACAATCCAGTGTGAATCCAGTGCCAAGCTCCAAACGGGATAGAAGTCCAACTGATTCATCACCTTCACATGGGACAACTTGCAGCACAAAAGGATGCCCAAATCCCACTGCACCTGAAGGAACTCCTCCTCGGTCATGTCCTGATGCATCCCCAAATGTCCAGATGTCATTGCTGTTTTCAATCAACATTTTGGAAATTACTAGTTGCATCATGTTGCATCCTGTCACTGAATATATCATGTGTTGTACTGAGTGAAAATTCACGATCTAACCATTTCCCTCCTTCATGCAAAGCGGAGTTAGTGCGGGCATTTGATTTGTCTGGCATGGGAATTGTCATGATGCTACATACTGCATACCATACACCTGTTTAGTCAAAGCGCGAAACCCTGACGACAGATTGCGAGCAGCCTCTTGCCAACCTGTGGTGAAGACCCAAGAATTGCTTCCCTGGCGGCAGGAACCCCTTCCAAACAACCCCACTCGGGAGCATGCACAAGCTGGGCGCAATCCAAGTCGGGATCACGTGCAACAAGAAATCCAGATCCTGTCCGGAGCAACAGACTTGGAACGAGATCATACCTCAAAATTCCCGACTTTTCAGTGCCACCCATCCCATCTATCAATATCTATCAGAATTAGAATCTATATATATATATACTAGTATCTATATAATATAATCTATCAGGCTGATCTACAATGATTCACCAACCATTAGGTGGCTTTGGAATATGTTACAATGTTGGTCGGGTGATTCGTATCCTAACCATCGATGGCGACGGTGAGGCCATCTAGGTCCGGCCGGATCGCTGACGAAGAGTGTGGCGCGACTGGACCACAGGAAGGCAGCTCCTTGGACGCAAAAAGTATGGTTTGATATGGAGGTTTGATTGGTTTAACCAGTTAACCATGGTTAACCCACCAAAATATACGGTGGCACCAACAAGATCAGCAAGTCACAGGGGATTTGAACAACAAAATTTATCATGTGGATAGCTTCCTGTTCACTCCAAATCGTGGCGTTGTCCCATCCCCTGATGGGTCAGCAGCCAATGTTGGGATCACCTTGGCTTCCCACCAAATAGCGAGCCATGCGCAGCTCTCTTTGGCACTGCAAGCTCCTGGGCAGAGTCTGCTCGGTCAGCTACAAAGCTGGAGGACAGCCAATAGCAACCACACCCAACTCCTTTGGAATGAGAAAAGGAATGCGATCCATTGATTAAACGCAGGTGTTTGAAGGTTAAACCTGCATTGCTGATGGTTTTTAAACGGTTAAACCCCTTGAGGGCACTTAACTTCCACAGCTCCTGAATCTCTTGGACGCAGCGGTCCACAGCCTCTGAGCTTGGGCAGCGAACATAGCAGGTGTCACCTTGACGTCCCCACCTGGAGGAATAGGCGAGTCGGGTCGCATGGATCGCATATGGCTTGTCAAAATGGGGTGCCCCAAAATCTCCTCGTTAATATTGGATGATCAACGCGTTGATCACCAATTTTTCCTCCAAAACAGCAATTTCAAAGTGTACACGGTCCCCATTTCTGGCAAATCTGCTCTCTTGCCGCCATGAATATCATGAATCCCTTCTTGGTACGTGCCAGGAAATTCTCTGAGGGCCCACCGCTTGAAGCGGAAGACCACATCGCGCGGCTCCACCACCACATTGCATCGTTTTTTGATGATATGCGCTATGTCCTCGCAGGAGACTATGCTGATGCTGTCCTGGCTGTTTTCCAACCTTGACCAACCCGCACATCGTCCTTGCGGCCATAGTTGGATGGCACCTGGGCAGATGATCCCAGTATATCCCAGTCACAGAAATCATTCAGATCTGCGACAGCGGCCTCCGTGATGGTCATGATCTTCAGGAAATTCTCAGGAGCTGCTAATCGTCTCAGGTCCTGGGAATTCATGGGAATTCCAGTTGCAGGGTGAACTGGTTTACAAAAAAAAAACAAGAGACTTGTTTGGAACGTGAATCATTTCTTAATCGTCTGTTGCTCATTTGGAGTTGCTGAAACTCAGTTTGGTGGAGAACTCACGGCAACCTAGTGTTCCAAAGCCTCAACAAACGTCCTCGCTGAGGTTTACGAAACGTTCGCACTGCTCAACAAAGGCCTAGACGGGCGTTGGACATCTTGGGACAGCCGGTGATGTCACACTGGTGGGCTATTGACAATCGTTGGATGATTCAACCCCGAATAATAAACCATCCGCTATATATATATATATTAAATGTAACCAAAAAACACATCCCCAAGGTTGATCATTAAATTTACACCACTCATGGTCACGACGCACTGAGACCATGCCTCCACATCTGAGCCATCCATAGGACGGTATGTGGTACCGAATGGAAACTCCTGGGATGAAACCAGCGCAGGTCAGGAGCCGTACACTGTGACCCTTCACCGAAGAGCGGGCGGCGTCCTGGATGATGCCGGGCATATCCGTGGGATGTGCAATGAGAGCTCGCCCCATGGAAGTCCCAAGTCGGGAGCGCATAAGCAAAATCTTGTCAGACCTTGAGGCAGAAATGGGGTCAACGAATCTGTCAATAAAGCGCAAGCCAAGTAATGAAGCAACTTGAAGAAACTGTCGAGATCAAATCATTTCAATGATACAGCTGGTTGCAGGTCGACTCGGACTTTGGCCAATCACTTCCAAGATCTCTGCCACCTCTTTTGAGGGCCTCATGGATCATCTCCTGCAAGATTCTCAGCTATGATAGTGGAATTGTGGAGGCTTCCCCAAGCTGCAACCTCGGCACGCGTCCACCCGTCCTTGTCCCAATCGCGAGGTATTCGCTGGAGGAGGAAGGCCTTGCACCAGCACTGGTTGCATAGCCAAATTCACATGTCTTCCATCAAGCTACGACCTGTACTTTGTCATGATCGAGATATTGTCCAGACTTGAGGCCCAGGGGTAAGGGATGAAAGCTAGCTTGGCAGGGAGCTTTGCATGAAAACACAATGATGCTGAGAATGCGGATGCTGCCGAATGTGCTACCAGCGGTGTCCCCGGGAGGGATTGAGCCACGGCCAAACTGCTTCTGAACTAGCCAGCCGGGGGAAGCGGGGGGGTATTACTATGAAGTTTCATGCGATTGGAGATTCCAGCACCCCAAAACCTTGCCAAAGCAAGAGGGATCAAAAGGGACTTCAGCTAGCAGAAGCTAGCGTTCGTGAAACGACATCCACAAGAATTTTGTTCATGAAACAGATTGAAACTGGTCTTACATGCTTTGGAAAATCACAGCTGGCTGCACCTCCTGTCGATCGCTCAAGCTCACATGCTCCTGCGACTCGCGGAAGGACGATGGCCGCGCAGCAACAGCTTCCCCTCGGCTTTGGATGGGAAACCTGAGCCACGTCGGGATGGGTCAATGGAGATCGAGGTCCAACCGTTCCAACCCTTTTTCCCGATGCCAACCAGGGGAGGCGTGGGTGAAAACATGTGAAAACTCAGGACATCAGCTTGACTCAGTGAGATTTTTATTGCTGGTTCAGGGAGGATCTGGAGGTAACCTCCAGATTCTCATGATGAACCGCAAGGACTTTCTGTCGATGGGGCTTCAAACTTGGAAGTCCCAAGTCGGGAGCGCATAAGCAAAATCTTGTCAGACCTTGAGGCAGAAATGGGGTCAACGAATCTGTCAATAAAGCGCAAGCCAAGTAATGAAGCAACTTGAAGAAACTGTCGAGATCAAATCATTTCAATGATACAGCTGGTTGCAGGTCGACTCGGACTTTGGCCAATCACTTCCAAGATCTCTGCCACCTCTTTTGAGGGCCTCATGGATCATCTCCTGCAAGATTCTCAGCTATGATAGTGGAATTGTGGAGGCTTCCCCAAGCTGCAACCTCGGCACGCGTCCACCCGTCCTTGTCCCAATCGCGAGGTATTCGCTGGAGGAGGAAGGCCTTGCACCAGCACTGGTTGCATAGCCAAATTCACATGTCTTCCATCAAGCTACGACCTGTACTTTGTCATGATCGAGATATTGTCCAGACTTGAGGCCCAGGGGTAAGGGATGAAAGCTAGCTTGGCAGGGAGCTTTGCATTGCTGAGAATGCGGATGCTGCCGAATGTGCTACCAGCGGTGTCCCCGGGAGGGATTGAGCCACGGCCAAACTGCTTCTGAACTAGCCAGCCGGGGGAAGCGGGGGGGTATTACTATGAAGTTTCATGCGATTGGAGATTCCAGCACCCCAAAACCTTGCCAAAGCAAGAGGGATCAAAAGGGACTTCAGCTAGCAGAAGCTAGCGTTCGTGAAACGACATCCACAAGAATTTTGTTCATGAAACAGATTGAAACTGGTCTTACATGCTTTGGAAAATCACAGCTGGCTGCACCTCCTGTCGATCGCTCAAGCTCACATGCTCCTGCGACTCGCGGAAGGACGATGGCCGCGCAGCAACAGCTTCCCCTCGGCTTTGGATGGGAAACCTGAGCCACGTCGGGATGGGTCAATGGAGATCGAGGTCCAACCGTTCCAACCCTTTTTCCCGATGCCAACCAGGGAGGCGTGGGTGAAAACATGTGAAAACTCAGGACATCAGCTTGACTCAGTGAGATTTTTATTGCTGGTTCAGGGAGGATCTGGAGGTAACCTCCAGATTCTCATGATGAACCGCAAGGACTTTCTGTCGATGGGGCTTCAAACTTGAACCCAAGAAACCATCGCCCACGTCTGGGGACGTTGAAGCCCCGCCTCCAAAGTTGGGAGCAGTAGGTTGGCAAGTCTGGGTCAAGCCGAAACATCCTCCGACTTTCTATTTATTCTGTTCTGACGTGGCAGCTGGGGGAGTTAAGATTATGATCATTATGCATTTACAATCTTACATCCTAAACTGGTCCTAAATATCTACAGAGTGTATCAAGTCCTTCCAAACAGTGGATTGATTCGGATTCACGTTCCCATGGTTTATCGATGGTTCACAGATCCCCATACGGGGATTCAAGCTATCCAGTGCCCATCGCAGTATGCTACTTGGTTCACATCAGGCCTGAGAAGTGTCAGATGTGCTAAGCGACATGAGCGCATGGAGCGCATTTCGCTTATGTCGGTTCGTCGATTCGATTTGTTGGGAGCTTTGTTGGGGGCTTTGTAGGCCTTGGGCCCTACGGGTGGAGAGGCTAGTTGGCGATGTTATGATAGGTTCTGGCAGCAGTCAACAAACGATGTTGGTTGAACCAGGTTGCGTGTTCAATGTGATTGGCAGACAAGTTCTGCTCCAGGTTCAGCGTATGGTCACTCAATCGTCCAATCTTCATCTTGGAAGGTTCTGAATGAAATCACGATTGCTTGTTGGGACATGATTCTGCTGGCAAATTCGAGCCAGAAGCTTCAGAGAAGAGCTTTAAAACACGAGTCCCGCAGGCCGCAGGCAGAGGTTTCAATGCTGCTTCGAAGTTGAGTGGCAGCATCAGTCAGCAGTAACGACTACAGAATGGATTCCTTGGGGTGACAATGAGTGTCTGATAGAATTCAAACATCTAATCGCCAGATATCACCAAATCAGATAGTTGGTGTTCATTCTCCTCGACAAAAACAAGCATAAGCAGCCGCGAACCGCTGGTCTTTTAACGCTTCGTTGGCTGTTTGTTCTTCCGTGCTAGGTATCGTTCCCGGGCACAACCCACCTGCGTCCCCAGGTCGTGTCAGCAAACTTGGGGCAGCCCCACAATCACGATGAGTTGAAACCCAGACACCATTTCGCTCCAGCATGATTGCGCAAAGCACTTGAAAAAAATATTTTGTTTTCTCCATAGTTCTCCAATTGCATTCGTACATAGTTTTGCCATTTGCAAGCAGTTGCATTGTGCCTTGTCTTCTCGCTCTTTGGCAACCTCCACTGCGTCCTTCCAATGTGGGGTGGGAACCATGGGGATTTCACAAATTTCTTGACACCAAATGATTCCCAATAAGAGATAATAAGAGCGCCTGGATTTGTAGGGGGACACGCGCCTAACCCCGTGGAGATTCGGGGTTAGGCAAGTCTTCGGGATTTGTATCGTGGAGAACTATTCTTGCGAAATTAAAACCGGCATTAGGCAATTAACACAACAAAAGATAGCAACTTGGAGGAAACGGATTAACAAGCCAAACATTTCTACGGGCGGTAGGCGGTAGGCGGTAGGCAGAAATGCCAACGACTGGTTTCTGCGACGAAAATCTTCCCAGGCCTTCTTGACTTCAGCCTGTCGCATCATGAATCTTTCAGTGTGGCCAAGTCAGGTTGTGCCTTCTGATCGTTTGGAGTTTGGAGATACACCAATCCCACCCATTCATAAAAATCCTGAAGTGCACAAACGGATAATGTTATATGTACATATAATGGGCAAAAGCTTCCAGGAAATTCTATCTTATCAGTGCAAGAGGACAACGGAAATTCCAACTTGCTAAGCCTCCGCCGTCTGCTGGGAAGGCTTTGACAGGCCAACCTGTGCAAGATCTCTAGAAGTTCGCAAATGGTTTGGAACTGAGCCAAAGCTAATCAGATGCATCCATGAGTTAATATAAATGATGAATGGTTTGTAAACGGTTGTAAATGGTTAACAATCCAACCAAATGGACTACATTCAAAATTTGCCCAGTTCTGAAGCACCCTCTATCTGCTTCAAAATGACAATCTCCAGCTACAGCCATGGTTTGAGAACAGGACCAAACGCTTCATGTTGACTTCCTGAAGTTTCGGCAGCAACGGCCTCAGGGATTGCGGTTGGATAGCTCCCAAGTCACCCCACGGATCCCACGGGGTGCCGAGGCCAGGACTGAAGCCACTTGTGATCTACAGCCGACACCGTGCCTCAGAGCACTAAATGGATTAAATGGACATAAATGGACTATGACTCACTATGACCAGCTCGGAATTGACTATCCTACGACAGCTGTCTCATCGATTGTCTGGTTTTACTTCAACCATAGGTCGTGCTGAGAATGCCACGCATCATGCAATTCGCTACAGTGCTTCCAACCAGGTCTGTGTACAACACCCACCTTGGCTTCAGCTGAGAAGCCAAGATGAACGACTCAACTTCTGGCTGTCCTCTGTCGACCAGGTTCTAAGTGATCAGCTCAGCCGACGATCCGTCCATGGCACTTGAGGATTCACATTTCACCAGGACATTTTCGCCTCAAAAGCGCCGTTTGCTGACTGAGCATGCCACAGCAAACAGCAAGAGATGGTACTGAAGTTCGACAGATTTGTTTTTTTTGAGCCCAACAAACATCTTTCGAAGCCTTCCTGTGTCCGAAATCAATTCATTCAGCTCTGATTGACCTCACAACACGCCCAAGGCCTACAATGAGCCAACCGCCAGCAGCACCACATGCTCGAGCAGTTTGCATGAAGAAGCCGGAGCCTTGGGCGAGTGCCATCGTTGCCACTTCATGTACAGCCATTTTTGCCATCTCCCATTTTGTGGCACAAGTCAAAACCAAACATGTCAACTCAGGAGGCGGCACAGGGACTTTAGCAAGGCCTGCGAAGTCAAGCTATAGTCAGCCACTGAAGGATCTTCATACTTACTTAGTTGTACCCGTTTGCCATTCTCGGCCAGTCTCAATCATTTTACACTGAGCATTGAAGGCGAAAGCTTTCCATGCTCCATTGGAGTTCCCAAGACCAAGGTGAATTTGCGCCTCTTCCGCTCCCAAGTCGTTACCTGGTGTGCTTCTGGGGCGCAAAAATGGGAAGCACACTGACCGTCACTGACCAAACGTGGACGTAGTGAACGCTCCCCTTTTGAAAGGACCAACAATGCAAGCAAATTGTCTACGCAGCCTTCAGACCAGAAAATGCTCCTGCTGAGCCCCTCTCTATCATGAATCACTATTTAAACTGTTCTTGCGGACAGCCAAGCTTCAAAATGTCCTCCTCCCTTGATAAAGCTGAGGAAATGTGTACTTCTGCGTCTATTACATAATCTTTTCTTTCATTCTTACCATGGCTGTAACCAGTATGGAAGCGGACCTCTGTTGCAGTCGCGATCGCGTCTGCGGTCTCGGTCATCTTTCTCGCGCTTCTGAATCGCTTTGCGAACTGACACCTCCAGGCAGGGCACAGTGAGGTTGGTCCTGATCTGAAACATCTCAGATATGTATAGGCAATTAGAGGTATGTCATGTCATCTATTTCTTCCTAGGAAGAGTTGTTTCGAAAGCTGCGGCATCCTGCAATACTCCAGCACCTCAGAGACCTTCTCCAACTGCTCATAGAGCTGGCTTCGAATGTCCCTTGCCTGCAATGAAGCGAAAGCTGCTATGGGTAGAGCGGTAGGGTTCCAAACTCCAAAGTGACTGGGTGACTGGATGTTGCCAATGGAAGCCTAACATTCTCTTAAAGATCTTAAAGGCGCAACTGCCGAAGTGCCGTGTTGAAACATCTCTCAAGCTTTCAGAGCATTGAGGAAGACTGATCTTTGTGGCATTCTAGTCGTTGGCCTGGCGCAAGGCTCTGAAGTGAAGAAAGTTTTCCTTGCACCAATCCTCAGTTGATTCAGCATGCAAGTCTCTGGAGGGACAAGTTCCAAAATCCTAAATGGGCCAGAAGCTGAGTGAAGCTCTGGGCTGCCTCCATCTTCTTCCCACATGTTGTAGACGCGAATCAAAGTGAGATGATCGCCTAGAGGATGAACGAAACGCTCCTTGATCAAGGCACGCAAACAAACCAGACCGTCATGTCACCGTCATGTCACCTCCCCCGAAGCTTCTGAACAGCTGGAGCATTAAAACGTCATAGAACAGCCGGGAGCTTGGATTGTTCAGGCACATTCAGGCACCAACAGAGGTCTTTTTTAGCTCATTAAACTATGTCAAACTCATCAAGCTCATTAAATTCACTATAGAAACTCATTAAACTATGTGTATATGGCTATGTAAGTACTATTGTTATCATTATTATTAGTGTTATTATTATTGTTATTACTATTATTGTTATTATCACTATTTATATATATATACCTATTACATAATATACAATAATATATAATACAATATAATATAATATGATACAATATGATATGATATGATATAATATATAATAAAATAAATATAAATATAAATATAAATATATAAATATAATATGATATAAATATAAATATAAATATAATATGATACAATATAAATATAAATATAAATATATATATAAATATATATAAATAAAAATATAAATATAATATAATATAAATGTAAATATAAATATAACATAACATAACATAATATAATATAATACAATATAATATGATATAATATGATATAATATATAATATGTGTAATATAATATATAATATGTAATATGTAATATGTAAAATATAATATATAATAATATATAATATATAATATATAATATATCATATATCATATATAATATATATAATATATCATATACAATATATAATAATATATAATATTTAATATATAATGTAAATATATAACATAATATAAAAATATAATATAATATAATAATATAAAATATATAATATATAATATATAATATATAATATATACTATATAATATATAATACATAATATATAATACATAATATATAATAATATATACTGTAATATATAATATATAATATATAATATATAATATATAATATAAAATACAATATAATATATATATATTATAATACATAATACATAATACATAATATATAATATTTAATATAAAATATAGAATATAGAATATATAATATAAATAATACAATATACAATATATAATATATACTATAAAATATATAATATATAATATATAATATATAATATATAATATATAATATATAATATATAATATATAATATATAATAATATATAATATATAATAATATACAATATAATATATAATATAATAATATATAATATATAATATATAATAATATATAATATATAATAATATATAATATATAATAAGATATAATATATAATAATATATAATATATAATATATCATATATCATGTATATATATATAATAATATAATTTAATATATAATACAATATTTAATATAATATATAATAATATATATATATACATACATTAAACTCACTTTATCTCATGAAACATGGTGCATTAAACCTCCTCTGGCGGCTCCTGAGTGGCTCGAGCTTCCTCCCACTGGTCGGAGTTCTGCCGCGAGGGTCGAAACCAAACTCCCTCAGAGCTCAGCATCGAGACTAAGGTCCTGAGCATCGGTGGCCATGCAAAATAAAAATGGAGGGATTTACCATGATTTAACCGTATTTAACATGTAGAAGTATGGAAAAAACCTGGAAAAAATAGGCAAAATCAGGATTTAACATGATTTAACCTGTAGGATTATTGAAAAATCCTGGAAAAATGATGATTTATGGAGATGTCCTATCCATTTTGGGGAGTACCCCAAATCATCCAAGGCATGGATGACCATCCAAGGCATGGATGACCATGACTGAGGGTTGAAACCCATGGTGACTTGGGGATGCCCTTTGACTTAAGAAACCCCCATTGAACTGGCAGAAATCAGGATTTGGCCCGATTTGGCCAGGACGAGGATCAAGGCTTCTGAAACGCAGCCCAGCTCAGCCGCCTCAAGCAAGACCCGTCCATACTGAGGTTCCAGAGGCAGCTGAGAGATCCGTTCTCCTGCCATCTAGATCATGTCAAAAGTGTCAGGGACAACAATGGACATGCATCAAATATCATCAAATGGATTGAAATTGGACAACTGGTACAACTTTTTTTGCCCTTTGGTTTTCGGGGAGCTTTGCAGAACTAGTGACTGGTCACTCACTAGCCCAGCCGCGCTTCTCCTAAAGCTGTCAGCTTGCCATCCACATCCAGCGCACCGATCAAGAAGAGAAGCCGGAGGGATTTCACCAAACGAACTCGATCAGGTGGCTCCATAAAGTCGAAATTCACCACATCCTGCGCAGGGATTTCAGCCATTGAAAAATCTGTCTGAAAAAATTGGATTAATATAGCTAGATTGGTGGCAAATCGCTGAAAAAAGGACAGGATGCCTTCCCCACATCACTTCAGGGTTTTCCGAAAAACCGAAAAACTATCTGAATAAAGGAAAGACCTATCATCGATTTCATCCCAGCCTCAATCCCCATGGCTTTCATCTGAAGAGACACGGATGCCAAATTCGATCGAAGGATTTCCGGCACGGTCACCTTCAGCAAGCTTCGGTTGAAGCTCTCTTCAGAGTACAAGCGAAAGCACTTTCCATGCCTGGGAGATATCACAAGGTAGATATGGTGACCAACAGAAATTTAACATGATTCACCATGGTTCAACCAAAAGGAAAATGGTTTGTCTCTATACCTCTTTAATGAGTAAATGACGATATATAAAGTACAGCTAGGATTTGAGACGATCCAAGCAGTAAAATTCTGCTTGCACAACAAGCTACTGTGTACGCCCCGCACGTCCAGCTCTTTGTTTCGCTTGAACTTGAGAAACCTCAGTGATCTGTAGAGACTCCATACCTGTCTTTGGGTTGAAGAACTTCTGCTTGCAATAGCCACAGTCTACGACAAAGCCAACTCCTGCCACAGTAAGGGACGTCTCTGCAATGTTCGTTGAGAAGACCAACTTTCGACATCCTTCAGGAACTTCTTCAAAGACATTGCGCTGATCATCCGATTGCATCATTCCATACCTTGGTGATTTCAACCCAAAGAAAAAAATCAATTGATCGGCATCATCCATTTATTTTCAGGGAAGGAACTTAAAACTCCTTCAAACTACCAGCCAGATACAATGGAACAATGAGGCAATCCGAGACTTCCTTCCCACTGTCAACCATGCTTTGCAATTTGCCATTGGCGAATTGGACTGCTTGCTCGCATTCCTCCATGCCAGTCAAGAAGACCAAAATGTGCCCTGGTCCCTCCCGGACGTGTAAATTCAAGGCCACATTTACCGCAGCTTCGACCCTCTGGGTCTTGGAGACGGGGTGATAATGCAAGTCCACGGCAAAGCTTCGGCCCGGCACTTCAAGTACAGGGCAATCGAAGTACGCAGAAAAGGCTCCAGTGTCCAAAGTCGCAGATGTCACCAACATCCGCAGTTGCCCTGCGCGGTTGACCACGGCGCGCTTCATGAGAGCAAAAAGCACATCAGTGTGCAAACTTCTCTCATGGGCCTCGTCCAAAATGACGACATCATAGTTTGCCAAATTTGGATCACCCAAACACTCGCGCAACAAACAGCCGTCAGTCATATATCGCAGCCGTGTACTAGCACCCGACTTGTCCTCAAAACGGATGCAGTAGCCAACCACATCTCCAAGTCTTGTGCCTCGTTCATCGGAAACGCGTCTTGCCATGGCAACTGCAGCAACACGTCTGGGCTGGGTAATGGCAATGCGTAATCCCCGCTTGTTCTCGAAGAGACATTGAAACCTCTCGGAATCCAGCAGATATTGTGGGATCTGGGTGGTTTTGCCAGAACCTGTCTCACCAACTACAACTATGATACGGTTCTCCACCAAGAGGTCGATGATATTTTCTCGGTACGCCAAAACTGGCAAGTCTTCTGGTGCAGTTACTCGTGGAGCACCTCTTGTTGAGGCGACTTTTTCTTCAGCTTCTTTGTCTGAGGATTTGCCACGAGACGACTTGGATGACTTGGACCTTGATCTCGATCTCTTTCTCTTGGAATTGCCATTTTGCTTATCATCTTTCGCCATGGCGAGGGATGAATTCAAGAAATAGCCGTGTTGCTGTCTAGTATGTCTGCTATATAGATTGGAGATTATTGAAGGCCAATAAAGAAGCCTGTTGCCTCAATTGCAGCTGAAAGTTTTTTGCAGCGCCTCTCAGCTCGCTGGCGGTGCAAAAAGTTAGAATGAGGCCATTGGACTTGCAGAAAATGTACAACGAAGACAGTCACCATAGAGGCCAAAGTCCTTATCATAGCATCTATAAATCTCAGGTCATTGACTGAGAGCCAACAACACGAATCACACAACTGCACAAGAACACAAATATCATGTCTACACCTGTATACTAGCGTGATATGTTGGCACAGGCATTGTTCAACCCTCAAAAAGGTAGGATCTTCCGTCTGCAAGGTCTGAAAACAAAGAAACACAAAAAAATCCTCGAGACAATCGCCTCAGTATCCTTTGCTGTTCTGAATCTAACCATAGTCCCTAGACATAGCGCAAAGATGAGCCCAGCCTAAGCGGGCACAAAACCAGCCCTCGCCAGCACCCTTGATTTTCCGAAGGGTCTCGCGAAGATTCGTCACTTTCAAAGCCATCCAACGAAACTCATCGCTTACCTGAGCAGTTCAAAACTCTTGTTGGTTGCTGATTATATATAGGGGATTATACTACCCAATATCTTGGGGATTATAATAATCCAATGGCAAAATCCCTATTAACCGAACAAGGATGTCACAGGGAGAAGTTCTTTACCTGCCCGACATCGGCAGAGACATGCCTATCCTGGAATCCTTGCCGTCTCTGTGCCGCCGCGTTGCTCGTCGTCACCGGTTTGCAGAGGCCCAGCTCCGTCTCTGGATAAAATCCAAAGAATCGACCGCCGACCTGCGCCACACGGGGTTTCATGAAAGCGTTGCGCTTTCCAGCTGTCTGGGTTCTCCAGTTCATGTTCAAGGGTGGTTTATACAAAGATGACTTCTCCTGCTCTACTTGCAATACTGAGACCGAATCCGTTGCAAAGCATAGACCAGGAGAGCTTCTCAAAACTTTCAACCAACATCAACCAACACATTCACACTGTTTTTTTGTAGTTTCCCATTCACCAAAACCTCCCTGTCATCACCATCCACTGGCGGTACCTCCTTTGCTGAAGAACTCAATGCGAACATCTTGCCCTTCTGCAGCTTGGATCACCTCACCACGATCGAAACCAGCCAGGTCAGAAATCCGAAAGGACTTATGGTGGGAAACCATTGGATCATCATGGTTCTTACGTTTCTTGAAACAGCTTGAAACATCTTGAAACATCTTGAAACAGCGTGAAACATCTTGAAACATCTTGAAACATGTTGAAACATCTTGAAACTGTTGGAAAGTTCCAAGTGAGATTCTTGGTCACAGTAACATACATAGTTTGTTTCTCTTCTTTGACCTCAAAAACAACGATGCATCTTAGAGTTGGGCCCACTTGTTCGTCAAGCCAGCTTTTGGTCCAACGATGGGAGCTCCCTGCACAGGTTCCGCACAGGCTGCTCTGGTTGCTTGTCATGGATTGGGCAACGCTATAAGCAGTCATAGAAAATCCATGTTGAGAATTCTACAGCACCAAGTGGTTGATTGGCTCTTTTTGTCCCAAGAAAACCATCCAAGAATGTAGGTCCGTTGAAGGCAATTTGGACATAACCACTAATCATATCACTTGAAGTACACATCCTCATGACCAAAACAAAGGAGCATGCCACAGTGGCCCCTTTGGTCTGCACCTTTCGAGTGCAACCATCAATTTCAGGACCTGGCTTAGGAAGACTCAGCTGAAGGATTGGAACAGACTCCTCCTTCTACCACATTTCATCTACGGTATCAGGCAGGAAAAACATGTGGGTCCTAAGAGACAAACCAATATAAACTGATGTACTAAGACTAGTTACTAAGAGAGGCTTTTTTCATGGCTTTGGCAATGACATCATGCCAAGCATCAAATCACAACACAACCGACCACAAAAAGCGCACTGAGCGCCCAGCCAACGACTTGCTTGACATCTCCTCCCTTCAATAGGTGGAAGTGGAGCTCCCCTCCTGCTGGCACCTGCAGGACTTGCCAGCAATGAGGGGAGTTAACCCGAATAAAAATCCTCAATTCTGTGGCAGTTTAAGATACAATTCAAATATATTTAATACACATGTTGATGGTATAAATATGATGGTTCACCGGTGAATTTGGATGGATTCGGGCTCGAACGAGAGAGCCACGTTTTGGAGAGCCCAGCCTGCAGGCTCGTTCGATGAACACCGGGAACTTCGCCATCTTCCATGGGGATGGCCTGGTGGAGGCGTTGATCATTTTCGATCACTTTGCTATTGTTATGATAATTTTATCTCGCCCCATACATATCATATACATATCATATACATATCAGATACATATCATATACATATCATACGTCATACATATCATACATATCATTTAGGTATACCTAATTCATCCTGAATCCTATTCCAATTAGAATAATTATATTCCTATATATTTAAGATACAAATTACATATACACTCAGACATCATTTTCACGACACGTCGGCTCGACAGCGTGCACCTCCTCCTCGTCCCAGTTGTTGAAGTTGCCAGTGATTGCCTTGGAACATCAGCTTTGGAGGAGATAATGACAAGAATGACAACAATAATACTACGAATTGAAATGATGATACTTATTAAAACAGAATACTGCCAATAATACAAAATAAACATATTTTATATCATATTTTCATATGATTTTCAACTTTAGAGTTTTTGACAGAGAACAAGCCTTCGTAACATCAAGTTCCGGTGTTAAGCCCATGAAGGATACCTCTCCGTTCACCTGGATCCTTCGACGCGCTGAGAGCCCCGAACGAAAGTCGCCTCGGCATCATCCACTTCAATCTCGCGACGCTCGTCCACCACGTCCCACCTTCAACATCAACGAAGTGAAGATCGATTACAGTTTAGTGGTACAACCTTGTCATGATAAGCCAGTGACTTGCGTAAGACTCAGCAACACAGTACGATTACGTAAAACACTCTTGCGTATTTGATCCCAGGCGAACCTAGAGATTCGAAACCCGCATGTCTTTCGGCACACTCTCCCGCGATCTGACACAATTGACGTTCAGCATCAACAGCCCCTCACACCTCAAGAGTTCGTTGCAAATTCTGGACCCATAGATTTCTATTGGACAGGATTTCTAGTAGGATTTCAGAAGGGACGTTTCGGCCCCCGAAAACCTATTATTGTGATTGATTTTGCGAACGGGTCCTGTTTCTGTGTTTTACAAAAGGTGTCTGGCTGCTGGTTTCTTGCTTTATTATAGAGCAGCAGCAGTCAAAATTAGAGATCAAAATTGGACAAAGCCAGATCGCCAAAACTGTGTTTGATGTTCGGCACCTGATTGCTGCAAGAGGCGCGACAAAACCTTTCCTACGCTCAGCTCTGGGTGTCAGAGGACTTTTCGTTGATCCTGCATGCAATCGGCTTGCCTGACCTTTCTTTACCGGGGTCGGCGGCAGGGGCGGCAGCCCTTAAATTTTCATATGATTTTCAACTTTAGAGTTTTTGACAGAGAACAAGCCTTCGTAACATCAAGTTCCGGTGTTAAGCCCATGAAGGATACCTCTCCGTTCACCTGGATCCTTCGACGCGCTGAGAGCCCCGAACGAAAGTCGCCTCGGCATCATCCACTTCAATCTCGCGACGCTCGTCCACCACGTCCCACCTTCAACATCAACGAAGTGAAGATCGATTACAGTTTAGTGGTACAACCTTGTCATGATAAGCCAGTGACTTGCGTAAGACTCAGCAACACAGTACGATTACGTAAAACACTCTTGCGTATTTGATCCCAGGCGAACCTAGAGATTCGAAACCCGCATGTCTTTCGGCACACTCTCCCGCGATCTGACACAATTGACGTTCAGCATCAACAGCCCCTCACACCTCAAGGGTTCGTTGCCCTCATCTGGACCCATGGACAGGCTGAACCTCAGAACGAAGGGTCCCTCTGCTGGGCTTCATGAAACACCCAAAGCCAATCGCCAATGTGTTTGAACCGATTGCTGCAACGCGACAAAACCTTTCCTACGCTCAGCTCTGGGTGTCAGAGGACTTTTCTTCCGAGCAATCGGCTTGTGACCTTTCCGAAGCATTCTCGTGTCTGGAAAGTCAGCCTCCCATTTGTCATAGTCCAGACCTCAGGCTTCAAAGGTCATTGAAACACCAATTCAGACATGTCAGGCCGCTGCAAAGTTCGCACCATTGCCAGCTCAGGGCTCATCACGGTCACAAGGCACCATGCGGAGCCCCTTGAGGTCCCAGACCCATGGGCCGCACTTCCGGTGGAGGCCGTGACAGCAGTTTCTTCATCCACACTTTCTCTACATCCTGATGAGGGCCCCTTGTCAACGAAGGGAACTCTTGGGTTTTATGTCTACTATGTCTACTATGTCTACTTTTCTGCTGGAAACAAAGGGAAAGCTGCACCACATCTTTGTTGAAAAATCTTCCCCTTTGTATCCCTTTGTCAGCAGCCCGGAATTGTCACCCAAGACCCTCTCCTCCTTGATGGTCACATTCTGTCCCCAGAAGATGCCATGAGCATTGGTTCCTCCAAATCCAAAGGACGAAACCTGGGAATTTCCCTGGTTTGTGGCCTCAGCCGGACCGATAGCTATCGCATGCCATCCGAAACCGTCACTGAACTGTCATCCTGACCCAAAAATCCAATGATTAGTCGATTAGTTATAGCTGTTATATACAATTTTCCGCATGAAATTTGCCATTTGGGAGCCCGACAAAGGCCAATGGCTCGGTTTCAAAGTGTGCATCGAACATGGCGTGCTCCAAGTGCGGATTCAAGGTCCGCAAGTGCCTGGCCACCGACCAAGGGATATAAAGGGTAAAGACAAGGTCAATGGCAAACCTGCAATGAGCCTCAAATACTTATGATCATTCGGAATTTCAAAAGACCGGCCCCCGAACTCTGAGGAAAGAGTTCGAAAAAAGATAGAATCAAACTGGGCAATGCTGACTTCTGCGTCGTGCAGCTACTTCTTTTCATGCACAGCAACAAGCTGGGCAGGCTGAGTTGGTGCGCACTTGGCATTGCGGCCTAGGTTTGTGGTTTTGTCTTGGTATCCTTGGCTAATATATGTATATTATTCATATGAATATAGTGTGTATATATAATACATATATATATATACAGTACATATTTATATGATTCATTATATTATGATTATATATATGTGTGTATCTTTAAGCCTTGCGGGGATATGGGCTTGAATGAGCCTCCGCTGCGTAACCTTTTCATACTGCTTAGAATGGGCAGTGTACCTTGGGGCAGGATGTTCTTTACCTGAAAAAACTGGCGAAGAGTGTGGGACATGTCTTTCCATATGGCAGTGTGTCAAAACCTTGTACCCCTGGTGAACATCAAAATAGCTGGTAAATGGATGTTCATCCCCCTAAAAATGGTATTAATAGGTTTTGATCCATAGCCATATCAATTTGCCAACTCAATCACTCAAGGAGGCTGATCCCAACTGATCTCGAGTCGGTGGCACTGCATGATGCACTTCACAATTCCACCCATCGCCTTGGAAATGTGCAGCCGGACTATTGAGCTGTGGGTTTCCGATCTCAAGGAAGAAGCCGAGTTCCATGCAGCACCACCCTCCAAGTGCCCAATGTTTGTCTTCGCAGAGCCAATCATCAACCTAGAGCAGGGAAGTCTGTCCTTCCCTGAGGGCCTTTTCTCTCTTGATGATCCTTGATGACTGCATTCAAACCCTGGCAACCTACAGCTGAGTGCTGACAGCAATTAGCCTGATCCACAATTATCCTGATTATACTTGAGGCAGACTTTCAGCTGTCGATCAAAGACTCGATACTGCAAAATTGGCCACAAAACCAGTCCGGCTTGCATTCCTCCTCCCAAACAGAAGTTCATCAAACTTGCAGGCAGTACGGCTCTGTGCGCGGCTTTCTAATTTGAACTTTGCGCACTGCTCCAACCTGCACATGCCCCCAATTGCTACATGTTGTCAATGGGGAGCTGAGATGTGCCAGGGTACTTATTGAAAATTGTAGCTCGTGTGTCTTCTGCTCTTTACAGAAAACTGTTGAATGAACTTAAGTCATTCCAACCAAAAGCTTCATGGTCAGGTTTACTCGTGGTTGTTAGTAAAATTCATTGCTGAAAGCACTCAGCTTCAGGCCTAGTCTTCAATTCAAGGTTGTTGTGAAAACTTGATCCATTGAAAGATCATGGTGTCTCTCAACTTTAAGTGTTTCCTCTCGTACCTTAAAATGCTGGATTTGTGCGGAACAGTGTGTCATCCATCAATTTGGGGCTTTCCTAAAAAATTCAAAGTCATGGGGGACCTCCGGTGATCATCCAACTTCAATTGGACACGGTTAGAGACCTGTTCCAAGGAGTCTCGGGCATGGTTGGTTTCAATGCAAGCCCCCGACCATCACGTCACCCATTAAGGCCTCAATGGGATCTCCAAGCGATGTGCCTGTGCCATGGCATTCCCAGGCCTTGGCAGTAAAAATCGATGGGAAATCTGTGTGTCCTCAAATCTGTCAGAATCTGTCACCCATAGTTATAAACCCCATTAACAATGGTTAACTATGGTTAATGGGGTTTATAACATTCAAATAGCATCCAACATCACCCCAGGCACCGTAGACTCTGGAGGTGTCATCAAGGCTTCTTTGATTGCCTCGAACAAAGGGAACAGAGGACATTCGCAGCGACCAGGTGGAAATCTCCGCATTTTTCCACATTTTTCCTCTGGGGGTGTGACCCTTGTCACCATCTCCTCTTGGGCAGGACCATTTGGAGCTGTCAGCGAGGCACTTCGACCATCCTGCCAGGCTAGGTTCGCTTCCAATGCGAAACTGAGATCTGCATACAGCTGGAATTCTGCTTTGGTTTTCAGTTCAAGATGTTCAAATCAAACAAAAGGGATCAAAAGGGTTCATTTCAAAAAGATGAAATGTCAATGTGTAGCTCAGGCTCAACTCACTCTTTTTTCTCCGCACTTGAAGGGGGCCAGTGAACTCTTCTCGCCATCCATTCTTATCCCAGGCTGTACACTGTACAAGGAACTTCTTGCAACTCCTGAAACAAGCAGATGGCGCCTTCGGCATTTCACAATTTACTGCCCGTACACAGAGTACTCTTGAAGTTGGCATCTCACATCTTCACTGATCACACGTTGGCAACGTCTTTGCCTCTGGCGTCCACATTTGCGTGGCCTGTCCCAGCACGAATCACATCTCTCCCCATCAGGTGGTGATTGAGGGGCCCTACGGATGTATTTCCAAGACCTCTTTGAATTGCTCCAGTCTTCTCTTCGTAGGAGTCTGGGGCACGAATCTTTCAACTCGATCTTGCCGAAGGCAGTCTCAAGTTTCTCAAGGTGCTGTATTTCCCGCTCGACTTCCTCAAAATCCCACCACGAGATGTAGCTGCCGGCATCCGAGAAAGCATATACCCAGCGATGGGGTTGCCAAGCCCCGGCAATATCATCAAACTCAGCCAGGATCTCATCTGGTGAATCCTTCGGATGATCCGGATTGAACAAGGCCGCCTGCAGCTCAGTTCTCACCTGGACGACCTTCTGCTGCAAACGGTTCCGAAGGGTGTGGAGGTTGTCTGTTTCCTGGTAGAGTTCTTCCTCCATCTTTTGTAGGCGCTGCAACTTGGGAAGGCGGGACACTAAAGCTTTCTCCTTCTGCAATGACAAGTTTCCTTCTCTCAGGTCACGCTGAATGTCCCAAATCTCCGGAGAGAGGCAGTATGAAAACAGTTCCTTTTTCTTCTGCTCCAATTCAGCACTCATTTTTTCATTTTGCGCCATTTGCTTCTCACAAGCTACTAGCTCGGGCTCAAAGACACGCAGGTGCCGTGCAAGTTCCATACGCTTTTGGTCAACCAGCCCAAAGAGAGTTTCATGGATGTCCTTGGATTTGCATACGTGGCATACGGGCGCCACAAATATGAAAAATCACCAGGGATTTTTTGTTTACCCTCTGGTAATTTAACATAGCTATTGAAAATGGCCATTTATAGTGGATTTTCCCATTAAAAATGGTGATTTTCCATTGCTATGTTAGTTTACCAGAGGGTAAAAAATAGAAAATGTGGACTCAGCAGATCCCAGCATCCATCTCCAGCTTTGCCAAACAGAGCTCCAAGGCTTCGAACTCGCCACCGAGGATCTGTCCTCGACAACTGATCCGGACGGCCTCGGGGAAAACGCCCAGCGCAGAGGCCACCTTGACCTTGGCCTCCTGGAGGCACTCCAAGGGCTCCACCATCACGGCCATGCCGTTGAGGCAACGCACCTCCATGGCGGCCTGCGAAAACTAAGCCCTCAAAGGGGGCAAGGTTTTGATATTGTAGGCCCGTTCCTAAGCTGCTCCAAACTGCACAGGGGAGCGAAGATTGAGCCGTAATGCCTCATTAAAGCAGCAACGGAATGCACCCTTTAGAGATGTCGAAAACTCTGCCCAATCCTTCGTTTCCCAACACAAAACACATGCATCCCGCCTGCCCACACGCAGTGGAACGGAGAATGGACATGCTCTGCTCTGTGGTATAGGCACCATACTTCATCATGAATCCACCTCGGGCCACAAGGACAGGTTACCTATGAAGAAACTATGCAACACATCAGGAACTCATCCTCAAACACAGGCTGGTATGCTTCTCATCAGCATGAACAAGACTGAACACATGTGCTGCTCATCTGGCTCTTTCTACACCCTGCTGCCCCCGTCTCAATCCGAGCTTGGCACTGACTCCCTCACCCCGCAAATAACCTTAGTGCCATCATGTTCCATCTCAAATTGGTGATTGAAATGCGGCTCAAGGCTCCCACCATCTGCAGAGGAGTTGAAGGTGAAGCACCTGCCCTTGGGGCTCGACCTGCGACTCAACAGTTAAGGTGAAAAATTAACAGAAAACCATGCAGAAAGGCATGGTTTTTACATGCTGTCACTGTTGTCACCGTTCAAAAATAATTCCAGGATAGACTCCATGATTCTTGATACAAACCCAGCCCCTAAGCCCTACGTTCTCAAACAAGTCTTGTACAGGCCAATAAAGGTCTTGACTAATCTTTGGTCCCCACAGGATGCAGCAGGTAGCTTCGGAATCATGTAACTTTCATGTAAATCTCAGGGGAATGTCTCAAAGGTCCAATTCACGCAGAAAACAATGTGCAACTGAGCAAGCTTTATGAAACCACACAAATTTCCGGAAGTCTCAAACTATGTATTATATATATAATTATGTGTATATATATATATAAGTACATGAACATGTCATATTCTATAATAGATATGATAAATATGTGTGTGTGTTTCTTTCTGCACATGGCTGCTTCACTGCACCTGAATTTCCCCGGTCTTGGCTGCCAGACATGTGAGACTGGGAGCATCCAATGAAGGGCCCCGGCGACAAACACAGATGAGCACCTGCCATCAATACGAGTTCCAAGTGATGCAGGAGTTCCTGTACCCTTTTCATTCCAATGATATCTTCACCAAATACATGCCACGACTCTGTAGAAGAGAAGACATTCTTCTGTCTATGTGGGTATGGGCCAAAAATAGTCAAAATGGACCTACCCTGGTGAAAATCAAAATAGCTGATAGAATCTGATAGAATCTGATAGATGATGTTCGGTTTTCGTTTTGAAGGTTTTGCCCCTCTACACTGTCTACACTGCAGAATGTTTCGGAACCGCACCCATCGAGATGAAGAACTCCAGAGGATCAAACTGCTGATTGCCTTGGTTGAACTGTTGTGCTTCAAGTTTTTCACCGTCACCGGAAGACCAGCCCTGAAGACTATGGGAGCAGACTAGTCCTGAAACAAATTGAAGTGCCGAGCCAAGGACTAATCATAAATCGGGCGCAATGCCTGGTCAGCTTCAAGGGACACTTTCTGTGACCACTAATGGAATGATCATCATCCAAGTAGGGTTGAAAGAAGATATAAGTACTATGTCTATCATTATCTATCATAATATGATTATATTGTATATAATGGATTATAATTATAATTGTTGAAACCAGCAAATACCAGCGATCAGATTTCTGAGTTGCCAACGTTGAGGTCAAAGAGGCTGAGCACGCCGTATCACACACAAAGTTTGGCCCTGGTCCAAAAGACTTTGCCGTTCAAATTGGAAAATCCAAATCGATCTCAACGCCAGACACACAGCACTAGTTCAAACGAAGAATCCATGATCCAAAATCGAAGACGAAGTGGTAAGACAATCCACCAAGTCGTAACGATGTCGTACTAAGTCTTACGACAGGTGCCTTTCAGGTTGAAGACGAAGCTAAATCGATTGGCAATGATGGCCAACACCTAATCCGGGGTTGTGACCCAATCCGAACCCATTGTCGACCATCCTGGTTTCCACGTTGTGTATTTGTGGTTGTGACAGTTGTGATAGCCTGACAACTTCTACTTGACTCAAGACCAGGTCTTGCGAAGGCTCTTGCAGTGCTGGTTCCAGATGGAGTGACCTCCTTGTCGCACGTCATCCAATCCTGCCCCAACGGTTTCAATTGGTCTCAACCATTTCATGGAGGCTGAATTGTGAGTGAACCCAAGGATTGGTACCTTCTTCTGTGCTAGGGCTCCAACCAGTTTGTCATTGCCGACGCAAAAGCCAGCATGCGTTGATTTGCGATTGCATTCCTCTCGAGGGCACAAGTGACAGCAACGGACCACATTGAACGAGTCTGAAAAAACAAAATGATCTGGATGAGAAGTGTGCTTTGCGCTGCCTGAATGAAAGCCAACCCAAATTAAGGAGTTTCGAAGAAAGGCAGGTTTCAATTCAGGGACCTCCGGTAGAGCAACTCTACAGTGGGATCATGCACATTTCAATGCTGTGTGGCTACAGCTGCTGGGACAGTGCTTACAGGAATGTTCCTTCATATTAACACATTATCAGTTGCCATCTACTTGGATCCTGCAATTCAGCAATTGACATGGGAAATCTGAGTAGATGCCTGAAATACCATTGAAAATACTGTTTAATCTGTTCATGTTTTTTATGGGATTAATAATGATTGATATGTCATTCAAGCTCGTAAAAGGATAGAAAGAAACTGGTGAGACCTACCAGCATCGCCTTCTTGGTCAAGCCAACCATGGCCATGCTCTGAGCGCCACCTTGGCAGTGCACGGATGAGTATCAACCAAATTTTCTACCACTTACAGTAATTAGTACAGTAGCAGCAAACTTGATGTACTTAATGAATATCAATATCAACAACGATGTATCAACCAAAATGTACTTTTATGTATTGTTCATGGTATTGTTCATGTCATGACTATAGTTTCTTTGTTTCCCTAGCTTCGGCCTGTGATTTTTTTGCATATTCAGGTGCCCCCACATTCAAGGACCAATCGCTGCACAGGATCCATGCTGTTTGCCTGCAGGTCTGCAGGTCATGGGGCATGGACCCACAGAATTGATGTTTCAAAATATTTCTTTGATTATGTTTTGCATGCTTTGTATTATTTGTCATCCATTTTGGGATATTTTGCTGAAAATCATTTCAAGCAGTAATTTCCTGATTCTGTGTCAGCCAGTGCATCAACTTATCAACCCGAACCCGCCTCGTTGTTGGAAATCTCAAAGTATCTGTTGTCAAAAAATTCGGCCCCTTCACAGAGCGACTGATGTCGAGTCCTGAAACGCTGGGACAAACAGCTGAATTGATCAAAATTTGGCTGTGAATAATAAATTGATCTAAAGTAACAATCTCATCTACTTGTTTGGCAATCTCATCTATTTGAGAATTCCAGGCTGTTGATAAAACTCTACAACCCACAGGACCTCGAGGAGTCTGAAAAAAGGAGCAGCTTTAGCAGAGGCTGGGACGTAGTTTGCCACGGTTCGAAGGCATTCTCATTGTCCGTCCAGTAGACCCCAACATCCCAACCTGGGACAGCCAGATCTAGCCCCAGGTGGCCCCAGCATCTTGACTGAGACCCAAACGAGTAATGGGCACTTGAACGATGGTGTCGCAGCCGGATCTCAATGCCGACCAATTGGCATATTGGCCTTAAAATTCAGCTGGGCAAGGACCAAAGGGGTTGCAAGACCTTAGAATTTGCGATACAAATTTCAAATACCCCTATAACCCCATGAACAAGTGCTTAGGCAGTAGTGAATAGGTGTGTGTGTGTGTTTCCTTCCATGATTTGATGGAAGGATTGTCTTGTTGGGCTCCTTTCTCAGCATCACCAAGTCAGCAGTTGCAGTCAGTTTTCTCAGTTCATGACTGTCGGCATTTCCAGGGAGACGAGCGACCGTGTTGACCACCTTGGCAACACCGTGCACAGATGGAAGTCTCCAGTGCTTCATCTGAAACGTTGACATGACATCAAAAGCTTTCACCATTCACTTGTCGTTCAAAAGCTGTTTTTTGAACTCCCGCATCAACAGATCAGACTCCGATCTTCAAAGAACTCCGTAACTCCGACAAATCTGAGCCAGGGCTGGGTGAGCCAGGCATGAATGTGTTCGCTTCCAACTGGTGGAGGGGGGCCATCTTCTTTCAACAGCCATTCTGTGTCTCCTTGGATGCTCCCGAAGACCTGCCAGCGGCTGCCAGCCGAGAAGTACTGTGCATCGCGGCTGAAAATGATGCATCAATGGAGAAGGGCACCATCTCCGGAACTGCGGCGAGGTAGTTGGTGATGAGCATGAGGCTATCTTTTGGAGCTGCACCTAGTGCAAAAATTTAGAAAAACATAGCTGACTAAGTGACTAAGAGTGCAATGCAGGTGACATCTGCAAACTTGTGACAGCCGCTACGTTTCATTGACATGGCAGAACTGATACTTGAGATTGGCACATGTGTAGTCATACACGTCTGGCCGGAACAACCTTGACATGCACAGCAAAATGAGAGCACGTCCTACATCCAAAGTTTGCCGTTTCCACCTGGTTTACAAGCCTACCCAAAGATTGACGCCATTGTCCAGGGCTGGTCAAGGTCCATTGTGGTGGATTAGTGTTTCTCTTATGCTCAATACCCCTGCACTGTTTGGAAAAGCACAGGAGTAGGTAGGAGGCATTCCACCTTTTTATCTGGTAGTGGCCCAAAGCATGCTTTGTGGCACCTTTCAACCCCGAATCAATCCTGTGCTGCACTTCGCATTCTGAAAAGGAAGGTTGTCAGCTTTTTGCCCGTTCCATATTTTTCTGTCTCACTGAAGTGTGGTCAGTGTGTCAATGGCACACCCCACGCCACCTCATCGTCGCAACCCACTGAGCACACTACAGCACCGTGTTCGGCACAGCTCGCAGTTTCACATTCTCCAGCACATTTGGCACCTTTCCAGAACGCCAGCCCTTGCTACATACAGTTCTGGCATGTGAACGTATGAAATGCGGCTGCATTGCGCACGTGCCGCATGTTTACATTCTGCCGTCTCTTTCTACTACCCCATTTCTTTGCTGTTCACTTTTGTGGAAAATGCGAGTTGATGGCAAGAATGCAGCTCTATCCAAGTTCATTTGCATGTCTTCCCTCAGATCTAGACACCCCATCTAGCTGGTGTTTCGACTCTTTTAATCTCCTTTACCATCCCACAACCATCACCAAACTAAATACCTATAGACGCTGCCAAACTGGGGGTTGGAAGACTACTCTCCTGCAGGCAGGAGTGGTCTAAATAAGGTCCAAAAAGAGATCTATAGAGTCTATGATGAGATATGATGAGTCTATGTTAGTTCGGGGGATTGTAAAAACCACGGAGGCAGCTTTGCCGCTTCGATTGCGCGAAGCCGCGAAGCGTGACCTTTGGGTGCTGCACCTTGGAGGCTTTGGGCGTCTCCCGCGCATCCAGCTCCACTTCGGCCGGGTATGGCCTCACTGGGACTGGATTTGCAACTGGGATAGATGGGAAGCAACTGGATGTCCGTGAAAAAAATCAGCTTCAACTCAAATTCATCTTGGATACATCCTGATTTGAATTCAATGATTGAGCGCATTTAGACCTGTCGACCTGCTGGCCTCAAGAGCAACAGACCCATACAACTGATTCACACAACTGAGTGCTGAGGGTGACATATATTGCAAGGCTACAAGGTTCTGCCTACAATTCGTCTCGTAGGATGCAATCCAACTTCCAGTTCCAATGTTCACCACCCAATTCAAAAAAAAACACTTGCCTCAAGGGTCAGTGGCACTGCTGGATATTGAGGCAAAGACCCCATGAAGTGAACGGCTCGAGCTAAAGTCCGCCTGAACAGTAGAGATCAGAGCTGGTCCTTCACAGGAAGCACTCATGCAACAAATACTTCAAAGCATACGGTCGCCCTTGGCAAAAAAATAGCGCGTCTACTCGCAAACCGAGTCTGTTGCCATCCACTCCTCTTGCCACAGACGGCCTGCCTCCAGGTCTGCAAGAAAGACCCAAGAGACTCATCGTTGGCCTGTCATTTGCGCAGCAGACTAGCTTCAACTGCAAACTCAACTGTCACATCCTGGAATCTTCTCAAGGAGCAACTTGAATGATATTGAATGTATGCTACAACATTGATAAAACATGATAAACCATATTGGAATATATATATATATATGATATATATATATATATGATATATATATATATGATATATATATATGATATATATATATGATATATATAACATCCACACCAATCGCATCATATCAAACACATCAACCCTGACCACACCGCTGGCACCTCTGGACACGGCAGTTCTGCATCCCCAGTGCTATCAATGGTCAAACAAACCTAGGCACCAAGGGAAAACTACCGGGGATCAGAACGGCTTCATCTGAATTGCTGGCAGATTTTCTCCCAAGTTCATTCCAAGTGCTGGTATCAGTGGATTACCATGGATTACCTAAGTTGCGGCTTGGATTCTTCAAATTTGCTGAGTCAAAACCTCACCCTTTCGCCCAAAAGGGTTGATTTATGGATGATTTATGGATGATTTTTGGATGATTTTTGGATGATTTTTGAATGATTTATGGATGATTCTTGGATGATTTTTGGATGATTTATGGATGATTTTTGGATGATTTTTGGATGATTTATGAGTTCATCCCCTAAAATGATGTGCATCTCACAGGATCCCGTGCCAAGCCCGGAGTGCGTGACTCCAGCTGCCCATCCAAGACATCTCCGGCGTAGGGCTGAATGGACTGAGCGGCCAACCGGCACATGGGGATACCCTGACAATCGCCATTTTTATCCGAAAAAAATATGGGAAAATATGGGAAAATTATGATTAACCACTGGTCCCAGATCCAGAACAACCCCATTTTCAGCCAACCCACAGAACTCAAATGGAACCTACAGTATCCGACCTGGACCATACAGCTGCTTTACTGTACATGTTTGGGGACCAGTCACCGGTATGAACTTAGATGGTTCCGAGGTGAATTAAAGGACATGCGACCTTCGATGTTTGCACTTTGGGTTCACTTTTGTGTTTGTGTGTTGGGCCCTTGACCTGTGCAAGGAAGGACAGGTTGGCATTGTTGCTGTGCAATGCTGCATCCTGCAGGTCAAGCTGAACTGTCCCAGCAAACAAAGGTCGGTTTGATGTCTTTTAATGATAGTTTGAACCGTCTACAACACCTTCAAATCACAAAGGGACCCGTATGTTGCAGCAACTTTCCATGTCGAATGCTTTTCAAGCCTCTTGTCTCCCTTCCAAATAAGAATCAAGACTTGAGCTCTGCCGTACCTTGTGTCTCTATGGTGTATCTCCACGGAGAAGAAATCCCATCTGCTGTGCCGCTCCTGATCGAGCTCTCCAGAGTCCATCCAGGCAATCTTCCCACGACATCCAAAGCCTGGTAGGTATGGCATGGCCGGATCACCGGCCATCACCATCTGCCAACTGAGTAACTCTGTGAAACTTCAGTTTCCAAGTTCCAGTTCTGAAAGGTTCTGAAAGCTTGAACCAACATGAACCAACAAGCTCCGGACCCAAGTAGCCCTGCTCCACTTCTTCTGGGAAGCGTTGCCTCAGAGGCAAACCATCGTGGACATTTCCTCTGCACAGTGCGAAGACTGGAGCTGTCTACAAATCCAACTCCAACAACTTGAGGCCAAAGGAGAAGGGAGATACGACGTGGAGAGTAAGTCGGATGATGCTGATGATGCTGATTGCGACGCTATGGCGACGATGTCCCGGGGGGATTGAGCCACGCCAAAACTGATTTCAAAAACAAAGGTGGGGAGAGGAGGGAGGGGGGATAGTCAATTGTGAAGTTTCATGGGATTAGTGATTCCGCCCCCTGCCAATACCTTGCTAAGCAAGAGGGACTTCAGCTAGCAGAAGCTTTCATGATCGAAAGATCCAAAGCTGTCACAGAGGTCCTAGAAGCTCATCAGGTATTTTAGAGGCTGCCTCGATGCTTATGCATCGTCCCAAAGACCTCTCAGATTCCTGCAATCTGCTCATGTCGCTCAAGTCCTGCAAGCACTTTGACTCAGTAAAACAAGAATTTTTACACAGAGATTTTAGAAGCCTCGAAGTGCGAGGATCAGAAGGCGCCATGAAAACCTTGATGTGGGTTTGTCTGAAAATAGGGTACCTCAAATCTCATAGTCAATCGATTCTGTTCACTAAGATTGCCATGTCTTAGCTTTGTTGAACAAACTTCTGGATACGCGTTAAAATCGTTAAAACTAGATGCCCAACCTGCAAAAATCGTCATATCTCTAGGGTAATGGGTGGTTGACTCACCAATCGCCCGCTGGGCAATCTACAGTGGCCTTCATCAGGCGTTGAGCCCCTTGGGCCAAACGTGCACCTAGGGACCCACAACACAACTGTTGAACAAGGGCTGTACCTGGTGGGTTGATTAAAAACAAGGATTGGATCTACCGACCACAACGGCTCCTGACAAACTGTACTAGCAAGATGCTTTCGTTTCTACTTCGCTTCTCCAAGTACAGGTGAATATTGCATAGGATTGCCAGGCGTTTGGTCACTAATGAAAAATGTCTTTGGTGCTGTCTGTTTCAGGAAGCCAAGGGCTGTGCTTTGACATATCCGGAGGACGCAAAAGCCCTTCCTGGCACCAACTCTTCAGGTCAAATCAATCACAAATCCACAATCTGTTAAGCCAACCTTGCGAACCCCCCAACCGTCCAAGACCTGTAAGCATGCCGGGTTTGACTCCATGAGGCAAGTGGAAATCTCACCGCCCAAAATTTTGCCATCAGTTCGAGGTCCAACTAAGACCTCAGCTGTGTGATGTGCAAGTGAAAAAGAAGGCGCTCAAACTGTTCCCAGCCACAGCAATTGTCCTCTCTACCAATGGACTCAGAACTTCAACATTCAATTTACATCTGTACATCAATCAATCAACATTCAATTTACGGAAAAAAACTCTCATTGGCTCCCAATTTCATAGGGAATTCCAACATTTCACTCTCCACACGGCTCCAACTCCCCATCTGCGGGCGCCACGTCAAAGGCATCAGCACTGCCTCCTTCACCAGGCCTCTTTGGAGCCTGGAAATTATGGCCAGTTACCAAAAATGCTGGAAAATGATGATTAAATGAGATAAATCCAATGAAAATGATGATTATACCATTGAATTTCAGGGGTATTTCCCATTTTGGGATATGTTTGGACAAGCCCAGGTCAGCCAATGCTGACTGGAGTTGTCTCTTGTTGACTAATTCAGGTCCGTGGATTCACAATAAGCACAGCTTGCAACGGCAAAGGACCTCAACTGCTCGAACATTCTTCGAACTGAAATAGCCAGCCTCGAAAACAGGTCAGCATGATCACTGAGAGACAGTGAAATCCATCTTCGTTGGTTAGCCACAGGCAGCCACAGGAACTTCATGTTCAAAACATTCAGAACACAACAGATCATAAGAACCATGCTTCAGCCCAGCTAGTGCCAGGTCCTAGTGGATAATCTGAGAATGGGTGAAAAGGTCCAAGCTCCGTGGTGGAGGTGGAGGAAAATGAAGCAAAAGGGCATATGTGTGACAGTGCGAGTCAATCCGCACGTCCCGGGACCTATGGAAACCCGGAACAAAAAGGCAGGCCAGGAGGTGTGCCAATCAATAACAGATCATAACAGCAAGAGAAGTTTATATACTGAAATGGACAATGCCCACAGCTTGCAAATGTCCACTTCACAGCCGAGGCACAGCCCCACAGCTCAAATACACATGGAACTTGTCAGAGGCGCTATCGAAGCTCACTGCCTACAGCGGAAGCGGCAACGGGCCGTGAAGTTTCGCGCTTCAGCCCTGGTGATGGCATGAAAATTTGGCAGCACGCATGATCCATTGGAGCCCTGACACAATCACATTCTGCAACTGCCAACTATCAACAATATTGACCTCACGTTTGGTTGGCTCTATATATACTTGGTGTCATAGTTTCGGTAAAGTGTCACAACAGTCTACTTGCATGAACTTGCATGAATTTGCATGAAGTACAGCATACTACATAAATTTTACATGGCATCTCTTCTCTGTTGCCTCCTATACTATGTGCTGCTTTCGCTTTCATGTGCTAAGCTCAAGGGGTGCTCTTGAAACAATATCCCAAGAAATGGAAATTGAGCTAGATCCGCTGGAGAAGCACGTCTTCACACAGCATTGACTGGGTTCTCAGACTTGTCCCACGGTACCGTTGATGTTCTCGCTAAATGCCTGCACGTCCAGCGAATGTTCTAAATTCTAAAACGTTCTTTGGATCATGTCCTTCTGCCCTTGCATACGCACATGATCTAGCATCTGCCAAGTGCATCGAAGTTTTGCCCCACCCACTCAGGCATGGCCGTTGAGAGTCTTGTGACTCTCTGGTTCTTTCGCAACCCAAACACAAAAAGGTTCCAAGAACCTGACAACTTCTCCATTACTGCCTGCTGGTCCGCATCCGATAAGCTATGGAGCTCCACCAGACCTCCCAGTCTTATCCTGAGCGTCGTTGAAATTTTCCATGGAACATTGATCCGATTGCGCAGCTGCGAAGAGCAAAAATTCGATGCCAAGTATCCCTTCTACCACTGGTTCCAGCAATGCCTGCCATTCCAAAGATGGGGGGAGATGGGTGTTTCGTCATGATTTCATCGACTCACTGCAAAACAACATGTTCAAATTGTGTCAAAAATTGTTCAATTCGTGGAACTAACGAATTTACGGATTTTGATTTGGTCAAAAGGATTGGGGATGCGGCAAAAACATGACTGTCAGCAACTATTTCACCAAGTTGATCAGCACGAAGTCCACTCTTGAAGGACTGATTTTCAACGGTTGAATGTGACTTTTTGTGATATGTGACCCTCTTGTATTAGTATAAATCTAGCTGTGATTTGCACCATTGTTCCAAGAAATTGATTCCATCATTCCCTGCACCTTGGCTGCAGCTGATGGTGTGGGCGCAGCTGGGAGTAGCTGAGTCTGCATCTGGGCCCTGACAAGATCTGAGATCACCCATAGAGTGGTTCAACAATTCAGCCCTTTAATTGCATATCATTTTTTCCACCATCAATTAACTGGAAAAAATGATGGGAAATCTAAGAACACGTTTCCTCATTTTTTCCACCAGATTTCACCAAACTTTACACAGCCAGGTGTACAATGTGTCCGAGCTGAACGGCAACATGTTTTGTTTCATGTTTTTTGAATGTCACCACCTGGTCAACAGAACATACCCATCGATGCAAGAGTAAATTCAATTCGTTGCGTTCAACCCTCAGACCCCAATGGATTCGACTTCAACCAGAATGTTCAAACAAAAATTGAACAAACCAAATTTAGATTAATCACATCAAATGTCAACAAGATTCAGGCAATTTGTCACATATGCCCATCAGCCGCTGCAGTTGCGCCTTTTTTCCCAATTTTGAATGGAAGACTATTGTAAACGAGGTCGGCTCAAGCAAAAAAAACAAAATGAACCCAATTGGATCCAACCAAACTGCTGAGGTTTTTGGTAGTCAGAACAGGCTAGAATTCATCGTGGTTTTGCCAAAAAAAAAACTTTTTGTTGCAAACAATTTGGGCCTGGAGCTGCACACACGGGCACAGTTCATAGTGCATCCTAATGACAAAAACATGTGGTACAACATGGTACAACAAGTATATCCAGTTGGAAATCGCGGAAATCATTCGCCACAAACCATGCAAAACAATTGATGGCCAATTTTGCTTGCCAAAACCCGCATTTTATACCACATATTTCTGCATCCGCGCGGGTCATATTTCATTTTTTTGCAACCATTATAACGGTTTGATATTTTTTGGAGGGAGGCTTTAAAGGTGCTGGCCAAACCATGGCTCGTTCAAATGTGTTTGACTGAACAAAAAAATACTAATTCCAGCCCGTGAAATGGGCACCGAATGAAAAATTTGACACAGTTCAACCCAATCAATTTTTTGGACACTTTGAGTTGCTGTTGCTAGGGGGAAAAATTTAGAGAAATTCGGCGACTGAATAGGTCCGGCTGTTTTCATATGTTCTCACGTTTGGTGACCCAATCATCGCAAGCAGGTTTCCCATTGGGATATTTTGTGTTTAAAAAAATAGGATGTTGTCGTCATTCCACCTGGCGTTTGACCAATCACCACACATGGCAACAAATTTAAAACCAAATACCGCTGTCATCCCACAATCATGCGTTGGAACTCTCAAGTACAACGTTCCATTGATTTTTTTGCGAATGTTCCTGCCAAGGGGTTTTCCCAAAGAACAGTTGCCAATTTCAACAACTGTATTTTTCCAGTTTCATCATCTACGTCACCCACATCATCGTCATCATCATCATCAGCATCATCATCATCAAATGCATCATCAGTTGCACTTTCTACAGCGTCTCAACTACATCATCATCTGCGCGTCCGTCAATTACATCATCTACATCACCTATATCATGTTTTTGTAAAGTCATACTAAGCACTTACAACATCCTGTATTGCAATTTTTGCTTGAGAAAACAACCGCCTCAGATATGAACAGATACTACACTTGATCTGTGATATGACGTGAGTGTCCCATGACGCAAAATGGATGTACTGCAAACAGCGTCACATGGAAACACCCCGCCTCGCTGCAAACTTTAGTCAGCAGTGCTTGAAAGCAATGTCAACGCTTCCAAGAAAACTCAAATTCTAAGTGGCTGATCCATGCGGCCGGGACGCACTGGTCGCGTGCCTCTACTTGCAAGATTCTTTAAGAATCGTTGTCAGATTCATTTTTGAAACCTACATGCAAATCTATGTGGCGTCCATGTCGTCTTCAGTCGCTGATTCATCCTGTGAAGTTCCATGGTGTATGGCCATCCAAGCCTCAGGGTCACTGACTTCGAACAATTCCGATTGGCAGTAGCGTTGAAACTTCTGAGACTCGGTTTCCATCATCTCATCTGAATTTTCTCCTTCACTTTCGGCACTTTCATCTCTCGGGGGATTGTCAATGTTTTCCATCAAAGCACGTGCAATTGAATCCACATGAGAACTGCCTGAAGTCGCAGGTGCATCTCGTTCCATTGCAACTGCGTCAGAAAGTCTTTGACCCACCTCCACTGCATGTTCGACCTCGTCCATGGTGTTGCACAACTGAATCCAGCTTTGGCCATAGTTTGGAGACTCCGCATCGCTTGAAAGGTCTGTCATGTTCCTAGCCATGACAGCTGCTGACAGTCTAGTTGACTGGTCTCCAGACTTGCAAGCATTCATCACGTTGCAAAGCAATTGAAGTCGCTCCTCATACAATTGCTGTCGTTCCAACGTACCTGCTGTAGATCTTCTGCGCAAACACCTTGAACAAATGAAAGTCAACATTGCCTCAGGGCTCCATGCAGCATGAGGTTCAGGTAGATCATTTTCATCTCTCAACACAGGCATCTCAACTGGATCTGCACCAGCCAAACCGCTGGGAATGCTCGTGCTCGAGCTAGCCACATTGCTTGCAGGAAACTCGCTAGTGGCAACGATGATTGCAGCACCAACGTGGGACATTCTGATTGACCCATCTTCGTCATCTTCGATCTCGTTTGTTGTAGGTTCATCCAAAACAGCATCTTCTGGAAGATTTTCTAAACCCTTGCAAACCAACTGAAAAACCAAATCATTCCAACTCCAACGCACAAGGTGACAAGCAAAACGAAGATGTTGTTGTTGCCACCTTCCAAAGTTGAGTCACATCCTTGCAAATGAAGTTGGATCAGGCTCAAGGCGCCAGCAAGGGCTCTGTGGTTGACCCTTCGAACAAAAACTCGTCCTGGATTATCGGCTCCTTCCAAACATCCATTTGATCTGTTGTACAAACCAAGCAAACCCATCAAAGATCTCATTCTCGCGGCAGCTAAACGTTTCGTTCCAATGTCAGCGGGATTCGAATGGCCGCTGATGCTGCATAACTTCAGCATTCCATTCCCAACCATATCCTGCAACCACAAGATGCGGAAACTCAAGTGCCTCAAATGTCCAACTCCCCTTCGATTCAAAATTCCTTTGGCACCACTGCTGTCAGTGACTGTCAGTGTAGATGTAGATATGGGTTCTTTTGTTGGTGATTCATGTCAACAACCTGGCAAGTAGGATGGCATCACTGGCTCCACTGCTGCAAGCGTAAACTTCGGCTTCAGCTGATGACAACGAAATGATCTTCTGAGTCCTTGATGCCGAATATATCAAGCACCTTCCAAACATCACAATGCAACAGCTTACAGACCTTCTGCTGACACGGTCTGAAGCCCAGTCAGAGTCAGTGAACACCTCCAAAACATGTTCATGTGGATCCACGTTCGGATAATCGTGGAAAATGCCAGGTGCTTGACCACCCTATTTCAAAGACACGCAAACATCCATGTGGCTGCAAAGATATCCCACCAAATGTCGAAGTACTGTCAAACTCTTTTCAGTGGGCTTTGAACTGTAGGTGGCCAAATGTCGAATGACATGTTGAGCTTCTGGAACATCATTCGCCAGATACATCAAAACACCAACACATGTCCTAAAGGTCGTGGCTGATGAAGTTGAAAGATCTGCTGTGTCATCTTCCTTTTCAATATCGGCATGTGCAGGGCTTTTCTTACTCTGGTTTCGAACATTCAACCCAAGCAAACTGCAAAGCTGGTTGATGTGCTTCTCATGCGTTTGAACTGTCAACCTTCCATCATCATGAAGTGTATAATGTCGTTTCAAAAATGTCAGCTCATCACCTGGCTTCTCAATGCATTGAACTGAAATATCATATGCAGCTTTGAGCTCCGGAACGAACTTGCCCAACACATAGTCACGCTTTCCAACCACAGTCAAATCGTCAACATGTATCATCACAACGCAAGATATATCTTTTTGAACGAAGAATGCATGGATATGGGGTGTGCTCCTCCAAGTCAAGCTTTGATTTGAGGAAGCTGGTGATTGCACGATACCACAGCAAGCTTCCATCACGTTGTCCAGGCAGCACCTTCCCCAAAGAAAAACTGCGAGTTGTTCCACTTGCATCTGTTGTATGGACCAAGGTGTCTCGCTCTTGCTTCACAGTCAGAAAAGCATCTCTCATGTCCAGGCTGGCCATCACCATGTTTTCCTTTTCACGTCTTTCCAAGAAAACTGTTGGCAAAACTCTGGAAATGATACTGCCAGAAGCTGGACTGAATAGCCTTTCTCTTTCGGGCTCCAACCAAGCAAACTCGCGAGCAACAAACCTTGATCTCCTCAGCCATATTGCCTCGCCCTTTGAATTGTGCTTCTCGAAGCTTTACAGGTCTCAAAAATCGAATCAGCTTTGGGTTCTGAACAACGGGCGACTATGGGCCCTGCTGCGCCCGTTTTCGTGGCACTTTGGGTGACCTGATGCTACCAATGATGGTTGTCAATTATCTAGGTACACTTGACCTTTTACTTCATTGCCGCCATCACCAAGGGGACCTTGGACAATGGCTGGTTTGGAAGGTAGTCGTTGCAGACACATGCGTCTTGCTCTAGCGTCGGCCTAGATGATTAATTTTTCTTTGCTTAGTGGCCCATGTCTCCTGGGACATATTGAACGACCAACACTGAGTGACAATATTTAATTGAGTTAAAAAGGCCGCTGATCATGATGGAAATGGAGACTGACTTCGCCCTCAGCTGCTGAACGCCATGTATTTCGAGGGTTGTCGACCATGCATTAAAAGAGACGTCCTTTATCTCTCGGATGTTCACGTGTCCAAGTGGCGCGTGTGAGCTTACAACCGTGGCATGACTGCCCAAAGTGTTCAGAGAGAGTCCAACACGTCGCCCGTTTTTGTTTAATTTTTGCAAAACTTGGGGTTACGATTCAGTGGCAGTACAATCAAGGTTTTTTAATTTTCACCACTTGACAAATCAAACTGAATGCAAACCTTGACCTATCCTTGCACGCAAGTGTACAGATTTTGTTATTTTCGATGTGTTTGATCGGTTGGCTGTGATAGGGCAATGCTAACAGAGAGTTTCTGCATTTCACCGGTGTTGCAACTTAATACCCGAACGCAGGATGGTTGCCAGCCCAACCCGGCTTCAGCTTATGCCTATTCCCCTACTGTTGAACTGCCAGTGTCCTGCAACGTGTCCACTCCCATGTACTGTGATTGCACTCCTCGAACTTTCCCCGTCTTCCATGTCACCCTTGTTGCTGCCTCTCCACTTTGCCCCCTTGAGGTCCCCCTTTTCCTGGCGTCCTCTTCTTTCTCCTGTAGCTGACTGTAGCTGTCACTCTGCATGTTGCTTCTCCTCAGCCCAGTCCATCGGGAATCCTCCCTCCTGTAGCCCCATTTAAAGAGATACTGCCACCTCCCCCCCGTGCGAGTTCCAATAGATGCAGTTTTCCCCACGTCACACAACAGCTGATTGACTTTCATTGCTGCAGCTTTGGCTCAAAGCAACGTGGGAGACCCACTGCTTGGTGGCT